TATTTTCGTTCGTGTTACAGAAATTGTCAAAGTGAAATTGGTTTTTAATTGTACTCATTGGAAGCTGAAATCTGTTTGTGGAATAAAAGTAGGACTCTACTAGGACTCTGCTTCCGAGACAAAAACAAGTAAGTTATTTTGAACAAAAATTTCTGAAAAAAATAATCACAGTACAGTTTTCCTACAATGCGATGCGAACATGGGAAGCGAGTAAAGCCTTTTCTGTGCGTCTTAAAGTATATAAGGCAAGTTAACTTTTTATCATAGACAATTTTAAATTTATTTCTCTAAAATAACATTTCCCAAACGGGGAGGATAAAATTTTGCTTGGTATATCCTGTAATACAACTACTACAAATATTCTTCATCATTATTATTATAATGGGAATTTATACACGCATAAACGACTTGAATTTTACCAACAAAGCACCAAAGCGTGAGTGAGCATGATCTATTCGTTGAGTACAAATATAGTACTTGCAATGCATAGGGAAGGAGGAATAAAAAGTTCCAAAATAGGCGAAAGGAGAAATTTAACGAAAAAGGTTGGGAACCACTGCTCTAAAATTACTCTTGTTGGGAATCGCCGTGTTCAGTTTACCACAACCCCCACGCAATGCGAAAATTGTTTCAACTACTCAAGTTGCTGTCTCTTTAACTCTTTGACTTTGGAACAAACCAGAATGGGATGGTGGAAGTCCAGTTATTTCTTATTAAATTGATGCAACAAAACGTGGAACTGAAGAACCTGATACCAAATATTCAATTCCAACTAAAATTAATTGCCACCATTTACTTAGAGCCGAAACATACTATATATACCGGCATAGGTATATATGTGTTGAAGTGAAATAACAATTAATTCAATCAACATTGGCGGGGGTTACGTCTCTGCTCAGGCTGAAATCATGCGTTTTTATTTGGAGTGGAATATTTCGGGTTCGACAATTTCTTAACTTGTATTTTATCATGCAGGTTATGCCCTGATTGCGAGCATAAACGAATGAGGTAAAAGCGAATCTCACGAATCAAGAGTTTGTCTAAGTTAGGCCTCTCGTCCTCTCAACAGTCCATGTCGGGTATGGGAATAATTAGCCAGCTATCATTAGTTTTGGATGTATGAATTCGATGGCGGGGGTAGATTATCAGCGGTTACATAAACCAACTTGGAGTCCAGCAATCTTCTGCACATAATTTACCTCTCGTCTCGTCCTGTCACGAGTCCATGCCTGGTATAGGAATAATTAGCCAGTTATCATTAGTTTTGGATGTATGAATTCGATGGCGGGGGTAGATTATCTGCGGTTACATAAACCAACTTCTGCACATAATTTACCCATACCAGAGTATTTGAAGATGCCATGACTTACTCGTCATCATGTTGTCGAAACCCTTCGAGAGACGCACGCGTGCTTTAGCTTTTTGGATTTTTTTTGGATGTATGAATTCGATGGCGGTGGTAGCTTATCAGCGGTAACATGAACCAACTTCTGCACATAATTTACCCATACCAGAGTATTTGAAGATGCCAGACTTACTCGTCATCATGTTGTCGAAACCCTTCGAGAGACGCACGCGTGCTTTAGCGCGATGTCCGCAATTTTTAAATACTTTCTTCCCTTTACCTAAGTCTCCGTAGACAACTCGGTTTCACTTTTCTTTAGGAAGTTTACGGTTTGAGTAGTTGTGTGCATGAATATCACAGGTACTATCCACCCAGCCGTTTGGCCGAGACAGTCCCGATTTTAGCAAGTTGTCCCGCCGGTTGGCATAAGTGTCCAGGTTTTTCAGTATGACAACAAAAGGATTTACAAATAATTTTGATGCCCGTAATCCACCGTGTACTGTCCAGGTTTTTGCCTCTGATATATGATAAGCCTATTTAGAGGGGAATAACGTATGCAACGTGACGATTTTACAGTAAGTAGTTTTTATAATCGTAACCAACAAACCTTGTTACGAAATCTCTGTGTAATGAGAGCGTTTTAACTCTTTATTACATCGATCCTAAAGCTCAAATGCCCGCGATGACGGATTTACCACCAAATATTCAATGATATTGTGTATTAAAACTCAAGTACGATTTGGGATCTGTCACCATAGAAAGTTTCAGAAGGAAGATGCTAAAATATATAAAATGATTTCTCGCACCTCGCTTTGGTTTTACTTTTAAATTCAAAGTATGTTTCAGACTAAAATTTCTTGCTCGACAGTTTATCCTCTAAGTAGGCTAAATTCACTTTGGCGGTCAAGTTCGATCACTCAAAACCAGGTATATTCGTTAGAAGTTTTGATAAATTGTATAAATTCGATTGCGAACTCTACACGAGCAGCTACTATTCCTATTAAAACCGGTATTGGCTTCGGTTTAATTGGATTAGCCGGTCAATGACTAGATGCAGTGATATTGCAGAGCTAATATCCCAGTTGTATATTCTATAACCACGAAAATACTAGCACACTTGAGCGACTACTCCAGTATAGTCGTATAGCGTGTAGTCTGAAATTGGCTGTAGTCTGAAATCGTCGAGTACAAAGTGGACATACAGCTAGTTTTGTTATTTTGGTGTTAAAATTATTTTATTTTTCCTGTTATGAAAAAATTGCTTTTCTCCGTTTAGACCAATCCAAATCAAAAATTGCGCACCTTGATTCCACTAAGCATTAGCGATCTGGTGGTCAGGAGTTATCGCTAATCTACTGACGAATGGCATACCCGTACTACTTTGTTTTGGCCTTCCTGTCCACCAGAACAAGTTGAAGATTTTCGAATTCCATAGATAAGGTTGAGATATTAAAAGTCAAACCTTCGAACAATCTAAATCCGTGTGAGATGTGTTAAATGTAATTATTATATCGTCCCGCCCGCTCTACGTTCAATCTATTTTTATATTTCAGTTGAGTTGGGGATTGAAAGAACAAAGAAGAGCTAACAACCAGACATGTCGACAAAGAAATGAATGGTCGTCGCATCTTGATAATCTTAATCGTGTATTTTGATTTTTCTATAATCATCAAAGTTTGCCCCCAACAATGATGTATCTGCGTGAAATGGCGCCTATGAAAAATGCGCCCCCTTGATCGTTGACTGACGTTCTTTTTACATTACTCAGTAAAATTACGAGCTCCGATCGTTTCCCGATTTAGGGGTTATTGTATATTAAGAAGGTTTCGTCAGTGGCACGGGTACGGACAATAGATCTCGTGCTGTAGATATGCCACTGCGGCCCAGGATACACCCAAGAAATCCACAAATCTTTAGCTAATTCTCCATTCGCTGGTCGATGTCTGGTCATGACAGACGAGGCGACGAACCCTGACGTCAGTATTGCTTGCTTTGAAACCGTCAAATCTCTACATTCAGATTAATAAGTAGCTCAAAACCTGCTCAACCTATAATATTATATACTTCTTCATAGACTAAATGTGTTCCAGAGTTTTTTTTTGGTGGTAAGTTGTACAAATTAAGTTTTTATAGTCTGGCTTTCAAGAGCATCTTTTTAAAAATGTGATTTGTTTAGAAAGCTGGAAAACTAGTCTCTCGCAATATATTTTCGCCATGCCTACTATTCTTTATGCTCGTGCTTAATAAATAATAGAATGAAGCAACATCCTTTTCTAGATGCTTGGGTGAAATGGGTTGTCAGAATTAAGGTACTGTTGTAGGTGAATAAGAGTTGTGCAGAGTGCATTTCCATCGCGGGCCGCATTTATCAGCGCGTGCAAGTTATGACGTCACCAGGTCATGACGTCACATTGTCGGGCCGCGATTTTTTGGGGCAGGGCGGCGTGGGATTCGGGCCGAAACGACGTCAAATTTATTATCTCTGGCCAACCATTGGCCATAGATAAATCGAGGTTAAATAGTAAAATTTATCTACGATCATGCTTGATCATGCATGATCTGACTAAAAATGTCAAAATTCTCTGTTTTCCAAGGTCTGACCCTTCGATTTTTTCCATTTTTCCTGTTTTTGGGTTTCAGTTAGTCCTACCCTTCGATTTTCTTCATTCTCGCATATTTTGGGGTTTCAGTCTTACAGGCTTACAGTTTCCTTCATAATCTGGAACTTTGCGTCACCCTTTTTCAGTGACGACACATTTTAAAACGTGGATGTTACATTCGTGGGATTCAAACTTTGGTCACCATAAACAAATTGATGGTTTACCTAGCGCCTTTACCAATTAGGCCAATTCAGAACTTAGAAACAAAGGTCTAAGTTCTAATATTTATCTATCATCTCAAACCACTTGAAAAAAAAATAATTCAAGATGATTGATGAATATTAGAACTTAGATCTTTGCCTGCGCATTCCTCCATAGCCTAGTTGGTAAAGGCGGTGGATATACCTTCGATTTGTTCATGGTGACTAAAGTTTGAATCCCGTGAACTAAATGCCTGTGCATTCCTCCATAGCCTAGTTGGTAAAGACGGTGGATACACCTTCGATTTGTTCATGGTGACTAAAGTTTGAATCCCGTGAACTAAATCAAATTCGCGTAGTCAATAATTGGATGACGCAGAAATCTAAAATACAAAAAACTCCGACCTGTTGAGGCGATAGAGGTCCCAAAATAGGCGAAAATCGAAGGGTCACCCCTTAGAAAAAGTAGAATCTTGAAATTTTCATTCGAATCATGTATGATCAAGCATGATCATGAATAAATTTCACTAATTACACACGATTTATCTATGGCCAATGGCTGGCCAGATATAAAAAATTTGACGTTGTTTCGGCCTGGATCCAGCGCCGGCCTGCCCCCAAAAATCGCAGCTCCCGTGACGTCACAACCTAGTTACGGGCACGGCGCGTCATCCAGGTCCCCCTCTACACAACGATGGCCGCTAGCTGCTAGCTTATCCTAAACATCAACTATTCAAAACCTAGCAAACCAATCCCCAGACTCTCGAGTCAGAACGTAATTTCTAATAATTTTCATTTATTAAATAAACATACATGAACACAAATCATCAAGTTTATGTATGTCATTATGTCAAAATAAGCACACAAATGAAAAATTGCGAAGTCTGTAAGTATACCATTATCACAGGATCTTCAGTAAGACTATTGACAACAAACCTTCTGAAATAATATATAGACATTGGCTACATTGGCACAAAAATATAATTCTTCCAAAGCTCATATAAACATTACTGATGCAATTTTAAGAAGAAATAACTGATCGGATTGTATGGCTGCAAACTGAAGGAAATGAAATATAGGATTATTAGGATAATTTAGCAGTTGTTTTTGAACCTTTATTTCGAAAAAAAACCAAATACCCACGGAAATAAAATTGCTGTAAACCTTACTGGAAATTTTATTGAATAAGCAAGCAAATTTCAGATTAACAGCATCCACGTATAAAGCCCACCCCAATCCCACGGCAACTTTAAGAACAGAATAGACGAGAATTCAAACTGTACTTGCACTCTGCTTAGAAATAAAACAGGCAGATTCAAAATCTTTAAATTAAAATTTACATAATATTGATAATATGAAAAATTATTTGGCCTTAGCTGATAATAACATGTTTCCTAAGCATTCCATAAACGTTCACACAGTTTAGCATCATACCATGACATGAAACGTGTGGCAACATATTTTGTTACAATAGTCGCTGTTAATAGCCCAAATGCATTGCGTTCTGAGTTAGACGGCATTTATTTGTAGTCTGCGCATATTAATTCCAGCGTTGGAAGCGTTTGAAGCCTGATCCAAGAGTCTCCTAATCGATCGGAAGCGGCACTGATTACACTTTTCAGAGTTTTGTAGTGTACGAGTTGAGACTGATGAGTGTTTCAAGTCTATAGTTCCTCGAGTTGAGTTCAGTTAAAATCGGAATTGAATGCCGTAGTGAAAACCGCATTTAGATTGTTACGGTCACTGACATTCTCGCAAAATGTTCGATCTGTAAAAGAATAATATCATTACATAAATTTCATGAAGTTACATAAAAATATAAAGTGTTAAGTGCCTAATGTTCTTTCTCAGAGTATGTGAAAATATTTTGGACAAATGCAAACAGGCAATTTTCATAGCTTTGTGTTCCAATCTAGACAAAAGAGACAAACAAGATTTAAATTAATTACCTGCTGCGGTCTTCGCCAAACGAAGTTCGTAGATCTGATGTCACTCCCAGTTTCACACACTTCTGGCTCTCTAAAGTCGAATGAGCAAAATTCAGTTTTTTCAAAATTTGTACAGTTACTAAAGTACTCTAATCGATATAATATTTCAGCAGGACTTCGAGAATATATGATTTAAAATAATTAAATGTGCCTTGACTGGGCCGTTTTAATGAAAAATTCTTACCAATGTATTTTCATCCATGCAGTAGTGTGCCTTTTTATCAATAATTCAAATTCTGATAATATAATCGAAATAACTCATCCAATGTTGATGGTAATTTCTCCATAGTGGAAATCTGAAGAAAAAAATTGAAACATTATTTCAGTTCTAAGTATGCGGGTAAAATATATAATCCCCCATTATAAACAACTTCCACATCTTGAATTCATCTACAGACACTACAACGTGTCAAAGTTGAATTACCTTTTTAAATACTCTTATGTACTTGACACTCACTAGTTTAAGTGCTAATTGTGATCCATCAACAATTTCTTCGCCTCTAGTTTGTCTGCGTCAAAAGAAGGCCATCAATGTAGCTAGTGTTCGTCAACAATTCCATTACTTCCATTGCAAATAAATTAACGGTTTCATCCACGATTTGTCCTTAGTTGTCAAAGCGACTACTCTTGAGAAAAGTTTTTTGACCTAAATCTGAATTGAAAATCAAGTACCAACATAAGTTTTATAAGACGACCAGCGGTGCCACCTGTGCTTCATCAACAATTCAACGATTCTTTCATAGATATATCAACGGTTCCATATTACATGCCAATTCAACTCGAAAAGTAATGCAGCCTGCAAAACAAAAATGGTCAGAGATTGCAAAACCAAAAATGGTCAGAGCTTGCAAAACCAAAAACGGTTAGAGCTTGCAAAACCAAAAAGGGTTAGAGCCTGCAAAAACAAAAAGTGTTAGAGCCTGCAAACCAAAAATGGTTGGAACCTTCAACAATTCAACGATTCTTTCATAGATATATCAACGGTTTCATATTACATGCCAATTCAACTCGAAAAGAAATGCAGCCTGCAAAACAAAAATGGCCAGAGATTGCAAAACCAAAAATGATTAGAGCTTGCAAAACCAAAAATGGTTAGAGCTTGCAAAACCAAAAATGGTTAGAGCCTGCAAAAACAAAAAGGGTTAAGAGCCTTCAACACTTCAACGATTCTTTCATTGATATAACAACGGTTTCATATTACATGCCAATTCAACTCGAAAAGAAATGCAGCCTGCAAAACAAAAATGGTTAGAGCCTGCAAAACCAAAAAGGGTTAGAGCCTGCAAAACCAAAAAGGGTTAGAGCCTGCAAAACCAAAAAGGGTTAGAGCCTGCAAAACCAAAAAGGGTTGGAGCCTGCAAAACCAAAAAGGGTTAGAGCCTGCAAAACCAAAAAGGGTTAGAGCCTGCAAAACCAAAAAGGGTTAGAGCCTGCAAAACCCAAAAAGGGTTAGAGCCTGCAAAACCCAAAAAGGGTTAGAGCCTGCAAAACCAAAAAGGGTTAGAGCCTGCGAAACCAAAAAGGGTTAGAGCCTGCAAAACCCAAAAAGGGTTAGAGCCTGCAAAACCCAAAAAGGGTTAGAGCCTGCAAAAAGGTAACCGCAAAAAAGGGTTAGAGCCTGCAAAACCAAAAAGGGTTAGAGCCTGCAAAACCAAAAAGGGTTAGAGCCTGCAAAACCAAAAAGGGTTAGAGCCTGCAAAACCAAAAAGGGTTAGAGCCTGCAAAACCCAAAAAGGGTTAGAGCCTGCAAAACCCAAAAAGGGTTAGAGCCTGCAAAACCAAAAAGGGTTAGAGCCTGCAAAACCAAAAAGGGTTAGAGCCTGCAAAACCAAAAAGGGTTAGAGCCTGCAAAACCAAAAAGGGTTAGAGCCTGCAAAACCAAAAATAGAGCCTGCAAACCCAAAAATAGAGCCTGCAAAACCAAAAATGGTTAGAGCCTGCAAAACCAAAAATGGTTAGAGCCTGCAAAACCAAAAAGGGTTGGAGCCTGCAAAACCAAAAAGGGTTAGAGCCTGCAAAACCAAAAAGGGTTAGAGCCTGCAAAACCAAAAATAGAGCCTGCAAACCCAAAAATAGAGCCTGCAAAACCAAAAATGGTTAGAGCCTGCAAAACCAAAAAGGGTTAGAGCCTGCAAAACCAAAAAGGGTTGGAGCCTGCAAAACCAAAAAGGGTTAGAGCCTGCAAAACCAAAAAGGGTTAGAGCCTGCAAAACCAAAAAGGGTTAGAGCCTGCAAAACCCAAAAAGGGTTAGAGCCTGCAAAACCCAAAAAGGGTTAGAGCCTGCAAAACCAAAAAGGGTTAGAGCCTGCGAAACCAAAAAGGGTTAGAGCCTGCAAAACCCAAAAAGGGTTAGAGCCTGCAAAACCCAAAAAGGGTTAGAGCCTGCAAAACCCAAAAAGGGTTAGAGCCTGCAAAACCAAAAAGGGTTAGAGCCTGCAAAACCAAAAAGGGTTAGAGCCTGCAAAACCAAAAAGGGTTAGAGCCTGCAAAACCAAAAAGGGTTAGAGCCTGCAAAACCCAAAAAGGGTTAGAGCCTGCAAAACCCAAAAAGGGTTAGAGCCTGCAAAACCAAAAAGGGTTAGAGCCTGCAAAACCAAAAAGGGTTAGAGCCTGCAAAACCAAAAAGGGTTAGAGCCTGCAAAACCAAAAAGGGTTAGAGCCTGCAAAACCAAAAATAGAGCCTGCAAACCCAAAAATAGAGCCTGCAAAACCAAAAATGGTTAGAGCCTGCAAAACCAAAAATGGTTAGAGCCTGCAAAACCGTGGTTAGACGCAGACTTCAAAACTAAAACATCATCAAATATACAAGAAAATAATTGAAATTTGGTAATAAACATGGTTTAACATATAAATATTGGCACAATATAAGCGTTAAAATGACGTTGGCTGATAAAAATCCCTCATTCCGAAGCCGTGCCACCAAAGTTTTAACACATTACATCTGATCCACCAACAAAAAATATCAACGCAAACGTAGAATCTGTAAATAAATCTGTTAAGTAATAGTTTATTGCAGCATAATTGGAGATTAATTGTAAACAAATCATTCCAAACATTTCAGAGAGTCCTACAACCGTAATGTTCAGTTTCAACTTGCAATATCATTTTCAACTCTTCCATCCACCTCTCCACATAAGCACATTAAAGCATAGCACCTGAAATATATAAATTTCGCTTCAATATAGAAATGAATTCTTACACCATTGCGTTTATTCGTCATCCAGATGATACGAGTTCTCCACCGTCACTAACACATCATACGTCACTAACACATCATACAACTTGTATTATAATTTCAACAGTTTTTCATTCGGCATCTTGTTTCCGCCAGCGCTTGTTCAACTTTTATGATAGCTTTCGTCGAGCAACACTAGAGCAATGTCGTTCCTTTGAAATATAAGAAATATAGTAAAAAAAAATTGCTAAAAAATTATAAACGTACACAATAGAAATGCACAAATCTCAGATAATTGATCACGGAAATCTCGTATCCTCTCTCATCTGCTTCTTCCCTCCATTTGAGAGATTTGTATTAAGCATGCAAACGTGTATATCGAAATAAAGTGCAGCAAACCAAACAAACTAAAATATTTCTGTATATTACCAGTGTATTTCCCCACCCTCGGTCAGATTCAATGTTAATAATTGCAACATTGCAAGTCTCAGCATCTCACCGTACATTCATTCAAAGTCCCCTCTGCGTGAAATAAAACTTCTAACATGCTAGGTAATAATTAACTACCATGCAATGTTCTAACTTTCAAGTTGGGAGAAAAGCAAGATTGCCAATGCTCATTCCCGTAGGAATAAGTGCAAGATCACAAACAAAAACTTCCAGTAAACATATGTTGACACCGCCAGACTATTTTCTCAAATGTCAATTATCCGCAGCTTCTTCACATTGAATCTGTCTATATAGAAAGCAATTAAAACCAAACAAAGACTTTAAAACTAAAACACATTTTACCACAAAGAATTTTTAGTGCCACAAATGTGACATTCTAGGAACTCAAGATGCATCCAGTAGGATTGCCAAAATAATTTCAAAAATTAAGCTATTTGTATTTGAATTTCAAATCTACAACTTAAATCGTAAATACCACAATTACCCTCAAGTATCCACAAGCAACTAAATCTAAATCTGATTAGATCTAAAATTTCCAGTTTTGCTTTGTTAAAATCTTATAGTTTTGTGGTATTGTACCTTTCAAAGTATTTTCATCAAAATTCATGAGATCAAATTCTATATTTTAGAGCTCATAGCATGCAAATATTTGTTAATAACTTATACAGGTTCCCAATTATTAGTTAAAATGTTCCAAAATCACCTTTTGACTGGTAATCGCATGCCAGTCTTCTTGGAGATGGACAAGTTGTGGTCTTCAACGACTGTACGGGATGAAGGTTGTTGCAAAGTCTGGGGGACAAATCTTTTCGCCAACCGGCACAGTCGCTTTCAACTTTATTTTCAAATATATGGCCGTTTCGCCCGTGGAATATCAGAAATTGTGTTTTGACACAGGATATTATTATACTGAATACGAAGAGTAAGTTTTTCGAAGAATTCAGAGTTCAATCTTTATATGTAGGAACATCCAAACAAAGGACATAAGACATCTATGAACATGGTCGTTGCATTATATTATATAAGAGTATTTGTGTTCTCAGTAACATCTTTCGAATAAATTGCATTTCTTGATATTTTTTTGAACGACGCAAAAGAATCCTTGAAAAATCATTCGATATAAGTGTTCGATAATCCTTCGAAACATGGAGTCTCGGAGAAAAATTTTGTAAATTCAAGATTGGAAATTCTTGAAAATTCATTTTTGTTAAACTTCCAAACACGTCAAGACTTGAACTTTGGAGTTTTGAGAAAATTGTTCGACGCAAAAAGGCAATTATCTCACTTTGATTATGAAGTTAGTTGAACAGTTTCCTTGAATTGCCGTTCCTTTTATTCTTTGCTGAGTAAATGGGGGCACGAATCTCAGGATTATGTGGTATCCAACGTCCGTAGAGGTCCGTCATTCAGTAACTAAAATATCTCATTTCTGTTATAAGCAATAACACTATAACAAACTTATCTGAGCTGTTATCTGCCTAAATTGTACAGATTATGTGTCTACAAGAAACTGATGAACTGAGTTATCAGAGTCTGCTTAAGATGAACTTGATCGGCCTCGACCTCTGAATTCTTATCTAATTAATTGTAATTAACTGACTGTTGTGTTTGCTACAAAAATATCTACTCTGACATGTATTCATTAGCTGTAACTTCATATGCTTCATTGTACAAGTTACAAATGGTTGGCAAGCAACATGTAGTTACCGAGAATGGTAGTCTTGAAAACCTTTTCGGTTGTAAATATATACGATTTCAATGTAGACTTGATTCTTCAAATACAGCCAGAGGTGGAATTTTTGCGTTAATTTTACGCTGCATATTTAATTGATAAGCCTATCTTTCAGCCTCTGCACTTGGCCCAACGCCAGATCAGACTCGTTAATATAAACTTATTCCTAATATCTGAACGTTGCATTTCCTGATCAAATAGATATTATACTGCTCAAGCTATCATAAACAAACAACAAATGTTGAAACTATTCCGCCAATGTCTAATTTTATTGGCTGGATATGTAGTTCACGAAAATAGTCTTGTAGGCTATGATTGGGATCTTAGGGCATGTCCAAAAACGGTTTTTATCTTTCGAATGTTCACATACAGCTTTGCAGTCATGCATCACATATCTTGCTAAATTCTTCAAAATTTTCTTGATCTCTCTCTGGCTTTCTTGCATATATTGGGCAGTTACTGTAATGTATTACTGTACAATTTTTTCTGTACTGATAACTTACGTTGATAAATAACAGGCTTAACCGTTTCAATTGGCTTCGGTTTTACATAACTTAGCTCTTTCACGCCTCTTTTTCTACAAATTTATAAAGTATTTCTCAATATGACTTTTTACACTCTGAAATTGTTCTTTTCACATTTATCGGATTGCATATCTTACAACTACATCTAGCCTTGTAACATAGGTAACTCTCATTGGGTGATCTCAACCAATCTGGCAATAGGATTCGGGCAAGTCAATTAGTGTTGGTGAACTCGTAAATTCATTTTAGTCTCCAATTTAAAACCAGTCATTTCAAAATATTCGAAATTTTTTTATAAGCTAATGTCAATCTGAATTGTCATTTCAACAAATTTGGAACATCGGAAAATTTGTTAAGGCCAAGAATGTTGGATGGTGCAATTTATCGAATCAATCCACTTTTGGTTAGACCAATTATTGTTTAACGCCCAATTTATCAGTTAGGGTGATTCACGTAACAAATTAATGTTTTAACGCCCAATTTGTGAGTTAGGTGTTTTACATGACCGCTTATCCGCTAAAGCCTCCCTCAACTATTAAGTCCATGCGTCGAAAACCAAGTCCATGCATCTGAAAATTTAACTGGATAAGCCGTCTTATCGATAGTCACTTCCTATTTTCATAAAACGTTTTCTTAAGACAACAGGCTGGCCCAAAATATTTATTTTGCCCAACTTTGTCATATAGCCTAATTTTGTATCGTAAGGCTAACTAACGATGATGGGCAGCCAATTTATTTATGTTATACCCAATTAATAATGACCAATTTAGTAGAAGATCAATCTGGATTCATATTACTGGAAACACTGTATCTGTAGCAAATGTTAACTGGCCCAATTTTAATTATTGTTTAATTTAAACGCCGGTTGTTGGACATTACTGGAATGCTAAATACTGATGGCTGCGCTAATATATTTGCAGCTAAATTCAATGAATTATCAAAATGTTTGATTGAGCCAAATATTGTTGTGTGTGCCGAGTTATTTTGAGTGCCAGTCATTTCACATTAATAGAAACCAATAATTTCCGCTGGATTGGTAATGTCAGTTTGTACCACAATTAATCCCAATTTCGGAAGTTCGTCAGTCGAATGTTAGTTGGCTCGAATTTGTTGATGGTAAATACGAACCATAGTCATTTCATATTATCGGAAACTTGTCCATTGGAGAAAACATGTTTGATCGAATTTATTTTCGGTGCCAATCAAAACCAGCCATTTTATATTAATGAAAAAAACATTAATCTGGATCAGTCGAATTAAGTTAAGCTTCGGAAAAATTAATGAAAGTAACTAGTTTTCATCTTCTTTGGATGATATCTGAAAATATGAAAACAGTGTTAGTTGACGAAATGATGGTTTATACAGAAGCAAATTATCAGGAAAAGGGTGACACTGATAAGTAAATAGCTGAACAAATAAAAAAGTGTGATGTATACTAAATAAAAAGTGCCGTACAGTTGTTTGCACGGCACTGCATATAGATGCCTTGCATTCGATTGCACGGCAATATGGTTTGTCTCAAACACAATAAACCACAAAAAAAAACAAAAGTAATGTCTTGCATTTGATTGCACGACAGTAGAACAAATAAAAAAGTGTGATGTATACTAAATAAAAAGTGCCGTACAGTTGTTTGCACGGCACTGCATATAGATGCCTTGCATTCGATAGCACGGCAATATGGTTTGTCTTAAACACAATACCAACGAAAATCAAAAGTAACGTCTTGCATTTTATTGCACGACAGTAGGGTGTTGTATATGAATATGAGAAAAACCAAGTCGATAGATGATAATTGTCTTGCATTTGATTGCACGACATTGCTGTGTATGGAACACGATGGAAAAGTAAGTCGAATATGATAAAGGTCTTGTACTCTATTGCACGAAATCAAAGTGTATGAACATGGTTTTGTCGCTAAGACAATTAACCATGTAAAATTACCTACGCACAAGTGTAAAAATATAGCCTAGAAGTATATTTGAAAGAGAAAAGAGTTTTAATCCCCAGACAAGATGTCTGGGAACCTTTACATCATTCATTCTCCTAATGCGTCCCTATCACCGTGAAAAAGTAAATTATCAAACCCAGCTTGAAGTCACAAGAGAGGACAACAGTGCGAGTGATAATAACTCTTCACCCTTATACCTATCTATCCCTAACTAAAAAAACTAACTATCCGGCCGTCCCAACCACCCATCTCAACATCCAAGCGAACGATTTTTGACCCTAGTTTGACAAAGTCTATTTACGCCGACCTGATCTAATATTGCAGTGAACGGAGCGTTCCCTACATATTCTAACCTGCCTAAGGTCAGCTTTTATTAACCAAACCTAGATTTATCCTGTGCGCGGGCTATTTCACTCTGCTACGTTGGAGTGAATCCTAGCTAAATGGTGCAAGCACCTGGGGTTTGGGCTGTCTAGATCGAAGCGCGGGCGTCAGCTCCCCCTGCAATCCTAAACACGAACCCAAATATTGCAATTTATGAGTTTGTTTATGACTGCCGTACTAATCTCTTGATATATAAACTGAAAGCTGACCGGCCTAACAAATCCTAAGTTGCCTGCGAACTAAGGCAACATCTAAGAGGCATAGCAGATGACTTTGCCTTGGCGCACAGTTGGCCGAATCTTAATAATAACTTTAAACTTCAGTTTTACACAGTCGTTTTTGCGTGGTTTATGGTAAGTGCATGATACAATTGTGTGCGCCACAATGCTAAAGTCATCAACTACTATTTGCCCTAGTCTAACTACCTTACCAGAAGCTTTGTGCGACTGGGCTTGGTAATATTGAATCTGGGTAAGAAAACCCGTTCAATATTAATCCAAGACTTCACCTCTTTAAGTGCAATAGTGGCCAATAGTTTTCAAATAAATCTGAGTACTGAAAAAACTAAATATGATTCAGAATATTTTTTCAAACAATTTCTGTAGTCAAGTTTAACATTTATGACCATTTATTGCACCAAAGAGGAATTGTGGTACTTTTCGATGTCTTTCGTCTGCTTCGTCCCACAATTTGCGGGCACCCTGTACTATGGCCTAACAAGGAAAAAAGCTCCAAGTCTCATTCAAATATGTGCTCCATGTGACCGATTTAATTTAGGAGACTTTGAAGCTCAATCCAAGAAATAAAGAACAAAAACCTAACGCCCTATCTAACTAATAATACATAATTCAGTGCAGTGTTAAGCCTAACCGAAACCCTTCTTTATTAAATTTGGTCGGTCAAATTTTAAGGAGCAATAATAACAAAGATATCGCATTGCTAATTGTAACCATAGAAAGGTTTCGGCATTATTGAAAGAAAAAACATGGTTAGTTTTCCTATTCCAAATATTAGACTATCAAATCGACCACGAAATATTACTATGTGGATCGATACATGAGAAAGAGATGTCAAATAAATGCCCATTACTAAGAAATTTATACTGATTAATCTATGTATAATGTACACGCCCATAAAGCGCCAGATTATAGTTATAAAAAAATTTAGTTTCAAATTTTAAATGCCCGACGGACTGAATTCTTTGCTAAAAAGCTAATAACAGCCATCTAACCACCTAGACTAAATTCGTCTGTCGAACCCTATCTAGTCATTCCTTGCTGACTAACTAATAAATCGACAGACGAAATTTGTTGTACCACACAAGTGAAGAATCCTCTAGCGAAGCGTAGAGTCCTATCTTCCATCTTCGCGCCCTTTGCTTTTCGCCCGATGGCTCTGAATCCACATCAAGAAGTGTTCGTTTAACGAACATAAACGACAAACGAAATGATACGTTCAGAACTACGCTGAACTTCGGATAGCCTGGGATAAAAATAAAATCACATTTAAGTATGATATTCGGAAATTTAGATCTGCTTTTCATTGTAATAATCCAGGATATTATTCCTAACCCAAACCCGATCTGGGTAATTACGAATTGTTGTATCTTACCTTGGTTGGTTGATGTCGAGGCTGGTCTTCTCTTAACACTCTAGTGTTATGAAATTTTCTTTAACCTGTAAATGACAATAAAACAATCATTTTATGATTTTATTTGATTGCGGTGCATTTGTAAAAATGTTATTTATCCCGGCTGTTGGTACAATTTATTAATTTATTTATTTCGGCCAAACAAGCAATTAAGTAAATCGATCTATACAAGTACCTTTTCCAAGTCGATGACGTACTAGAGATCCTTGGAGCATTCAGTCTGCCCATGATATGGTTAACGTGCATGACAGCAATTGCAAGTCATCTCGCCGCAGTGAACTGAATATTTTGGTATTCTGATAAAAATTTGAAAATTTAGGTTTTTACATAATTGTTTTTCATGAAATGTCGCAATTGACTATTGTTAATTATCGTGCAAGAGGAGATGCTAAGTTAGACCTTTTTCTGATTCGAACGCAACGTAAGTTTCAAACTATTAAGTTCAGGCTAAGTTATTAGAAAGAGCTGATATGTATTCTTAACGCATAGCACGATGTGCATACATACCACAGGGCAAAATAAACTAATCGAAGATATAATGTACTAACCTGAAAGTTCTGATACGAATAAGAGTGCCTTGAAAACGCCATATAAACAACGCAGCTTCTTGGCATCTTGATAACACACGCGTGCGGCAAGCATACTGACACAACTCCTGTCGAGTCGGCGTAGATTACCCTGATGATTATTATCCCGCGCAATTCATAGAATGTTCGGTCCTACCAATCAACTCAAAATTTGTCTCAGAACCAGGACAGTAACAAATCTGTTATTGAGAATGGGCCAATCATCTTCACAAGAAAAATAAACGTTTCCAATAAGTACGATTAGAAATATGTGGGTCACTGAGGACATATGAAGTCAAAGCACCACCTGGTATTAGTTCATACTAAATCTGATAACACATATGAAGCAAACGACACAAGATGGGCATTGGAATTCATAGTAATCTCTATTTATCCGACAAAAAAGTCCAATAACAAGCCCTAACTCCAGGGATATATCTTTTAATATACTTAGATTTGTCAAGGGTCTACACTTCAACAATGAAAAGACATTTAGCCATAACTGGCCAACCCCTGATTGCGACAAGTTTACTTCACTCATTTTAGCTCACATTCAATGGACGGCGCTCCATAAGTTTCTCACTACGTGACTTCAAATATATAGTGTACTAAACAGTGTTAGTTCGGAGTTGCTAAATCCAGGTTCGAGTTGTCAAGTCGACGCAAGGGTCACGAGGCTCGGGTAAAGTTTGAAGTCGAGTGCTATGGGCCGTCCTGATTTAACAAACAGAACCAATAAAATCCTATGCTACGATACTACTAAAATGATGAAATTATATTAAAATATACACGCACTGCTAGAATGTTACAAATGCGAAATCAATGCAAGCATATTTAATATAAGCTGCTTCGATCAATGGTCATAGTTATTTTAACCATTAAGCATGAATCATGTGGAAGAATAGCAGTCGGCAAGGTGGAGCCAGATTTGGAAAAATTTGAGAGAAAGAAGTGTGTGTGCTTGCCCTAACAGACAGCATGAATCAGAATACGTAGGGGATAAAAATTGAATTTGCTTCGAGGGTTAAAGTATGGGTAGCGAGTAGGATTGGATATGGAGATATTTGGGAAATTGTGTTTTATTCTATTATGTCACAACTTGACCTTAAATATCTACAAGTTTCAGAATCCTCAACACTATTTTAAAAGTTTTCTCGACTGCAGGCCATAATGGTAGAAAATTGAGGCCTAGCTTATGGGACAAATACGTGGAAGCACTTGTGTTTTTAAATAGAAATGCTGATTTATGAATGCATGACATAATTAACTTCTTTCATGTTTTTCTAATTGGTCACCATTTTTTCTTTCATTTACATTTACAAGCTTTTATTGTTTTCGTATTATTCTCTTGCTATTTGCATGGCGCTGACAACGCCGAATTTTTATGGCCAACACTGAAGATAGTTCAGAACTGTTTGTGTCTTTAATTGTGTATCACTAGTTATGAATTAAAACTTTTTTTCTTTCTCAAGTTGTTTTCAATCTGTTACGCATCCGAGACAGAAAACAATTTTCTTAAAATAATATTCTAGTTATTGTAGTAAAATTTTATTTACAGTGAATCAATCAATACCTTGAGAAAAGCAGGTGGGTAGGTTACAGCAACAACAATAATAACAACAAATAAATTATTAAAAAAAAACATTATGGAAAAGAATAATAAAATAAAAATCACAAAATGATAAAAATGAAATGATGGAGAATATAAGTTAAGTAATTAAACAATTTTACGAATTTCATGAACCGATGATTTCAACATTAGATTAGGTAAATATGTGATTCATACAACATACAAAAAGTAAAAACACTGAAACGGTATCATCAGCATCATCATCAGAAATTGGTAGTTTTATGCTGAAAGGAAACGGTCATTTACAAATTTCTACACAGTGCGTTTAACTGTCAGATTTTTATGAAATATAGATTTTTTTTCTGACTTTTTCCGCTGGTAACAGCAGAACTGAGTTATAGATCAATATTGCTACGTGAAATTGTAGTTATTATCCCTTTCTTGGGTAGGGATTTTCATATAGATTATGTGATTCTTCAAATAGAGTGCAAGCGTCGACGCTCATCCTATAAAGTGGAGTACTGGAACTTAATAATGAACACTGATGCTAAAGCATGTTTAATTACAAATTTGTCATAAAGTTGTAATCTTGGCGAGGAACTTTGAAAATGCCTGACATTGGTTAAATTAATTAATAAACGTTCCTAGGAAAAGGAATTCAATCACTGAATAGAGAAGAGTCGCTTGAATATTTCGAATAACTTCTTCGGGAGCGGGTGTATCTTGAGCGCCCTCTGCTACTCGCATAATCATCGCTATCATAATCGCTGGAGGCGCTGCTGCTATCGCTGATCCATTTTCGTTCATAGGGTATAGGACGCTTTCGGGCGCTGTAAAATAATAAAATTATGAATGAAATCAGATTAAGAAACCAAATCCGTAATTTGCGAAATGAGTAGGTTGTTCCGTCGGCTTGCTTTCCTTTCCCTCGGAATAAATATAAAGATGCAGTAATTGTACCCTAAAACAATTCTAACCCAAGCGAAATGGTAAACAATGAATCGGTATAAAATTTTTTAATATAAATCGATCATAAAATATGTTTTGACATTGTTTCATTTTGATTTAGATAAGCCGGATGCTATAAAAAAAATTCCTATCTAAAGATTGTATTTTAGACAATACTCTGAATCTGGGGTCTTCAAACTGGGGGTCCCGGAAAAGTGGATCGTGATTGAAAAAGTTTGAAGACGACTGCCTAAAATGACACGTCAAGATAAAACACTGTATATCCACATTGTTTATTCAATTTAGAATGCACCCGTTGCTACCATGGTTATTATTTCAAGCTGTGTCGCCAACAAACAGCACGCTTTCGAGCGCCTAATCAATTATTCAACGGGACGAAAATCACGCCATGCAATATATCGATCGCTGCCAGATGTCGAATTTTCGGAGTGCATTTCGTGATACATTCAGCAGACTGTTATCTGGTTACATAAATATATACAAGTGTAGCATCTTGATTGTTAAGTTGTGATTGTTAAATTGTTCTGATAAATTACCAAGGTTTGTATATGTTTAGGTTAATATATTTGAGTTGGGCCAAAGTCATGAATTGCTACTTTTCACTCAGTTTAAAAAGTGAAACATGTACTCAATGAAAATACCCAAACCCATATATATATTGTAAACAAAGTGCGTTTGCTTAAAATTGAAACCATAATAATAGATATTACATTCAGTTTTGCATCAGAATCATATCTCGCTCCCTAAATTTGGTAAATTATCGTTGAAAATTAATCCATTGTATGGGGGGATTAACAGACGATATACACCTGTTGTGAATATTCACCTTCGCCTGTTTCCGAATCGGATTAAGCATTTCCCGTTCGAATGATTTCATGATCGGGAAATATTTATAGCGCATATCTTCAAAGTCCGGATTTGTAGAAAATCTATTCCTAATCGATTCCCACTTTGTAGGATTTGAATAAATTCTGTTCAAGTTTTAGTGTTTAGGTCTCAAATCAAAGCCACACGCTAAAAATCTATGTTTCAGTCTGAACTAAATGAAATAAATTTAAACCAGTGAAATATGTATATACCTAGTTATTCTCCTTGCTTCCAAATGTGAAGGCGATTTTCTTCTTGGATCAAGGGGAATTGACGGACTGCGACTTCGAGAACGACTTTGCTGATTTTCTTCTTTTGGGCTTGGTGACTTTGTCTTCGTGCGAGAGCGAGTGCGTGAACGACTAGATCTATAAATAATAAATATATATATGATAAAAGATGATAAAATATAAATTTATGAAAACCAAAACAGAAAATATCGAGTGAAAATGACAGAGATGGTATGATAGTTTTCCAAGAAAAATAATGCTCAAATATATGAACACAAAGCTCGGCTGAGAAGAAAAAGAAAATCGTACCTTGATTTTGGTGAAGAGTGTTTGTCCAAGTCGTCATACGAGCTGCTTCGTTCGCTGGAAATGGATTTTCTTCGTCGTCTGTGTTTGGGACGTTTCGAGGCCTGGTTAGATTTTGTCTAAACAATCCAAACGTTAGGATTAGTACAGAAAAAAACACTGTATCAAAATTGCTGCGAAGAATGAGTGTTTTAATGTGATAAGTAAATTGATTTCTACAAAATAACAGCATACATAATTGCTAAAATCAAACTCTAAATTTAACCTGCGTATTACCATGTCATTACTTGGGAAAAAAAATCCATACATGCATTTTAAGCAACTGAAAAAGAATGGCTATGGAAATCATCATGCAAAACATTAGGAAACAGCATGCTAACTTCTACTGCTCCAAACTGTGAAATAATTATGTTCCGTCTGGAGAGGCATTGACTTTTTGTAGAAAAAAGCATTTCTAATTCCGTGCGAACAATTAAGGAAAAGTCTACTGTGTTCTGAAACTGGTGCAAAAATGTCTTGTACCTTACCTTTAACCAGATCCGAGATATTCCTTATATGAGTAAGCAAATAGCGAGCGAAAATAAACAAAAAAGCAATAACTATTATTCATATTAAGCTTGCTGAATTATAAATAGGCTAAAATCATTGAAGCATAACGGCGACATCATTATGGTATGGTAAAATTAATTTGAATGGAATAAAGTAAGTGATGGAGAATTTTGCTTATAACGATTGTGTGTCGTACCTTATGCTTCCGGCGCTTTCGAATTTTTCTTCTACATTTGCAACATCGTTTTCCATGGCCTCGACTCTCGGAGGACGAGCTTCGGGATGTACTTCTTCTTTTCCGATGTCGTTTTCTGAAAATTTAACAAATGCATCCATTATTCATAAACTAGGCCACCGTGCTCCATCGCATTGTTTCAATAAAAGCTTTCGGGAATAAATTACTTTATTGCCCTCAAGTTTATGCTTCAGTGTCATATAATACAACACGAAAATATGATATTGATAGTTATATTTATTGAAAAATGAATAAACAAACACTTTTTTCCGCGTAGTAAACGTAGTGTTAGTGGTTATTAATTATTTTATTCATTGTGCAACTGGACATCAGTTTATTCTACTCTCCGGTACCTTTTCCGGCCTCTGGAATATGATGCGTTTGAATTCAAAGAGTCGTCTGATGTTGCATCGTAATTATTTGGTGAAGCTCTCGTTGATGCAATTTCGTCGTTGGCAACTGGAAATATACACATTTAACATGATATTCCACAAATATTTAGTAAACAGTAAACGGGCTACTTTAAATTGAAAGCCAATTTAAAAATGTAGGACAAGCTTATTACCAAATCTTTTTTTCGATATAAAGCATGTAGGCCTACCGTATACAAACAAATTTTCCCGACAAAAAGATTTGAAAAAACGAATGATGTCTTTCACACTTACCTCCACTATCATCGCTTTTCCGTTTCTCTGATTTCGTTTTATCTTTCTTATATCTATGTATTTCATACCCTAAACTCAACGCTGTTAACGGCATATTAAAATTCGCTGTTGCGGCGAAAACGACCTTCTTTCTCTTGCAGCGCACGGCAGGAATAATTTCAACTAGGCTGTGAAATGGGTAACATGCAACGGACGTTCGATCCCTTTTTCGATTTTGAATAAGGTCATCTGTGTGCCGTGTCTTTCAATGCTCTGAATTATTGAACGAACGCAGAAGTGCGCAGATGTTACGATAAAATACGGCTGATTAAAAATTTGCGTTCAAGACTACCGCACTGAATATTTAATGAGGTTCAGTTTGAAATTCACTCGGGCCTAACGTTACCACATTAAGATCGCATTTTATCTTGTCAAAGACTGAAGTAAAAATAAATTACTCGAGGAAACTTGTTTTTCTACTGGAAGTTTAAGTATATCAATTATTTACTGCAAGCAGATCAAATCATTAAACTCTCTGGTTTCAAAAATATAAACATTGCCCCTTCTTTCAATTTTAAAGTACTATTTTTATGGTTTTACAAAACCGCCATTATTTTAATATAACTTAAATATAACTCCCCCTGATTGCGGCCCAAGGAACGGCTGTTTGTCACTAGTATATGCGTTTGGACAAATTTTTGGTAAAGATAATATATTGGACCTATGGATCGCTTTGTTATATTGTTGTTGTTATGAAAAAATCACTTTTCTCTTCAACTACTGGACAAATTGCTTTAAAATTTTTAATGGTTGAAGTTTGTTGTTGTCTCTAGAAAGCTATTATTTTTATTTATTCCAAACATATCTATGGGCTCTATAGTATAGCTCTATAGTTTGTTTTTCATGTCGAAGTTATTTGTGATGACATCGACGTCATTTTTCGTTCGTCTGGGTGCCTATTCCGTTTTTGTTTTATCTATAATTTCATTTTTGGTATATTTGTTCTATACTATACCACAAAAACGTTTCTCAGGTTAGTTAGAAAGCTTTTCTCATTCACGGCATTCTAAGTGAGAATAATAGCGATTTCGATCTAGTTTTCTCTGCGCAGCTTTACACAAGTTCGAGAACAACTGAGATACAAGTAACCCCAATCACACCATATAGCGTATAATTATACGTATATATAGCTCATTGCATTACAATTAAAGCCGAACTAAAACATATCAACAAGAAAGAAACAAACTTCCTGGAAAAGCGGTTTCGGGGTGCGGAAATTGAACTGAGGGTCGTATGTCGAGTGTATGATGAACTAACAATGCTTTTTCATTTGTAAAAATTGCAACACCCACAGTATCTTCGTTCCTTCTGTAATTGTCTCTCATCAAGAAGTGGTTCATGAAGCAGACTCTGACAATATCAGACGGAAATGAAAAACCTAATTATGTTCTGTACATAATAACGGTGCGATTTTTTAACTTCTACTGCGAGCTTAACAAAAATAAACTGTCGAGGTTAGTTGTTTTGAATTAAAAAAACAAACTATTTGACATAGAGCATTAAAATTGCGAATACATTGGAAAAGCGCCTGAGCGGTTTGCCAAATTTCATTTATTACGTCACCGTTGAAACATCCATTGTGACCATTTTTTCGCTTTACTCTTATATCCTTAATCACAATCCGTATTCGGTTGATAACAGTCTGCTTTTAACAAGCGGCAATTTCCCAAAATTTGGACAGCATGGGAATCAATGATGCGTTTATTCTAACTAGACGCGCATCACCGTGTGTAAAGTGTAAGTAAACAAATGTTTTTTTTTCTAAGCTTGTGTTTTTAAGTTTGTACATTAACACCGTCCAGTGAATAACTACAAATATTTTTTATTAAATTTGGTTTGAATGGGCAAAGTATGTCCCCGAGTCATTTTCTCTCTCGTTGGTAGCCTGCCATCGCCTGAGCCATACAACCAACTCATTTCAATTCTCTCCTCACCGAATAATAAACCCGAGAAATACACCTTAATACACGAAACTTGCGCAATAGGGAGCCTAAAATTACTGACCAGGTTGTTACAACGCGGGTGACCAATAAATAAGGTCCTCTCGCACAGAGTCGTACGCTGGTTTGTAACCATAGTCCTCAAGTTTATCCTAAATCGCCAAACGTAAATAGATGATTAAAGATGGAATAATGTAACAATTCATGTTACCATCTAAACTCCGAGAATATCAAACATACGATGATTATTCTTTGCTTCGTATTATTATTTCGATGATAAAAAACATAAACGTCTTGGCTAAATTCAAATTTATAATATTAACCTGTATGAAGCGGCTTTGCATATTTTATCAAACTTTCCCATATTTTAAATGAACACCATAACTATGGCCATCGTTAGATTTTTTTAGCGTATTCAGAGACGTTGCCTTATGTACACTGTACGCCTAGATATGTGCTCGAGGAGTATTCAGTTTGAAATGTCGTGTGTTTTAGGGTAAATTCGAGCTTGCTCTGATTTTGTGCTTGAACCCGGTTTTAGTTTAGTGTTATTTAATTGATCAGATTAACAAGAGTAATTTTAGTAAAAGGATCAAAGTAAATGTTTTTCATGTTTATCACACAGATATGAGAGAAAATATAATCACGGAAGATAAATGTAACCAATCGGTCAATCACTTATCTACAGAGTATAAAGATGAATTACAATGTAAGATAAGCACGCTATTAATCAGTTAAAAGAAACATGATCACACGTGATAACATTTATCAGTTCGGGGCTATTGATAAGCTGAACAACCATTTAAAATCACGATTATTATCGACAATAAGAATATAAAAGCACTATTACCAAAGAAATTTACATTATTGTATTACGAACACAAGACAACATTAACAACTACAAAATGATTTCCTATCGTCATCCTCACCAAGCTCTATGGAATGCTCAATTGACGCCATTCGTTCGTTATAATTACGCTGGCATTGCAGATTTGGAAGAAATAACAACAAGAAAAAGAAAGTTTTCGTCAGACAAAGGTTCAGATCTCGTGAAATCTGAATATGTAAATCCGAAGACAAAAGTTGCCCAAATTTGCAACGTTTCAAAGCAGTCAGAGCCAGTCGTCAAGGTAAACACTGACAAACGAAAAAAGAAAACTACTTTATTCACCATAGCCGCAATACTGGGGCACTCGACCGAGGAAAGTCCAAGAAAAAAGAGAAAACTTCAGCTTACACATCCAACAAATAGAAAAGATGATTCAATTGATTCGGGATTTTCGTCATCTGGAGAAAATGACGAATCCATTGTTGTTAGTACAAATGACGACAGCGGAATTTGTTTAAATGATTCCAATGAGCAACGACAAGCACCAGGCAAATTTCAGTCTGCTCAATCGCAGCTATACCAACCCAAGATAGAAAACATACGACCACCTTTGGAAAGCTTCAATCACATGTATATGCCTGTCAATGGTGTACAATATTTTTATCAAAGCTTCAACCGATTTAGGCAACAAAACTCGATGCCTAAACATCAACATGCTATCTCATATGCACCGATGCAAGCAATAGCTTTCGTAGATCAAGAAATCCGGCCAATTTCAACAACTTCCAGATCTCAAAAAGCGGAAAGCAGTAAAAGAACAAGAACTACATTTACTCAAAAACAATTGGAACGTTTGGAAATTGAGTTCAGCAATCATCAATACATGGTTGGAATTGAAAGACGGGAACTTGCTAAAAAACTCAGATTGACAGACGCGCAAGTAAAAGTTTGGTTTCAAAACAGAAGAATCAGGTATAGGAATGAAAAGAAGCGAGAACCCGAAGAAGAAACCAAAAAACTCGATATCCTCAAACGTGAAGCGAGTAGAGAACCTTAAGAATATTTCTCTGTAGTATATATATATATATGTAAGTTTCAAAGTTTCAATCGCTGTTTTGTTATCGTTTGTACAGTTCTTTTTGCACAAAATTTTCATAAAATAAAATTGTTCGATGATATCTAAACAAAGTATTTATTTACCCCTGTGTGTGCATATAGGACAACCTTCTCCACGCCGAACCAAAATCAACTCCTTGCGAGCCGAACAGAATTTCTTAATATTAGGGGAAATCTATATATTTCATTTAGAGCGAATCTTGTTCTTAATAATCATCTAAGAATTGAAGTCAGATATCGAGACAGTTCGGACTTGGTTGACGACTAAAATAATCCCACCATATATGCGTTATCGGTAAGGCTAACAGATTTTACAAAGTTTCCGGTGGTAGGCTACGGTATTTTGGACATATCACTTACCGCTTGGGTTTATGTACGTTTGTATTGTACCCTACACTGGCGTTGTTTAGAATTAGATCACCGCACACACTAATTTCGCAGTGGACGATAGCGGTCTCATATATATATTTCACATATTAAGGGCCTAAAGTGAAATACAACAAATCTGCCGATTGCAATGAAACGAAAAACCGTCCACACTAGCAGGGACGAAGAACACAAAAACAATAGAACGGGTATAAGCATCTTTGTAGTTACCAAATTTCATATGTGCCAAGATATTTGGATTTACTATGACGAATCGGATCATGCCCGCGGGCCCGAGGTTGCCAGCCAAAGAGATGACAGATACAAGAACGAATTAGAACATTTACAGGTTAAATGTGCCCCTGCTTACAGGTACTTCTACCTACGAAGGGGCTTATGAAACGAATTAATTTTGTATGTAGCGTTTCTACTGTAGCTGCAAGCACAGTTTCTTTTTGTTATTGATCTCGGGGCAATGTTAGGAGTCTTTGCAGAAATGTTGAGTTACAACGCATAATTTTCTAAAGAAAACAGCTATTCAAATTTATTGTCACACCGACTTTGAACGAATTCAGTAAAAAACACGTTTTATCACATTGTGTTTCTAGCAATAAGTTTTTGCTAGCTAGTTTCGCTAATATGACAGTGGCTCTCGAATACTGGTACAGGCTTTGTGACGCAAAGAGATTGGGATTGCTCGCACGTACCAGATTATCTAAACTAAAAACTTGTTTCGCGGGCACACTATTCAAATTTGGCACTTCTTCGCGGGCCGCACAATTTTTCTTTGCGGGCGGCAGTTCGCACACAACTGGTCTAGGGAGTAGACCTGATGTTTGATGTTTTAACTAATAAATAGCTCAAGGAATTCATTAGGATTGCAATTAAAATTAGTTTCGGCACGAGGCTTATTGTTTTCCACTTTTGTAACACTGTAATATTGTTCATAAAATGTAACTGTATACCTCACTCTCACATGTCCCGCCAATCTGGGTGGGAAAAATTTTTGGTCTCTGGTTCAAAACCTTGCCTAGCCCTGGTCTAGACTGAAGTACCTTTACCTCTCTAATTTAGTAAACCCCATTATTCTGTGATTATTCTTTACTCCAATACTCAATATGAATCAAATGGAGACCTTGGATCACCATATGACTAATTCGTATTATTGGTTTTTCAATACTTTGAAATAAATGCGAAAATCCTATCCTATCTTTATCACACTGTGAAGATGAAAGCACGGTCATGACAAAGCTGACGTATTTTGCAGATATTATAATATCAGGTGCTGGGCCATAACTTCGTCTAAATTTGGCCAGCAAAAGCCTTCGAAGGGAAATTTTGCGACTGAAAGGCTAGCCCGTCAGCGTGGAGAAGGGAGCGACGCGTAGGTTGCTTCTAAGGTAAAACCTACGATGTATAAAAGGCCAAGCAACCACGTTCTGAAAATACCACATAGTATTTGCGTAAAAGAGAACAGGTAACTTCTGCGCCGTTTTCTGCATTTTGTGACACGTCGAACTAAATGATTGAAGGCGGGTCGTTACGTTAGTGGCTTACGACAGGTTGTTTTGATAAAACGGACCCACTACTCGATAAGTTAGCGTAAACTGACAATTTTGCAAATACAGTAAAAAGGAAGATCATCATCTTTGATAGCCTACAATACTAACCTACAATAAGAAACAAGATTCAGATTTTGCCAAAAAACCTACGCTGTACGGAAAATTGACATTTCGATATATTTGAGAAGCTGAACAATTGTCTAACTGCTGGGAACAAAATAATTAAAAACCATAAAAGAAACTGGATGAAATATAATTTTCAATTGCGTGAAGAAATACTGGACAGTCAACTCAAAAAGACTAGAATTTTAGTTCATCGAAATTAGCTAGAATAAACCCTTTTCACAACCTAGAAACCTAGTTCTCTGTGACATGATTTATTGAGGTACAGTAATTGACTATGGGTGATACGAAAATTTTAGCAAAACCAAGATAAAAAAGATTATCCGCTAGTTGGTGGTATAGGTGCATTACAGCCAGTCCATTGTCGAGTATTATGAGATTTCAAGTTCGATGGACGTATTTGTCTTTCTCCCTCGACCATGAGTACTTCCATAGCTTTTTTGACCAGAAAAGAACCGTATAATCTCTTTCGGCGCACATCCCACGACGAAGCTGCACCATAATAGTCCCCTCTTTTCTGATTTGTAAGATGTTTTAGGCCAATTGCTTCGATCATTGACGCTTCACGAGTGTACGCTTCGCAAGCGATAACACTTTGAAAAACATGGAGAGATATGACGCCGTGTCCCGAGTTCCAGATATCGTGAATGTGGCGAACTTTGAGGCTAGGATTCAGCTGTGAAATTAATTACACCAGAATTAAATAGGGAAGAAAATAGAACTACAAAATCAGAAAAAATCACCTTAGATTGGAGTGTTTTTTATATATAAAAATTTTCTCAAAGCAAGATCACATACACTCCCTCAGAAGCAAAGAAAATGATCTCGGAGTAAAAGTGAGAATCTGCACCATGGCACCTCCAAGATCCGATTACCCTCTGTTGGTTTGCAATTTCGAATCCAGTTGCGGTCATTTGCATTGTATGCCCAAAAGTCACATATTATATTATTTTAACATCTTACCTTATACAAAGCCCTGTTTGTTTGTAAAGCTTCATGAAAATGGCTGTAAGGTCTTGACTGTTTTCCTTTACCTACATAAAATATTGCGCCAACGAATGACTTGAACGACTCTTGTTCAGTGATATCTCTTGCACGAATCGGAAGTTTATCTGTTACTCTTAAAGGTAAATAGTTTTATTATTGCCCATCTGTAATGAAGCAAATAACATATATAATTGTAAGGTAACATATTGATTAAAAAATTAAGAAAGATTGAAGACACTGCGCAACAGAGGGAAATTTACAATTTGATTCCCGACTGGAAAGAATTTTAACTAGTTTCGTATTTTCAAACTGTTGAGAAATTCAATGAATACAATGCTTTTTTAAGTTTTTGTAAAATAAATTTGACTTATTTTATCCCTAAGGCTCCAGAAAAATCAGAATTTCAACTCCCGAAAGGTCAAAAATACAACCTCTACGCCAGTGAAAGCATCATAGTCCAATTGTTACATTAACATAGTAGTGCGGATGAGTCAGCATTTATTCACACCAAGCAATTTAAAAAAGACAGTAGCTTTGGATTCACAAAAATTCTGACTCAGCCCCACAATTCAAATAAAATTCTTCTGCTGTGAGGAATACTCGTTTTTTTTTTCAGAAATTCAGACTTTTTATTACCAAAAGACAGAATTTCAACTCAATTTTAAAAGTACGACCTTAGAATTATCCCCCAAATCAATAAAAACATCCCAAATTCGACTTCAATTGAATGTCACCTACCTAGAACATTTAAATTGACATTTTTTCCAATACGTGACCTAGACTAACTAGTAATGTGGAGTATGTGGTTCAGTTTCAACCCCTTTAATCTCTATCTAAAATAAACATGTCATTTCCTCACCCACCTCGGGTCAAGTAACAAGTACGTAAAACTATTTTTCATAGTGCCTTCTCTCCATTGTAAATTTGGGTCAGGTTGTTCGAACTGTCGTCGTATCATATCATCATCATCAAATACAGATGTAGGAAACGATCGGCCCAAAATGATTCCATGCAATTCAGCAGAAAATTTGGGATCTTCAACTAAAAAGAAAATTATGTTTGTAACGTGTGCCTAACTACAGTTCATTCTTTCAATCTCTGCTATAGTGGATACATATGCATTGACTACATACCGGTAAATGAAAACTGCTTATGATAAGTGGTTCTTAGTCTGGCATCAGGCTTTTACAATGTTTCCCCGAAAATAAGACCTAGCCAGAATTTTAAAAATGCTTCTAATATGAGCCCTCGCTTAAATTAAGACCTAGTCAATAGTGATACTTTTTTCTGATGTAGTCGATAGCAAGAAATCTTTCCTAGACGTTTTATATGATTAATCCCTAATCCAGACGATGATGATATGGTCATTTTTAAATAATCTATGTTTAGCAGTTTTTTTTTTTAATTAAAACTCATTATTTATAGGTAAATGAGTATCGGTTTTCAAATTTTGTATATTTGGAAATCTTGTAATTCTCCACATTGTAATTTTGTCGTTGATAAATGAAAATAAACAACATCCCATAAAAAAAACATTTATCATCTGTCATCATCATTTATTGTCTGATTCTATTATCCAACATTAAAATAAAGTGAAGTTACCTGTTTTATGCAATGAGCCATCATCTGTTGGTTGGTCCTTTGTTTCTTTCGGTCCGTTTAAATGGTTTTCCAATTTCCTCAAATATACTTCCCTACAGGCTGCTATCGGTCCTGGAGTGAAACCGAGTGAAATCAGACGATCCCTGAAACAGTTTTGAAAAAATTTATACATAGTAAGATATCTCACAACTAGGATATCATTGTAGATGAGGGAAAGCATATCCATCAAGCAGGTACATGAACCAGGAGTTTGGCGTGTTGGTGTTACCATTGGAATTCGGTCTTCCAGACTTTTAATAGTGATATTTCGGGACACAGGGGTAGATTAAGCCATAATTTTATTCCGATTTTCCTTATTTTAGTTACGAGTTCGGGAACCGGTTGTGTTAGCCAAGTGAATATACCCCCTGCCCATAGGTTTCAGTTCCTTTACACAACTTGATGTTAAAATTAGTTGCCTCCATATTGGTACACATACTTCTGGAAAGCCCATATTTCCATAGAAATGCTCCAAAGGTTTACATACATCAGAATGGTTATTAAAATTAGATTTTTTCAACGTATAGTGCTGATATAGACAGAGTTAAAGAAGAAGTCAAAGTCAGAAGACATTGTATATTTCCCGCCGACTCCATGAACACTGACATGAATCACAAATCAAGCAACTCCTTTATTTAGAATTACCGTATATGCTCGTTTTACTGCACGATCTTGATTAAGGGCCCGTTTGAATAGCCGCCCGTGTGAACAGAACATAAAATTAAAAAAGGGCCGGTGCTTGAATACCCGCCCGATGTAAGAGCTGATTTTTCAGTGGTAGAGAACAATAGGGAATAAGAAGCACTTTTGTCACAACGCTGTTGAATTTTGGGCGCCTGTAGATAACACTCACGCCTTAGACGTCCAAGTACATAACAGATAGCATTGATTATGTAACACCATGGTTCTCAAACTGGGCGTCGCAACGCCCAAGTGCGTCGTTTCAATATTGATAGGGCGTCGCAAAACTTTTCTTCTTTTGCGGATTTGTACCTGCGGTGCGTAGAAAAAGTCAAAATTTTCGTTATTCTCGTTTAAATCATATTTGAGAACTGGAAGTAACAAAATATTAATTATTGTAACGATCGAAAATAACAAGCGCCCGTGCTTGAATAAGGGTCGGTTTGAATAAGGGCCCGGTTAGTGAGTTCTGAGTTGGTTGAAAAAAATATGGGCCCGGGCTACAAAACGAGCAAATACGGTACTTAAAAAATAATTTTATTACATAGTAATTAACAGTACAAAAGCAAGACCATTCCTGATGCATATCTAAATGTGTCATCTTCTGCTTATATAGAACCTTTTTAAGAGAGATATCAGAAGATATAATAGTATCAAAGTAAAAATGCACCTGATTTCTGCATTACTCAATTTTTGAAGTTCTGATTGCGACATTTTTTCATCACTTGAACTTTCTGAAGTTGTTGAAGACTTTTTTGCTCGTTTGGATTTTTTCCGAGCTGATTCAGGGATAGGTTCTCCTTTCCAAAACGTCTAAAAATGAAAGATTCGACTCAAAACAGTTTTCTTACACCACAAAATTGAATGAAATTCTGTTAAAAATAACAGCATTACCTTCCAATTATATATGATTGTACTTTGATTTCCTGTACTTTGCAATGTTGAAGACATTTCCATGGCTTTAGCACAATCTTTGCTGTGAAATGAAATGGATTTAATTTCATCAATCTGTATTCATTATAAGGAATGCCCAATCATGCTTGATTACCATCGATTCCGTTATGAAGTTTATCATTTGCTATTTTACAAACCTGGCTGCAGTTCCTGATGCTTGGTTTCCTGGTAAGTCTGCTGATGAAGAACACTCACAATCATGTGTCGGATTCGCTGGAAAAACACATACATATGTGAGTTTTTATATACGAGATTATGAGTCCTTTTAAAATGCATGTAGCAGGTTGTTATAGAAAAACCAGAAAAATTATTTGTATAGTTCTATATCAGGGCTACTGAACTATTTTTACTAAAGGTCTGTAAACAAAACTTAAACATTACCGGGGTCCGGTCATTCAAAAAATATATTTTAACTATGCAAACAAAATTTCAAATGTATCATTTGACGAAATACAAGCGTAATACTCAATATCGTGTTTCGATGCCATTATGACAAGGCTTCACTTTGCGTAGCTGAGCCCTCTTTGCTGAAACGATACCGGTATATATGAAAAATTTTCGCCACCATAGCAACCGTAATAATACATATATTTAAGACTGAAAATTTGGAATTTATTAGTTGCGGAAAAGAACTATTTTTTAATAGGAAAAACCACAACGTCCACAAAAATTATAGCAAAACGATGCGGTCGCTCAAAGTTCAGTTTTTGCGCCACCATTCACATCTTGATGATTAGCCAATGCTAGTGAGGTAAACGAGTGAGTCGATGCTCTGAAAAAATTATATTGCTTTGACAAGTTTTTCCGCAGCGGAAAACGCATTACATTACGATTTCGAAATGAAAAGAAACGATGTATTCAAAGAAGCAGTTGCGGTCCAAATTCGATACTTCAAAGGTCTAAATTTGGACTGCGATCCGCCAGTTGAGTAGCCCTGTTCTATATTATTAAAATGATTAGATTTGGAAAGAAAAATTATATAACAGAGCAGTTTAGACATTGCAAGTATTCTAGATTCCAGTATTCCTAAGTTAGGAATACTGGAATCTAGAATACTTGCAATCCTATCACACTTTTTGGGTTTCTTTTTAGGGGAATTAAAGAAGGGGTACACCATTGAAATTTGAATTGATCTTTCGGTTCACTTAAAGATTCACTTCTTAAATCAGATTTTGAGTAATACATCCTAATCAATTCTATTTCAAAATCACTGCAAGCTGAAACACTGAAAAAGAAGTGAAATATTCTAATTTAAAAATGTACAGAAGCTCATACTACCAAGGGAAAATATTTGGAAGGTTTTTATAGAAAGTGCAATAGGTTATTTTTATTTTATTATTGGTACCTTTGATAATGCTGATATCAAAAGATGCCTCATCAACCATTCCAAATTTATCCCGTGTATCATTTAAAGCTGTTGAGTGTAATCTAGAATTTGTGGTAATTGCAGAAATATCAGTCAATGATGGGACTATCTTTTTGTGATTACGAGGAGGTTTTTTTCTCATGGGTGTTTCTGCAGAGTTTGTATTAGATGACGAGGCAGCAAATCTTCTCAGAGAAATAGAAGCTTGTGAGGGTTCCGTCGGAGACTGTCCAACTTTTGGAGATTCAAATACGCTGGATTCATTTATTGCTTCGCAACCTTCTATCGGAACAGTCGATTCAGAAAAAGTAAGATAACTATCATCTTTGACGTTATTGGAGGTCTCAGTTTGATTTTCATTATTATCATTTGCATTTTGTAAGTTTTGCTTTGCTAACTCGGATGTTGGCTCAAGTTGAAATGTGGTACTGTGATTGTAATTCAGGCAAGAGTTTGTGTCAGTTTGTTTTTTATCTGTTGTGGAATTATCAGATAAAGATAGCTTATCAAATAAACTATCTCCATAAAATTTCAACATTTCAGAAGGAGTCAATGGAACTTTTGTTGCTAACAGCATATGGGTAGAAAGTGGTGATTCTGACAAATTTGATGACCTTTTTTTTGAAAAATCAATGTCTTCCCTTTGTGGTTTTATATCAAAATTACAACATTCCTTTTCTGCGGAATTTTCCATTTCTTCATTTGGATAACAAGATCCACTCTGTGAATTAGTGACACATTTATCCTCAGATTTAGTTTTCGGAACTATCGCAAGTATTGAATGCACAATTTTAGCAGTAACAGGAGATTCAGTATTTGCAGATACACTTTTGGAAGTTTTTTCGATGGCAAATGACACGCAATGGTCAGGTGACGAAACATCTAGTCCTTTGTTGTCAGATTCGATGAAGCGATTGCATCCCTTCAAAAATTCTTCCATCGCATCGGTATACAGATTTCTGGACATTCTGTCACAAAATAAACTTTATTTTATATACATCATTGATAGATAATGTTCCAAATAATGGCATAAATTAGTATTAGTGGGTGAATAATGATAAGTAAGAAAGATTCCAATCCTGAAACAGTAACGTCTGCTTGCGCATAGCCTTGTTCAGAGTAAAATGCAAATGCGGAAGTGTCTGCATTATAATAATTTTTCAGTCCAGAAAACCCTATTGTTTATCTTTATAAAAACCAACATAATTATACAGAACTAACTAGGGCTGTGATAAGATGGTTCAAGCTAATGCTGCATTCTATATCTTATTTTACCACAAATGGTAGTTTAAAAGAGTTTATCACTACTTACACAACAAGCTATGAAATTTTAACTTAATCAAACAGCGATTTTTGGTTGCTACCCAGAAGGGTAGCACTCACCCAAAACGAATCGAATATTCGAATATCGGAGTATTCGAATAGCTTTTCGGCTGATTTTCGAATAATTCCGAATAGTAGCCACTTTTCGCCGTAAACGTGGTGTTTCCTTTCACGGGAATCTTCACACGACTTTTTGCGCTGTATTGTAATGACGATGAAATAGAATCGGCACTTTGATTGTTTATATTCTGTGCGACCGTACGTCGCATAGTGTTGCGAGTCCCAGGGATGGCCAATTCGAATAGAGTATTCGAATATATCGTCATTCGAATATCGGAATTCACGTTCATAAGAATATCGGATATTTGTGTGACGTCACACATTTTCGACGCCGCTTTCAAGACGTTTCCGTTGAATGAAAACATTCTCGATAGAAACTTGCGCGTGATTTCATTTTCATCACTCGCGTTTTCATCACTCATCAGCGTAACGTGTTATTTAGGCCGTAAACGCCTTTACGATTGTGTTATTTTCTCTAAAACGAAAATTTTTCACAAATTTGATCCACGATAACGATAACATTCATTTTATTTTTGTACGCGCACGGAATTGTGAATCTGGTAAATACGTTCATCGGCGGCGAGTTTCTAAAGACAACGCAACTTTTTGATTGAAAAGCGGCAATTTAAAATACTGAAAATAAAATCGTAAACAATATAAGTTTTATTGAGGCCCGCGAAAATTTAAAAAACGCCCTTCTAGGCAGTGAAAATCGCAAAATTTCGTGTGCCTCTGGCACACATTATGTTTGGTCGGCGTTAAGAAACATATCGTCACTAATTGAGGGCGTGATTTGCCTGATTATCCATTACTTTAAATTGCCGTCGAATATTTTCGTGTTAACACCATACAAGGTTTGAAACGCGACTTTTTCCCGGGTTGTGAAGATGTATATAATATAATTAATCTAAAGTATATTCAATCAATTTTATTGTGATGAAATAAATTTTACTCTGAGATATTACTGCATATTTATGGATTTTTCGAACGGTTTTATCTAAAAATAATCAGAGTGGCAGCATTTCGATCGAGCGGAGTCACTGTTAACAAGTACATCTAAATATTTGCCCAATTCGCAAAATACGGATCAAAACAATATTTAATCGGACAGTTTACCTGACGTTTTTATTTTTATAACCGCGGATTGCAATGATATATAAGAGTGGTGAGGATTTTATTTTGTCGACGCAACCGCAGATTAAATTGAAGACAATTAAATTAATAAAGCAAGACATTTTAAATACGCGTGTCGGTCACGAATTCATCACTTTGCACGACAGAAAAATATATATTCGTTGTTATTTTATTTGTTGTAAAAGTCGACTTTTTTAACAGGTGGCATAATCGCGGCGATGAATATGTATTTTTAATTCACTGCTAAACTTTATATGTATATTAATTGTATGAAATGAATTATACTCTACACTTAACAGGATTTTATATAATTATTTGAGATTTTTCTAACGGCGATAACGAGTTGGCAAGATTGCAAAAATACGTATTAAAATTAAATACATCAGGCAGTTCATCTTGTAATTTCAGGTCACAGATCGCCGTGGACCGAATAGTAATGTTTTTTTTGACGCAAGAAGAAGCAACCGCGAGTTACGTTGGACACATTAAATTAATATATAAAGATATTTTAGAATCTCGTAGTTGTCATATATTGAATATTTTACGTAACAGAATGATCATTATACCCTGAAAAGACGGCTCTTTTAACGAGCGCGAAATCGCGGTGGGTGTTACAGGCGGCAATGGGAATTTCCGACCTCGAAAATCCTGGCTGCGCGCTGGCAGTGGTGGTCATCTATTCTCTACTAATTTATTTCTAATTCCAAACACAACAATATGTTACACATAATAACAATATGGTTCACATAAATTAATATACAAATATACTGGTAGGTAGTAGAATACTCTAGGCTTAAATGTTAGAATTTTTAAAGGCATAATGGATTTTCGATTGTTGTTGCCTGTATTGCCAATAAATTTTATTACTCTCAGAAAATATACACAATTATCTGAATACAAGTAGTATTTTTGTCAATAGACTCTATTATCGTAATATCATGGTACCAATGATAGAAAGCGTCAGACAACTCCTTGGCTATCTTTTCATATGGTCATTTGTGCAAAGTGAATAAATTTAATAAACTGACTGTGTCACAAGTTGCTATTATTTTTTTTATTAATAGCTATAAACTATCAATTACTTTGTGTACATATACTGTTGGTCTGTGGCTTCATTCTGATATTTCTATTGAAGCTTATTTCCTAATTTACTGGGTTTTAATCAACTAAAACAAAAATGTGTTATTTTCGATTTTAGAATGTATCCGGAATTCCAGATTCGAAAACATTATTTTAGAATGTATTCGGAATAGTTTAGTATTCGGAAATGGCCATCCCTGCGTTACAAGCCACCACATTTTGAAACCTTACCTTGGAATGTAAAAAAAAGAGATTTTTCTGTATCATAAATAGCAATTTTTCTTAGTTTGAAACACTGTAATAGTCCAACTTGGCAACTTGAAATTTCAGAACCACCGAAACCCCATTAGGAAAGTCCTGGCCATTTTCCTGTTATTTTGATCAGCATTAATGTTGAAAGTACGCAGTTTAGATAACTAAGGTTCAAACACCATATCCCTCCCCTCGATCGCGATAGAACAATACTGGGTAAATAATGATAAGTAAGAAAGATTCCAATCCTGAAATAGTAACGTCTGATTGCGCATAGCCTTGTTCAGAGTAAAATGCAAATGCGGAATTGTCTGCAATAAAATAAATTTTTAGTCCAGAACACCCCCATTGTTTATCCTTATAAAAACCAACAGATTGGTTGCTAACTAGGACTGTGATAAGATGGTTCAAGCTAATGCTGCATTCGATATCTTATTTTACCACAAATGGTAGTTTAAAAGAGTTTATCACTACCTACACAACAAGCTACGAAATTTTAACTTACAGCGATTTTTGGTTGCTACCCAGGTGGGTAGCACTTTTGTTTCATTGATAATATTCATAGCGCTTTCTGGGGGTGGTGAGGAATGGGGACAGAGAAAAGGGCACTATTACAACTTCGCCCATATGATTGATTTTCAGCTCATAATTTTAAGTCAATTTATACAATAATAAACACATGAATAACGCTAGTACTTACTCATGAGAACTCTTAGCTGGGATATTATCACAACTTTTCCGATTCTGATTTAGCAAAGGCGGTTGCGATACCAATGAAGAATTTTCGTCTTTTGTTTCCATATTCCGAAATTTGGAACTTTCCTTTTGATGAGAAATGGATACTTGACAAGCAAAACTGTCCATCTCTACATCACTAGGCTTAGTTTCTAATGGATATAAAATGGAGGTACCAATACACTTATCGGTAGTGTCTAGTTTGTCATTCGAAATCGCAGTGGAAGAATTGTCTTTTTGATTTATATCTAACATACATCCTCTGCAAAGGTGATTCAAAACAAGAGGTGTCTCTTGTGTACATTGAATTCTACAGTGTGGTCTTTTATGGGAATGGACAAGTTGGTACGGATCAGAATTACGTTGGCTTTTTAAATCCAAACTAGACGGGGTATTACTGCCGAAGCTGCATTCTGTTGCCCGACTTTCAGATTTTATGTCTCCATTTGAAGAGCAATTTTTTGTGCATGCATTCAATCGAGTACTGGGAATATTATTGATTTTTGAACTCTCCTTTGTTATTAGGGGTGATTTCGCAGGTGAATTTTCTCTAGATGATTTATTGCTATCAAAACGACGACGTGAAGACCCTCTCTGCTTCATTATCCAAGAATCATCACATTGCCCATGAAGTGGAGATCGAATACTAATCGGACTTTCACTCGATTTTGTTCCAATATCTCCAACTTTTGGTTTTCTGTTATATTAAATGCAATAAAGTCATATACAAAGAAATTTTAAGACAATTCTACAATTTTGTTTACCTGTTTTCTTTATTTATAGAAATCCAAGAATCTGCATAGGGATCACCTGCAAAAAAAATTTAGAATTTTTTTTTTATTTATATTCATCTTTGTAATACATGATTTCTGGTTCATAAGGCAAATTATTTAGAATAAATTGCAAACATATAAATGCCCAATCTCATAGAATACATATTTATCCATTATTTATCTTATTAAACATTTTACAAGACGACTTGACTTAATCATATGGCCAACCACGCCTTTCGCCGAAAACCAGTCCTGTTGGTTATGGAATCAGTTATCCAGTTATTTGTTTCAGATGCATGGACTTGATGGTAGAGGAAGCCGTAATCGACCAGCGGATACATAAACCACCCGAAGACGGCGGGCGAGGAGTCTAGGAATCCTCTCGCACATATTTATCCCACACAGGATTCGAACCTCGTGCAGGATAATCAGAGGTGCGGTAACGAGATGGCATGAATGCACAAAACCACATTTGTCTGAGAACAGTTGTGTGATATTCACTGCTCGCTCACAAGCATAATTGAAGTTTAAAGACTGCTGTATAGTAATAGGACAACAAAAATCAGAATGTAATAACATGTCACAACACAAATACACCTTAAGGATCAAAATGGAAATACAAAAACACAGTAGTTAGTGATAAGTTTATTGCCCAGATTCGTGTATAGATTTTCGGAAAGACAACAAACTATGCAATTGGTTTGTCATATTATTACGCTATTTTATCAAGCAATAAAAAACTGAAATTTGAGTATCACAACATTAGCCTGCTTATTTTCACCCCACAAAAGAATATCGAAAATTTGAAATCAACAAGACAGACCAGATTTAGTAGAAAGATATCCAAAAATGTTTGTTTAAAACAACTCATGACAGATAATTGATAATACTCAATTAGAATGATGTTTACCGTTTGTGGAGGAAACTATGAGTAATAACTTCAGATTTTACCTAATGAGATCTTTTAAAAAGTCAGAAGTGATCCAAGTTATTCAGGAATGACTTGAAACAAAATACCTCGTTTTGAAGATTTTGGTGTCTTTGGTTCATTGCTATTTGTCATAAACTGGTCAACTAAAGACATACATTCAGAAGAACCATTTTCTAGTGAAAACCTGAAAATGAATAAATAAATGAAATCTGTAATATAAAATTTTGCGTTATATTTTTATTCATGGGAACATCGTTTTTATTCCGTAAAGCGTAGCAGGCTACGTTTTAATTTTGCGAACTGTGTGCTCAGACACATTTCCATATGAGTCAGATTCACATGGGATACTGGCACTACAGTTTCCTTTTGGACCCTCATGTTCATATATTTGACATTTGCCCTCTTGTATGATCATGATTTACTCACCATCTCAAATCATTACCATCATTGTCAGTGCAGTGCAGGTTTGCACCATTCTCTAATAAAAGCTTCATGCATTCAGTTTTTCCCCACAATGTTGCAACATGAAGTGGAGTGATTCCTTCTTTATTCCTGACAATCAAAGAATGGAGAATAACATATTTGTTGCATGGAACCTTATTTAGAAGTTAGAACGCAAACTATAAAAATAGGATTACAGTAAGATTATACATATATAGGATAATAATCACATATTTATCCAGGGGGAGAGTAAAGTCATTAAGTTGGCTCAATCATTTGGCAAACAACAGCCTATCATTCGGTTAGCAGTCTACGAGGTGTGGCTAAAAAGAAACGAGACTGACGTCACAGATTGCGCAACACGATTAACCATTGGTAATCAACACTTTTACAGTGTGGTGTGATATGTGTTCTTTGTTCAACAGCTTTTTTGACACAATATCGCAATTATTTTTGCTCTTTAGGAGTCGTAGGTGAATGTGATTAATTGCTTGTTGAAAAAAAAATTGCCGTGCGAGATCTGATTGAGTTTTTTGGCGATAGGGGGTTCAATTGCAGAATGACGATTGGGCAAAGAGTTAACATTAAATTTTGTGTCAAATTTGGAAAAATGCATGTCAACTGGGCAACATTTAATCGTTGAGCTTTCTGCTCCTCAGTCAACAGCCTTGGCACCATTTTGGCACTCACCTTTCACAAGCCAAAAGTGTCAACCAAACTGGTGCGAACCGTTTTTTTTTGTCTTTTCCGACTTCGCAATGACGCGAATTGTTGAGCGACGGTCGCTGCGAATCAACTGCCTTTCACAACTGAACTCACAACTGATACCTTTTCGATGTTGGTATCAGTTGTGGAAGTGCAAGGCCTTCCTGACTTCGAATCATCCTCCACATCCTCCCTGCATCCCACAAATCGCTTGTGCCATTCAAAAACTCTTGTTCTGGACATGGAAGAATCTCCATAAACATCACACAATTTCTTCAAAGTCGCAGTCGCCGTTTTTCCAAGTTTGACACAAAATTTAATGTTAATTCATTGCTCAATCGTCATTCTGCAATTGAACCCCCCTATCGCCAAAAAACTCAATCAGATCTCGCACGGCAATTTTTTTTTCAACAAGCAATTAATCACATTCACCTACGACTCCTAAAGAGCAAAAATAATTGCGATATTGTGTCAAAAAAGCTGTTGAACAAAGAACACATATCACACCACACTGTAAAAGTGTTGATTACCAATGGTTAATCGTGTTGCGCAATCTGTGACGTCAGTCTCGTTTCTTTTTAGCCACACCTCGTATGTCAGGTATGAGGTTAGTCAGCCAGTTATATGTTTTCGGTCTTGCTGGTGAATGAATCTGTAACCAACAGGTAACAGCAATCCTCTCGCACATAATAATCCTCCACAGGATTCACAGGGTAATCAGAAGTGCGGTATTGACCAAATTCTTAATGCTTAGCACGATGCGCCACAGAGCTGAGCTGTTTCTTCTTTATGTTAAGCCATATGATATCTACATCTACCAACATATTGAAATTCTTTATTAAAGTTTATTCCTGGATTTCAAATAGATCCATTGAGTAATAAATTCAAGCATATATGAAGCCTGCAATATGAGTTGCCAATGCGAGATGGTTAGGCACAGCGCTGTGAAGCCTCCATTAAATGCTCGAAAAGTTTTCATCGATCACATATGTTCATATGACTGATATCTAGCTATAGATGCGATAAATCATCAGCAGTGACATAATTACCTTACATTTGGATTCCCACCATATTCCAAAATCATTTTGGAAAATTCGTAACTAAGAGAACAACCAGATGCCAGATGAAAAGGTGTGATTCCATTCAAAAGAACATAATTAGGATCAGCACCAAGACACAAATACTTCTCCACATCGCTGTAAAAAAATTAATAAAGTATTACAGTAAAAACTTGGAAATTTTATTAGCCTAGTTGCTTAAATTTACAACACAGCCTAATAAAAATATACAAGTATGGAAGCCCACACAAATACAAAAATCATTTCTATATCTGTAAATTGACCAGAAAAAATTGTTACTGCAAGATGACACAGAAATGAGTACAAGTGTCAGACAGTACTAAAGGTTATTTATCATAAGTATCTTTAAAGCTGTAGCATTAAACAACTACAACACTATAATGAAGACTGCCTGAAAGAATGCTGTCATTCCAATTTTATATACTTGCATCGCAAAAAAACTAAGGAAGATAAATGCTAGAATGACCAGGCATTTTATGTGAAACTACATTGTACCTCATACACTAAAGCACAGCACTACTTCGAATTATATTTATGATGAAGAATTCCATATAAAGACATTATAATTCATTTATTACTTTTGCTGACACTGTTTTCACCTAACACACTATTTGGCAATTGTTTACAATTACAACAATCAAATTATTTGTTCGATTTAAGGGGCTCATGTAAACAAATTCGAAACGATACATAGGCACAACCCAATCATGTCCGTTCGATGTAAACAGTTTGGAATCTACTGCACCTGCAGTTTGTTTGTTACATAAATTAGACGACGCCCAAACGATATACGTTCGTGTCTTTATTTTGTAATATGTTTGTGTGCGTGAAATGGGTGAACAGGCACATGCATTTCTGCGTGTTTTAAACCTTACTAAAGGTCCTGCCTGTTGTCCCGATTTTCCCCTTGATTCTGTGTGTCCATCTTATGTTTTTTGTGTTCATTGTTTCGTGTATTTTGGAGATTGAAATAAACCTATACTTATATATAACTATACGGATACGCTATTTGAATTCACTTTAAAATCTCAACTCCATACAGCCATATGAATACAAAGCAGAAATGCAAAGATGTTATTTCAGAATTTGGATTTACGCAAAATAAAATCATCAAAGTTGATCAACATTGACTACCGATACTAGTACCGGTATAGTCATGCAGTTTTCGTACCAAGTCATGAATACCGGTACCGTACATAAAAACAAAACAACTTCGAAAATTCAGAAATCTAATATTTGAATATTGGGATATTTAATAATACTGTTAGACTGTACGGTAACAGCTAAACAGTGTCTTATGATACTGTTATAGGTGCAATACTGCAATAAAATAAACCACTGTACTCACTCTATTCGTTCCGTTTTTATAGCAGTAAACAATTTTTCTGCAAGAATAGCATTTGCTGCATGCGAAGTTCTGCTACGAATCCGATCCATTCTGGTACTTAGAAGCAAGACAAACAGTTATATTTACATTTAAATAGTCGTGATCATATACAGATATAATATATTTTTTGACCATGAACAGTACACACATTACTGCATTATTCTTCAAATACCAGAAAACTGGAAAACAGTGAGCTAAGCGATTGCAGAGCAAAAAGTGAAAACGAAACGTGAATATTTACTTCGAATGCCGCCACTCACTCGAGCGAAACCAAAGCCGGAGTAAATGTTTCTTTCTTTTTTTAGACAAGGAGTGGATCTATGTTTTTCATTTATATTTATAATTTCTTTTTAGAATGAAATGGTTTTTCACGTTTATTTCGAAGAGAATGGCTCAAAGCAAGAGATAAAATACTGAATGAAGTAACGAGTAATCACTAAAGTGGCGAGAGCTACTGTTACAAAGTTGTAGATTGGTGGTTCAATTTTGAAAGGGTAGAAAAAGTATATGAACAACAGAAATTTCAGTATTTTTTTTATATATTTGGATGCCGAAAAAGAATGAAATCACGCCTAAACTGCCCCAAAGCTTGGCGAAGCATGGATCAATGCTACCGTGTTTCCCGGAAAATAAGACCTAGCCTGAATTTTAAGAATGATTTTAATATAATCCCTCCGCTTAAAATAATACCTAGTCAATAACGCGATTTTTTAGTCAATAGCAAGAAAACTCTCCTACACGTTTTAGATGATTGATATATGTTTTGCAGTTAATTTGAATAAAAACGTGTTATTCATAAGTAAATGGATATCGGTTTCATATTTTGTATATTTGAAAATCTCGCAATTCTCTACTTTGTAATTTTGTTTTGATAAATAAAAATATAAGACATCTCCCGAAAATAAGCCCTAGTGTTATTTTGGAAGAAAATTGGAATAAGACCCAGTCTTTTTTTTGGAGAAACACGGTAGTGTCGGGTACGAGTCCGTAAACCCGGAGTCTTAACTCAAGGACTATCCGAGGTTCAAAAAATTCTGAAAATTTCAGACAAAAAATGAGAGAGATAAAAATAAGGCACTGGCATTAGGTTCAAATGTTCCTGATTACCAACCCGCAATGTTTCATACTAGTGACGGAGTCAAAAAGGCCAATCTGTGCCTCAAATTACCAGGTCAATGACGAGTTGCCCGATACAGAGAGTTTAAACACGAAGATCCTAAGAACGCTTTGTATAGTCCACAAACGAAAAATTTTATCAAAAATAAGCAATTCGAGAATAAAGTAGTTTTTAGAAATCCGTGTAGAACTCCCGTGTAGAATACTGTAGTGTATTTTATGTCCAGTAACAAGTTCTTGAGTATTTAATATGATTAACAATATCTCCTTATTTCCAGAGAATCAACGCTGATTTTTTATTGTTTTTTGCAACGACATTTGCGCTTGAAAATTATTGAGCAACGATGCTTTAAAATTGGTCAAGAATTAGATTCTAAAAAACGGCCATCAACTTATTTTAATTAATTTTTGGCAATACGGCATCTTATGCGTGCGTATTCTTGTGTATGTATTTTCCTCCGATGCGTGAACACAGGAGAACTAGCGTGATCGTGGAACTTTGTATTACGCTTCACGTGATACCCAAACTTCTTATAGTAGTGTGTATGGAAAAATGGCAAACATGATGTATATTTTTCTTTAGACCAAATTAGAAATCTTATTGCTGATATATACATTGGAATACGAGATACCTGATTATTTGAACAACTTCTGCAAATTCCTGTTAATGAAGCCGGCTTTGCTAATCCCGAGTGGTATTCAGAAAAAGCAAGACATAGGCTATAAAGAAGTATTTGCACAGCGAAACGATTTCTACTTGAGCCAAATCCCCATTCAAATAAGGGAATGCTGTCGGACGACGTAGTAGTCGGATAGAAGCATCACAACGCAAACAAAGCAATACATATATATTATATATTAATTAAGTATTTACACAGCGATTGTAAAACTATTGTTTGTCAGCCACGTCCTTGTCAGGACGACATAGTTAATTAATAGGTCACAAAAAGTGGCTTCAGTGTGAACAAAAAATATAACTATACCCTTTTCAGTCAGCCAGAGCGATGGAAAAAAGCTTAAAACTTTATTTTAGTTAAATTCAATTTTTTTCAGTTTATTAATATTATATATTTTGTAATATTTATTATTGCTGGTAAGATGTACTGGAATATATCCACATTGCATGATCGCCATTTCAATATTTGAAATTATTTTTAGAATAGTTAGACAAGATGTGTATTGCCAATCGAGTGCAATTTATTAAAAGATATTTTCTTTAAAATATTTCAAATGTCTTTAGTCTCAATGCGAATATAGTAATTTTTGTGCCGAACTAAGTGAAGTGAGTCGTGGTGATAGTGTTAGAAGTATAACAACGAAAGTGAAACCAAAGGAGCAAAAATGGAATGTTAGAATAGAGTCCGTACGGAAAATCTAAAGAACCAGGGTAGCAATGACCAAGTTTTCATGAATCATAAGATATTCAGATACGTGTTTTTAAATATAGAATGACTATACAAGCATTTCTGCGTCACAGCGATTCTATATCAAAGAAATTGTTGTTAGAATGTGTCCAATGGTGGCTGCAGACCAAACATTATGCTATAGCTATATTTATTTAGGTAGTACAAGAACAGAGTTCATAAAGAGAAAAACAGCGAAATAGCCGCTGTTAAATCAGCAATAGTAGGAAATATGCTCATTTCAGATGGAAGTGTTCTGAGTGGAATTAGGAATATGCTTTTATGCTGTGTGTATTTAAAATCGAGCGAAATACATTGTGTATAAAGTACTTAGTATAGCCTGAATAATTTAATGTGGATTTTTATCCATATGTCTTTGTTGGGCAGTTAAAGCCAGGTTGAAGATTCACTCTTATCAAATTGCTAATAACGGAAAGTGAGGCAATTTTAATTATTACCAAATTTAATGAAATAATTCGAGTCGGTCTGACGATTCAGACATCAATATTGTCCCGACTAAAATAAATTTTGTTTTCCTTTCTCAAGTATCATCTTGAACCTCTGTATAAATGTTTGAACGCGTAAAAACTATTTCTATCTATCATGAAAAATAATCACAATTTGGCATCCTATTAATAAATTTTTTTTCATATGAAGAGCAATAAAGTCTTAAGTACTTAGGTCAGGGTCGTCCGACCCGTGGCCCGCCGAAGGTTTCCGAGTGGCTCGCGCGGTATTATTCAAAACCCAATGTCTTTCACAAATCTGAGCCATTATTGGAACCTCTAGTAGAAAAATTGTCGTTCAAACGCACGAGAAGCACCACCTAGCTATCGAAAGCATTTTTATGTACATTTGTGGTCGTTTTATGACCTCAATATTTGACAGCATTTATTTCTAGAAACAGTTTTTTTCATGGATGAACCATGTAAAATCCCCCATGAGATACTAATTTCTGACAGCCACGTGAAAATTCCGCTCCGCATTGCTACATCGCCCACTGCACCTACTATTGACAAACTTATTGGATAAACACAATGCCATAATTCCCATTGAAAAATCTATGTGTGGTTTAAACTTTTGACTTTACTGTATCTTCGTATTTCCATTTTTCTTATGATGTAGGTGCTTTATTTGTTTTTTCATTGATTTGTAGTCGGTGTAGTGAAAACTAGAACATAACTACCATGTCAAATGGCCCGCGCAATGATTCGTAAACTGAATGTGGCCCTTCCTTCAAAAAGGTTAGACAACCCTGGCTTAGGTCATCCAAAGGCCATGATCCGCCACTGACGAGGCCACATAGAATCGAGCGCGACAAATATTGTTGAACTATGCGTGGTGCCATTGAACACTGAGGCAGCATTGGAAATTGGTCTGTGGTGCCTCTTTTTCTTGTGCTTACAATGCCTAATCCAGATCTGGGCCTGGTCCACTCCTCACGCACATGAAGAAATTGGAGAACATCAAATACACGTCTTAATAACCAAGTCCTGACCACAAACTTAAGTCAGTTCATTGTTATAACAAGTCCATGCTTTCAAGAAATGCAAGTTTGTAAGCGGTTAACGTGCACACGGAAACGTTCTGTGCCTTCCAAGTGCTGTCCCAATAGAATTCGACTTGAAATCGGTGTGTATCTTTAATAACAATCAGCAGACAATACTCAAATGCGAATGTCGAGTATGAATCAGAAACGTAGAAACAGCTACATTGAATCGAGCTCAACAATATCGTATTACAAAAAATACAATAGAATGCTGGTATGCTGTATGTATTTATAAGCGAGCAAAATACAATGGAAAACGCGATGTGTATTTATCTTCAGACCAAACTAGAAATTTTTCTGCCGTTATATACAGCTGAATACCCGACACCTGATTATTTGGGCAACTTATGCAAATTCCTATAAGGAGGAAAATTTTATCCCTCGCAGATGCCTAGAGGTATTTAGAAAAAGTATATAATACCTATAAAGAAGTATTTACACAGCGACTGTAAAACAATTCTATGTCAGATAAATCGCCATTCAAAAGAGGCGAGCCATCGGTCGTAAATATAAGATTACTATAAAAAAACATACTATACAAATATTTCTGCGTCACGGCGATTCTATATCAAAGAAATTTGTTGTCAGTTATTATGTGTCCAATGGTGGCTGCGGATGAAACATATTGCTATAGGTATATTTATTTAAAGGAGTAGAAGAACAGAGTCCGTACTGAGAAAAACAGCAAAATAACCGCTGTTAAATCAGTAATGGTAGCCAATATGCTAATTTTAGGGGGATGTATTCTAAGTGGAATTAGGAATATGTCGGTCGTTCTACAATCGATCACTGCTTTGTGAATTAAGCATTCTGAAGCATAACGTTTCAACATAATTAATAGTAATTTGTAGAAATGAGCGACTTTTGGATTTAAAAACAGTCAAAAACCGTCTAAAATCATCAATAACCCTGCTAAAACGCTTAATTAAAAACAGTGAAAAACTGTCTAAAAACATCAATAACCCTGCTAAAACGCTTGAAAACAGAGCAGGACCGTCTAAAAACAACAATAACCCTGCTAAAACGCTTAAAAGCAGTGAAAAACCATCTAAAAACACCAAAAAATCGTACCATTGTTCGAATCATACAATAAATTACAAAAACTGAATTTTGTTGCAAAGTCCCCATGTAAATTATAAAACATTTTCTTTCATGCTTATATATATAATGGAATCCCTTGAAAACGCGAAATCTATAGAGGAAGGGTAGCAATGACCAAGTTTTCATGCTTCACAAGATATTCAGATATATATGTGTTTTTAAATAAAACATGACTGTACTGAGACATTGCTGTTAGTTAACATGTGTCAAATAGTGGCTGCAGACCAAACATTGTGCTATAGCTATATTTATTTAAGTAGTAGAAGAACAGTCCATACAGAGAAAAACAGCGAAATAGCCGCTGTTAAATCAGCAATGGTAGGAAATATGCTCATTTCAGATGGATATGTTTGAGTGGAATTACGGAATTAGGAATATGCTTTTAATCTGTGTGTATTTAAAAACGAGCGAAATACATTGTGGATAAATTACTTAGTATTGCCTGAATAAATTTAATGTGGATCCTTATCCATATATCTTTGTTGGGCAGTTAAAGCCAGGTTGAAGATTCACTCTTATCAAATTGCTAATAATGAAAGTGAGGCAATTTTAATGAATATCAAATTTAATGAAATAATTCGAGTCGGTCTGACGACTCAGACATCAATATTGTCCCGACTAAAATAAAATTTGTTTTCCTTTCTCAAGTATCATCTTGAACCTCTGTATAAATGTTTGAACGCGTAAAAACCATTTCTATCCATCATAAAAATAATCCCAATTTATTCTCCTATTACTACTTTCATATGAAGAGCAACAAAGTCTTAAGTGCTTGGGCCCTCCGAAGGCCATGATCCACCACTGACGAGGCCACATAGAATCGAGCGCGACAAATATTGTTGAACTATGCGTGGTGCCGTCGTTATGCCATTGAACACTGAGGCAGCATTGAAAATTTGTCTGTGGTGCCCTCTTTTTCTTGGTACCCTATGCACGTGCTTACTGTGCTTAATCCAGATCTGGACCTGGTCCACTTCTCACGCACATGAAGGAATTGGAGAACCTCAAATACACGTCCCAATAACCAAGTCCTGACCACAAACTTATGTCAGTTTATTGTTATAACAAGTCCTTGCTTTCAAGAAATTCAAGATTGTAAGCGGTTAACGTGCACACAGAAACGTTCTGTGCCTTGCAAGTGCGGTCTCAATAGAATTCGACTTGAAATCGGTGTGTATCTTCAATAACAATCAGCAGACAATACTCAAAAGCGGATGTCGAGCATGAATCAGAAACGTAGAAACAGGCTACATAGAATCGAGCTCAACAATATTGTATTAGAAAAAATACAATAGAATGCTGTTATGCTGTATGTATTTATGCGCGAGCCGAAACGCGATGTGTATTTATCTTCAGACCAAATTAGAAATTCTTTTGCCGTTATATACAGTTGAATACCCGGCACCTGATTATTTGGGCAACTTATGCAAATTCATCATGAGGAGGAAAATTTTATCCCTTGCAGATGCCTAGAGGTATTTAGAAAAAGTATATAATACCTATAAAGAAGTATTTACACAGCGATTGTAGAACCATTTTGTTTTGTCAAATAAATCGCCATTCAAAAAGGACACGTTGTCGGACGACACAGGTAGTTAATAAGTAACAAAATGTGGCTTCAGTACAAACAAATATATAACTATACCTATTGCAGTCAGTTGTAGCGATGAAAAAGAAAGCTTCAAATTTATTTTAGTCTAATTCAATTTATTTAGTTTATTATGTTTTAAAAATTATAATAGTTATTATATATATATTGCTGGTAAGATGTATTAAAATATATCCACATCGCATCATCGCCATTTCAATATATGAAATTATTTATAGAACAGTTACACAAGATTTGTACTGCATAGTTATGTCCGCCGAATCGCCATTCGAAAGAGGCGAGCCATCGGTCGTAAATATAAGATTACTATACAAATATTTCTGCGTCACAGCGATTCTATATCAAAGAAATTGTTGTCAGTTATTATGTGTCCAATGGTGACTGCGGACCAAACATATCGCTATAGGTATATTTATTTAAAGGAGTAGAAGAACAGAGTCCGTACTGAGAAAAACAGCAAAATAACCGCTGTTAAATCAGTAATGGTAGCAAATATGCTAATTTTAGGGGGATGTATTCTAAGTGGAATTAGGAATAGGTCGGTCGTTCTACAATCGATCACTGCTTTGTGAATTAAGCATTCTGAAGCATAACGTTTCAACATAATTAATAGTAATTTGTAGAAATGAGCGACTTTTGGATTTAAAAACAGTCAAAAACCGTCTAAAATCACCAATAACCCTGCTGAAACGCTTAATTAAAAACAGTGAAAAACTGTCTAAAAACATCAATAACCCTGCTAAAACGCTTGAAAACAGAGCAGGACCGTCTAAAAACAACAATAACCCTGCTAAAACGCTTAAAAGCAGTGAAAAACCATCTAAAAACACCAAAAAATCGTACCATTGTTCGAATCATACAATAAATTACAAAAACTGAATTTTGTTGCAAAGTCCCAATGTAAATTATAAAACATTTTCTTTAATGCTTATATATATAATGGAAGCCCTTGAAAACGCGAAATCTATAGAGGAAGGGTAGCAATGACCAAGTTTTCATGCTTCACAAGATATTCAGATATCTATGTGTTTTTAAATAAAACATGACTGTACTGAGACATTGCTGTTAGTTAACATGTGTCAAATAGTGGCTGCGGACCAAACATTGTGCTATAGCTATATTTATTTAAGTAGTAGAAGAACAGTCCATACAGAGAAAAACAGCGAAATAGCCGCTGTTAAATCAGCAATGGTAGGAAATATGCTCATTTCAGATGGATATGTTTGAGTGGAATTACGGAATTAGGAATATGCTTTTAATCTGTGTGTATTTAAAAACGAGCGAAATACATTGTGGATAAATTACTTAGTATAGCCTGAATAAATTTAATGTGGATTCTTATCCATATATCTTTGTTGGGCAGTTAAAGCCAGGTTGAAGATTCACTCTTATCAAATTGCTAATAATGAAAGTGAGGCAATTTTAATGAATATCAAATTTAATGAAATAATTCGAGTCGGTGTGACGACTCAGACATCAATATTGTTCCGACTAAAATAAAATTTGTTTTCCTTTCTCAAGTATCATCTTGAACCTCTGTATAAATGTTTGAACGCGTAAAAACTATTTCTATCTAGCACGTAAAATAATCACAATTTGGCCTCCTATTGATAATTTTTTTTTTCATATGAAGAGCAACAAAGTCTTAAGTGTTTAGGCCCTCCAAAGGCCATGATCCGCCACTGACGAGGCCACATAGAATCGAGCGCGACAAATATTGTTGAAATATGCGTGGGTGACCGTACATTTGAACCCACGTACATTTGAACCCATGTCTATATCCGCGGGTTCAATCAATATGCGGGTGCTGAAACCCAAGGGTTAGGGTTAGTATGGGTTCAACTATCCGTACAACAAAAAAATTTCCATAGGTGCAATAGTATGCAGGTGCAATTGTCATGGGTTCAAATGTACGTGGGTTCAAATGTAATGGAACCCTATGCGTGGGGCCATTGAACACTGAGGCAGCATTGAAAATTTGTCTGTGGTGCCCTCTTTTTCTTGGTGCCCTATGCACGTGCTTACTATGCTTAATCCAGATCTGGGCCTGGTCCACTTCTCACGCACATGAAGGAATTGGAGAACCTCAAATACATGTCCCAATAACCAAGTCCTGACCACAAACTTATGTCAGTTTATTGTTATAACAAGTCCATGCTTTCAAGAAATTCAAGTTTGTAAACAGCGGTTAACATGCACACGGAAACGTTCTGTGCCTTCCAAGTGCGGACAATACTCAAAAGCGAATGTCGAGCATGAATCAGAAACGTAGAAACAGGCTACATAGAATCGAACTCAACAATATTGTATTACAAAAAATACAATAGAATGCTGTATGTATGTACAATAGATTTGTTTTTTCGAAATGACATCTACCTTTGAAAACTATTGAGTAACGATGCTTTAAAGTGACATTAGCGATAGATTATAAAAACAGCCATTCATTTCGGTTCGATGAGTTTCGCTACATTCTATACAAGTGTACGACATATGAATGGTTCAAGAATAGCTTCATGAGACAGCAAATGGTGACGCTACAAAAATCGAAGCAGTTTACGGCAATGAGACCAGAAAAACAGTTAATATGTATAATTGAGGATTTTAATTTCAGAACATTTAGCTCGCCTTTACATGTTGAACATTGCTTGCACTACGTTGTTCATATATTTATTTATTTAAAATATTTCTAGATTTAGATTCTTGCATATATATATATATCTTGGAGTTGGCAGATACAAATTAAAACATAATTAATTTTCACAGACTCCTATTAGTGGATGGGGCGATTTAAATGAATAACAACAACGGGAAATTTTGCAACTAAATGTACCGGGATGTAAAAGTATTCGATGTACTGATATATATGAGCTTTTAGCACTTGAGCTGCCACGGTGGAGAAACGTTTGAATTAGTCTTAGAAACATACACATCGTGTTGTCTTTTGATCGGAGTTTCCGCGGCAAGCAACGTACTGTTCTTCTGTCATTAAAGATAATGTTTTCCACGCACAAATATAAATATTTTTTTATGGGTTTGACAACGATAGTCGTTGTGACAATGATTTGGCTGCGTGATGACCATGGAATTGCTTATAACTCCAGAAATCAAATCTACAAAACATTTAACCATCCAGACATTTGCGAGGTACATAATGAATTTGAGTTTGGAAATTGGATTGATATTTTCCCCGAATTGAAAGCAATGCAAAAAAATATGTCTGAGAAAAGGCTAGGAAATTTATTTAAAAGCACTTCTGCGAAAAACACACAACTGAATATTCCAAATATAATATACAAATTGGGTGATAACTTGAAAGCCACATTAATAGCCAAAGATTATGAAGATACTCAGAAGACGTACGGTGGAGACTATTTTCGAGCGATTCTCCGACCTGTGGGTAAAACAAAAGATGGAATATCGTGTACAATTGAAGATAAAATGAACGGAATTTATTTGATTCAATGCTTGTTAATATGGTCAGGAGATTCTGAGCTTCATGTCTATTTATTACATCCCAGCGAAAGCGTGATGTTCCTCATGCTAAATACTACCGATTCAAATGGAGGTGTGCGATATAAAACTAATTTTATTAACTCTAAAAAGATGAAAGAATCTTCAGTATGTGCACTGGATTTTGGGAATGAATACAGGTATATCAATTACCTAATTTGTGTGAATTTGGCATTGTAAGAGATTTTTATGGTAATTTCCATATGACCAACATTCCTTTTTTGGTTAATTCCTCTGGCATTGACTTTGTGCTCTGTCTTGTAATTCAAGTCTTTGAGCTACAAGCAGAACTTGAACTTCATGTTTGCCAATGTAAAGGTTTGGGAATTTAGTTAACTACCAATTCCCCCATTGGTAACACAGAGTGGTATTGTTGTTGTTGGTCACGCGCTATACATATACAGCCAAAGATGTGCATATACAATCAATCTTTATGACATCATAGATTAAAACCTACTCACCGTGTTCATTTACCACTTGAGGCTGAATATGTATGTGACATTATACGAAAATATTATGAAGAGACTTATTGCCAAATGACGCTTATACCATAGCATTTATGATATATTCTTTACACTTGTTATAAATAATTTCTTATCTTCGAATCAATAACCGTTTAGGAGTTTTGGTGAAGGTAAAAACACTGTCACATCTCACCATGCAGCAAGCGTAGCTTCGCCCTACATAATAATTTAGCGGGGCATTTTAAATTAAACAAAATATGACGCGAGTAAAGATAGACGAACTTTAATTTGATTTTATATAGTTTACTACGACTGATTAAATATGGAAGTCCATTCTGAGAAAATTTGAGTTTCGTTGTTGCTACTAGCACATTTTTAATGTTAGGGAAGATTAGCTGTTGATGGGTATTATGACATCACAGATTGTGACATGTGTAAGTATTTCTACTAAAGGCGATTGGGACCTCCTGAAGTATGCGCACCAAGATGGCGCACAACCTGAACTCAGGTTGTGTACCAGGTTAGGGTTCAGGTTATGCGATATCTTGGTGCGCATACTTCAGGAGTACCGGCGGTTGAATCAGTATGTTTCATTTCGCACACATAACATATACGGGCAAACGCATTGTTCCAGCAAGTATACTGTAATATGTATGCACAAGACTTGAAATGCTGTATTTTAATATTGGGTCAGCCATATATGCATGTGGCATTGGCTTCGTATGTAATCACTTAAATGGCTGTATGTGTATATTAAGTTGGCTATATATTCATATGGCATTGAGGGCATATGCATATTTGGTTGACTAAATATGTATTTTAGTAGGCTGTATTGACACATTTTGGCTGTATATGTATATCGTGTTTCCAGTCATTAAATACAGCTTAGTGTTAAACAATTCGTGTTTCATTGCTAACTATAAAAATCATATATATATATATTTGATATATTCGCAGGCTTGTTCATGGGACATAGTTTCTTGTCCCATCCCATGGCAATTATCCCTGTCCCATCCCATCCCATGGGCTACCCGTTGGAATGAAATTCAATGAAAATTGTTAAATTTAGGTTTAGCGTCTACTAAATAAGACTACATACGAAGAAACATGCAACACAACAAAATTTACGGAATTTGTTAACTTTATATTCGTAACTATTATGCATGTGTCCATCAGCCTCTTCACGAAGTATATTATAATGCTGAATATATTTTTCTCTTTATAACTAACAAGAAAGCTATGCTCAAATATTTGGGCACGGAGTCTATAACAAATTGTTTTACCATCATTTCCTCGAAAATCATACGGTTTTCGTGTCCCATGGGATATACAAATGTGTACTGTCCCTTCCCATCCTATCTATGGGACGTTTCCCTTGGAAATCCCATTCCCATAGACAAGCCTGTATATATATTCGCCGTGCGAATGAAATACGAATTGCCGGTCGGCACATTTCCCATGTTCCGATGATCTATTCTATATTATGCAACAGCGACGATTTTACTTGGGCACATTTATGAAATATATAAAAAATACACTTTTTTACAGTTTACCTCAACTATGCAACTACTCCCATCCCAGAAATGGAGAACCTTGGTATTGTGTAAAACCACTTTCTGGAGAATGCAATGACATTGTATGGCAAGTTGAAGATGTAAGAGAAGTGCAAGTGATTCCAAACGTGAAAAATAATCCATTTTATGATACAAATACAAACTGGAACATTAGAATCGACAATGGTAGCAGACGAATTCATGTGATCAACAACAATGTAACCTGGAATGAGACAAAACGACTCCCTTGCAAGGAAATGCATGAGCACAATCTCAATCCGAGTGTACCAACTGGTTTTATTCAAAATGGCGAATGGAAGTCACTCGTTTGTAACAATTCTGAATACAACAAGCAAACGATGTTGAAATGTTTAACTAACAAATCAGTATATTTCATTGGTGACTCAACTATTAGAACTTGGTATGAATTTTACCTTAAAGAATTAAAGGCAAAAGAGACGCTAGTTCAAATTCCAAATTCTTGGTCCAGTCCAAGAAGGGCAGTGAGCGAGAAGCACAATATAACATTACATTATAAATCCCATGGTCCTCCATTGCGGAATCCAGGGCCTCCTATTTCTCGGCCGTACGTTACTGATACTCTTGAAAATATTCCTAATTCTGGAGACAAAAATGTTATTTTCTTCAGTATAGGTTTTCATTTTCAAGTTTTTACTCCACAAGTTGTAATGCGCAGAATAAAAGTGATCAAAAAGGGATTTGTCGATATTCAAAAAAGACTACCGGGTATTCAGATTTTTGTGAAAGGATTTCACACTCATACGGAAACAAAAGCTGTCATAGCAAGTGATTGGTTAAGCTATCGTTTCGAAGTAATTTTGCGACATGAGTTTGGTGAAATGAAAGATGTTACATATTTAAGTATGTGGGACGCAGCTGCTGTGATTGAAAATCCATTAATTCATCCAACTGGCAAAGAGGAAATTTTATTTTCCGGTATATTCCAATCTTTTCTTTGTAGTTCTTGACATAATGTTAACAATTGATAAATCGTTGTTGGTAACTAGTACTTACGCAGTGAAAGGGTCTGGTAGCAACCATTTATTTTTGTTATTGAACATTTACTCAAATATGTATTTTTACGAGCAGTAAAATATTTCTCTTTTTTTTGTAGCGCAAGTTTAATTTTGTTTACAAAATCTATAATATAGTATAGAAGAGTACGAAATGCCCAAAATGGCTCTAAATTTTGGTAGGTCTTATGATATTTATTAAAAAGCAAATGCATATGTTTTATTCAATTCCAGATTCGAATGAAATATATAATGTATAAATACCCTTTATATTCTGTTACATCGTCTAACTATTAAATATTCTTTGGATTCCAATATCCAAGTATCGATCGTATTTATACTCCAATAACGTACCTCAATTATCGAATCGCGAAATGAAAAGCGGCCTTGAATTTAGTCTCTCATTTCAATTATTATCTCATATATATGATTTTTATATCCATTTTGCAAAATTATGTTTATCGTGCTAAGAACGTGGCGTATATATTATCGAGTGTTTCACACACAATCTAGCAACTTTAATGAGCCGACAATAAACACAATTTGGTTTCTGCCAAACTAAATACTTATCATTCTTTTATGCTTTTGTGCCGGCGGATCCGTATGTATATACTGCAAGGATGCTGTAGCAAGAGTAAAGATAACAATCCTAAGTGATTCAATGGTCTTGCTGCACACAAACACAAATATATTTCTGTAATTGAACTATGTATATCTGAAGAATTCTGTCGAGACGACGTTACAGAAATATTTGTGTTAGTGTGCAGCAAGACTCTTGAATCACTTAGAATAAAGGCGGAATTTACATTTTGCTTCGAGGGACTGGATAGGCATATTCTATTCAGTTTATTACACTTTGGACAGTTTTATTTATCCAAAATAAAATGAAAAATACAACACATCAACTCATTTTTTCTGGGTATATTTTAAAAATTCCAAGTGCCAGGAACCCAGATTTTGGCGACAAAATGTTTCATACTAATCGCTTTGTGACCAGGAAGTTTTTCAATTTGTTTACAAATCCTACTACATCAACAATTCTGTATTAAAAAAGACTTGTATTGAAAAAGAATTAAATAATTTGCGAAGGGTAATTACTTGCAAAATGATTGACGCAAGATGATTTCCTTGCGAACCGGTTTGCTATCAGAGCGCCATGTTTTCTCAATCTATGAAACAATTGGCTCGTTGCGTTCGATATTTCCGCAATTGTCGCCTGTTTGTAACCCGGCCTTTCCAAATATTTTCTTTCTCGTATAAATATACTTGTATGAAACTTTTTAGTTTCACAACACATTGACTACGAAGCGCAGTAGGTCTGTAAATCGACAGAGTATTTAATTTGATATAGGCAAGATCTGGCATCGTAAAACGAGTTGATGGAAATGTACTGTTTTCAATCAAGATTCTGCTGGCTACAGCTGGTATTCATCCTAATTTGCTATTCTGCAGCTGTGGGGGGTTTACAAGGTAATAATATTTATATTTTCAAGTGTTATGTTGTGATTGAGTCTTCCGTTTTATTTGCAAAACAAAATAATTCAGTTTATACTTCTATATCTACTGTATATATATATATATATTTAGTTATTTGTTTGCTGTTACATTTTGAAAATACCAAATTATGTTTTGCTTTAAAAAGATAAGCTGCCACGTTGTAAATGATTTAGAGTGAGTCACGCCATTGTCCTTCTACTTTTTTGACAAAAATTATAGCCTATTCTAAAAGTATAAAAAGTAAGACCAAAAACGCGATATCAGTTGTTACTGAAAACGCCATTATGATTCGATTTGAGCATCGGTTCAATTTGTGCCAAACGCTAACAAACAGGAAGAGAAGATGTATCCACTTCTTAGGAATTCCCCTTGGCGAGACCAATTATCTTGCATTATAATGTTCAGCGACACAATTGTAATATTTTTTAAACGGTCGTCGACACCAGGCAATGGAGCAATACTATATAGAAAAGGGGCCTCTTCTGGATTTCTGTTTTGAAATTATTACGTTGAGCGGTTTAACTTCATTGAGTAAAACCAGTTGTGTTATAAAGTCGTCATTCATCAACATGGGTACGCGTTCGCACGTCCACGTATTCGAGCATAGACCGCGCTTTTAAATATTATCTGATAAACGAGTCCAAATACTTTTAAATCTACACATTTATTTATATTTATAAAAACTATTTATAAAATTAAAAAATACAGACAAAGAGAAATAATATTGCATCAGAGACATTGGTAAGCGTGTATACCAGTATGATGAGCAAAGGCAATATTTTGACTTGAAAAATCTACAATGGTGTTGCATTGTGGGGTTATTTGTGTGGGATATACTAGTTGGGTTCCTTGAGTTCCAATGATCGAATCGATTGAAAACGTACTGTGTCGACGTGGGTGTGATTGTGCGGAAAACATCGGTCCCGTGCGGACTTGTGAGACAGTTTCCTGTGACACCATAGCAGCATAACGTTGATGTGCTATTGCCAATTGACGCTGGTATTGCAGAGAAGCATACTGGTTACTGTCGTGTTGTAGACTAGGACTAGGATATTGCGGAACATGGTATGACGTGAAAGTCGGTTGACGGTACGCCGGATAATAGTTTTGAAATTGGTTTGATATTGGCTTCTGGTAAACCTGCTTCGCTGTTTCATATAAGTTTTCATTGTTTGGATTTTGTTGTTCATACTGACTTTCTGAATTAGATTCAGCTTGTTGAACTTTACTTTCTGTGCGTTTAAATCTTTTTCGTCTTCTTAAAAAAGAACCGTTTTCAAACATATCTTCTGCTGCTGGGTCAATTGTCCAAAAATTTCCTTTCCCAGTCATACCTGATTTTCTGGGAACTTTGATAAAACAATCGTTCAGCGATAAATTATGTCTGATGGAATTTTGCCAAGCAGGAAAACGTTTTTGGTAGTATGAAAAACGTTTCATAATAAATTGACAAATTTCTCCCAAAGTTAATTGTTTTCCTGGTGACTGAACAATTGCCATAGTGATCAATGCAATATACGAATACGGAGGTTTGACATCACAGGTGTCTTTTTTGTTAGTGCCTGCGACTTCTGGTATTTTAGCAAGAGTTGCGGTATGTTGTTTGATTTCGTCTACGGGTTTCATAGTTGCCGCACTGTTTCTATTTCCATACGGATGAAACCTTTGGTTCGAATTGCTTCGGCCTCTTCCAAGGTGTGCTGGAGCTGGGGTTGATACAGCTAACGGATATGGGTATCCTTCTCTTTCGTTGTTGTACTGTTGGGGTTGCATAGGCAGCTGATACTTGTTTGGTCGTATTGGGCTGACAAAAAGTGGAGAATCACTCGTTGGAGAAGGCCTAGGAATCTCAGAAGGTTCTGATATCCCACTATCCGCACTGGAAGGTCGATGATATTCACAAGTTGAGGATATGTCATTGATCATCATCGTATTGGTTGTTGGTATACGAAAGTAAATATTCTTGAATTTGACAGCGGTTGATTGTATTATATAAATAAGCTTTTCTATTGTAGATTGGTTGCTGTAAATATGCAATTTAACAATTGAATATGATTCTTTTGGTATTGTAGTGGGTTAATATACATTCTCCCAGCGTTCTTTTTTTCATTCACTGCATCTTTTCAAATAATCGTCTTGTAGTAATGTAAACAGATATTTTCCTTGAACTTCGTCAGTTTGTTTACAAATATTGCACCAACTTCCCAGGGGGTGAAAAGGTAAACATGTATTGATAAAAAATATGTTTTAAGCTTTGGGGTTGATAAATTTTATTGATAAGATAATAAATATAACAAAAGTTTTATGCGATAAGAAAATTGTTATCACAATGCCAAAATGTGATAAGAAAGTTCGCTTTGATTTCAGAGATCAATGGTTTCCATTATCAGTGAAAGTGACTTGATATTGAGGAATTGTTATCAACAAAACTATATGTTCAAAAACAAGTCAAGCATTCATCTGAAGTGTTTGATGATATGTTTCGGATGAACTTTTGTATCTAAAATATTTGGCGTGTGTCTTTCATGGGAAACTAAGAAAGAGCGAAGAACAGATTATTAAACTCTTTTTTTTGTTGGAAGGTATAATAAATTGTTGAGAAAATATTTTTGTCCCGATTGTGAAAATAGCATAAATTTTATAATGAACGGGTCAAAAATTATAAAATACAAAATTATTTAAGCAATGGGAAATTCACTGTTGGAATATTTTCCACAAGGGTTACAACCTTTCATTGGTATTGTATGGTTTCGAGCATTACACAGGTAGCTTATATCAAGGCTGAGACGATTTCTGATATCGGAAGGAAATTAATGTGCGAGTTATTGTTTATAATGCTGCGATAAATCTTAATATCAAATCAAGTTTATAATGGAATTTAACTGTAATAGAAGAATATTTTTCGGCCATCGTGCCTCACTGTTATTTTGTGTTTAAGTAATTTTGTTTCCCGAACGACATTGTATACGGGAAAGAAATAGGCTACAAAGTGACATCTAGTATTTGTATATCTCCCAAAACCTTCTACTTTGATTCATGTATCTTCGAAAAGAAACCGCTGTATCTAACAAAACAAGTTGCTAGAAGTGAGCAGACCATTTGTATTGTTATTTCACAAACGTCACAATGGATAGTTTAAATTAGGGTCGGTTTTATCATTCATTTTGTTTATTTGCATCAATTCTTGACTTAGCAGGTCACCGGAAAAACTTGAGGATCACTTTGTCACTCGGTAGACTTTCGATATTTATAAGTCGTACAAATCACTTTTATATGAACATATATATTTATATATTATATAAACATAATTTGTACACGTTTTATATGTAAAAAACACTAAGCTTTTGAAAAATATTACTGGTACGCAAATACATCAAGTGTTATTTACACCGGGCGCACTGTTTACGAAGGTGGCATGACTTGGTTACACCACCATTTTCTTGGCAATTAATTTTAGAACGTGCGGAATTGAATTTGCGTTAAAACTCGTTTGTGATCATCCCTTTATCACGAATTGCAATTCATTCATTTTTGAGTATTCTGTCTGGAATTGAAGGTTACTTCTCGACACATTTTTTTAAAAGAAAAGTAGCATCATAGAAAAATAAGGTCAATGACCCCGGTGTCAGACAAATAAAATGCCATTCCAATACTTGCGGTTCTCATCGTGTAGAAATACGTGATTGAAAGCACAGTATTACAAATGAGACGCCTACTAGAAGCAGTTCACGTACGCAAGCTTTAGTCAGTCAGTCCGTCTGCTTCAGAGATTTGTATTATGGTATATCTATATATGTATGTATTAGTATTTGTCTGGACATGTAGTTGTCTCCTGTTGTATGTCATCATGACTATATATTAAAGGTCAAATACCCTTTTGACACCTTTCACTGAATTGAACCCAAATAATCATACTAAGGAAAAATATATTGACGCCACGCCAGAAACCAGGACACGGACCAGGCGGCGCTCTGACTTGAAAAACGCGGGTTCGAATTTGTCTGTGAAATTTTTGGGATCGATTTTTGACAGAATCCAAATATAATACGCGGTATGTGAGGCGTGCGTCTGACTTTTTTGTTTGAAATTAGAGTGAGAGTGATTTCAAACTTCGCGGAATAGAATGCACTGGGGTAGAAGTTCCAGACTTCCTAAATTAGGGAGTAGAAATTTATAAGTAAAATAGAGTAATGGTATCCAACGCTTGAGCTTTCGTACTCGACGACTCAAAATTATTTTGCTGATATATATTTGAATTTTTACCATAACTTTTTTCAGGAAAGTTTGTCTTCGACAAAAATGACGTTTCCATTACTGACGAGTCTCCTCCTCTGCAATGCCTGTGTCAACCAAATTGTGGGGTTTCGGCAGATAGTCATGTGACATGTAATTCGGGCGACCTATGCCAGGTAGGACTTTTGAAACGTGTCCTGCAAGTACACCGTCGTTTTATGAGTTAACTCAGGGAACCAAAACACCATTTCAAATACAATCGAATAATGGCACCCAGTAAATAAAATAGCAGTTAAAATTCTGCCTCGCAACGGGTTTACAATGACGTCATATGGGGAATGTTGCCGCATTATGATAAATTTGCGGATGTTTATGGGCTATGGCACTTGCTATTTTGCTGGTTTTCATTTGGTGGATCATTTACTGAACATGTACCGGCAAAATGAGATCTTATCAAGGCTTATATTTTACATGTATCTCCTCACTGAAGAATTGCACGATTTTCAAAAAGAACAAACGGGAAAATATTGCCAACGAGTTTTACGTGCCCCTAATAATTAGTGCCTTTCAAAAAAATCATTTTTAAGAAATCGAATGATAATGTGTTCTCCCAAAATTAATGCCCTGTCTTCTTTTGTCGCAAACAATGTGCAAAATTATTTTGTTTAGAATTTTTCAATATATTTTAAGAGTAAAAATTTCTATTTCAAGATAACTGTATTGGAAAACGGCGATGTGTACGCAGGATGTACCACAAAAGACTACTGCGAAGACCCAGGCGATGGAACAAGGTGCTGTGTGGAAAATTTATGCAATACGCAATCCTTGAAAACTCCTCCAACAAACAGCCCAGGGCCACCTACTGGTTACGCGACTGCAGCACAGGAAAACATTCTCGTTATCTTGTTGTGTGCAACAATTGTCTGCCTCGTGCAGTAAAAAGCAGCCGTTTTCAAATAGTAAATATTCAAAATAATGGGGGGGGGGGCAAAAATAACGATGGGGCACATATAGCTGTGCAATTTTGCTCGCTGTCTGTAAATGGTTTTAAAATATATTCGTTTATAATGCTGTTCCGTCAAGCTATCACGTTCTAACAAATATGATCACAAAAGGAAAATTGCCAACCGAAATAGGTTCTGCTAACAAACCATTCTGATATTAGTCAATATAAATTTATTTGTAGAAAAAGTGTAATTGAGATTTTGGTTGCCGACCTTTTGTGCTCTGTTGTGGAACAGTTCTAAATCGCTGACGTTGAGATTTATACAATATAGCCCGGAAGTAAATAGAACAATAGTCACTACACGCGAAACGAAATTTAGATATTAGGTCGCTCTTCTGCATAGGTTGCCAATTCAATAACGTTAGCTCAATATTTTTACCTGCTTAACATTCATTCTTTTTGTAATAAAATGAAAAGGTTTCTTATAAGTTGAGAGTTGGCTCTATTTTGTCACTTTTCAAAATCTTGAAAAGTTGAAATCGAAGAACTGTGGCAGTATATTTGACTGCTTTAACGGAGTCCGTTACGCTACGTTCTTGCATGCTTCATTTTAGGGGCAAATTTTGACAATGTAAGATTCACTCGGACAACGTCACAATAATAAGACTTTCATACCAGGGATCTGTCCTTTTTGAAACCAACACAACTAATCTTTTTTAATCCTTACACAATAAATGGGATAACCAAGTATCTCGCAGATAAACTGCAGCGCTATATCCTCAAGACAATTTCCTTCTCTGACCGGCAGTCTTGCAACGTGATTTATGACCGCTGCCATATAAGGTAATAAGAGATCGTGCGAGAGGCAACAACAGCAACCATAGTCTATCAGCTACGCTCAAGCGATCTAAAGAGTTACTCATTCAAGGAAATAAACCTTCCAGCCTTGCACAAAAAGGAAATGCAACACACCATAGGCGGTGATGTATTTTTATATTATAGGCAGTTTGAGATGCAGTAAAGGGCAGTGTTTGATCTTGTTGAATTTGTAGGTTTGCGACGTGTGGTACAGATTATCTTCTTCGACTGTAAGGTTGCAGCAAACAGTATGGGAGAATTAATTTTGCGATATTTTATACATTATCATTTTGCCAACGCTTTTAAGCTTTATTTGAAGCACTGGGCTAAAGATAATTGAATCATATTGTATGGTGCGATGTTATTAATAGAAATTTGGAAATCAGAGCATAAACCAGTGATCATAGAGCAGAGTTTATGCTAACACTCACAGTAGGGCTTACCCCAGCCGACCTAAATGTACTAAAATTATATTGCATTGATAAATTCCGGTTGTTGCGCAAGTGAATGTTTTAAGATGTAATTGTGAAAAGTCCAGGTTACACAATCGCCGATCAAATATGGAGATAAAGATTTATAGTTTATCTTGAAAGCCGGTCATCCATGACTGACTTTTGCTGTCAAATTTTGGCGTGACAAATAAATCCAGATCTGAAAACAAGTAATAGTTAAGCTAAAAATTTGATAGATATAATAACCTCCAAGACCCAGTCAATCAATAACAAGAAACGAATACATAGGTTGTGAGTCCTACGATAGGTTGCAAGTCATATGGATGAGTCTGAAAGTAATCTCTTGTTTTTTTCATATATATGAACATTGACTGTTGAGATCTTTTTCATACTAACGAAATATTAATATCTTCACCCGGCGTCATTAAGATCTGTAGTCTGAACTATTCTCGATACTAAGCCTATGGAATCGATTTCATGAGGGCAGTGTCTTAGCATTTAGCATGTTGGATTTGACTACCAGGGCTGTGGAATTGGGGAAAATTCACAATAGACTTTAACTCCCGAGAAAATCAAAAACTTTTGCATTTGCTACCAGACTTTTCATGGTAAACTGTGAAATTCCAACAGCAAGCAATTCTAAATTTTGACGAGTTTGGAAACACGTTTCCCGTTTCAGATACAATTAAAAATGCCAAAATCCGACTCCCATCTCCTCCGGCCTTTAATATTAACAAATTTGAGATATCACTCCGTATCATCCCACAGTATAGTACATCAGGTTAGACTTGTTAAACTGAAGTTGGTCCGAAGACTTTCCCAGGCGAAAGGTGTGATATATCGTTCAAAACTTGATTTAGAAATAACAATACAAGCTAATATATTATTCATGAATAAAGTATATACGCTTCCTTGACAAGGCAATTGGACATACCTTTAAAATCACGTTTTTCTTCGTTATTATCATTTCTATCAGACCTTCGGTTTTGCATTGATGCAACTATGCTATTTACTGTTGATTGCGGACCAGTTGTCATTGTCTGGTCATTTTGAATCAGGTCTTGTGACCATATTGTTGGTAAGAGTCGACCTATGATATTTCTAACTTCGGAATATTGTTTCTGGAGAGTTTCTGCTAAACTGTCCATGTGCAGCAAAGCAAGATGAATACATAGGTTTTTAACGTCACCTGTGACAAAGAAAAAATCAATAATTTGTTGAAACTCTGTGGATTTCTGTTTCGTGTTATATTGTAACTACAAGGATAGACAAAGACATTTCCTATGCCTTTTTTTACATCAAGCTGTGTAAAGGGACGGAAACCTATGGGCAGGGGGTATATTCACTTGGATAACACAGACAGTACTCGAACTCGTAATAGAACTAAAATAAGAAAAATCGAAATACTCCGTGAGTACCGTTTGAACTGAAGTACTGGATATATGGTACACCAAAGACGAGCATTTAATTATGACAGTTATCTACTAGTGGGTGGGTTAAAAAGATCAGAGTTTAATAAATTGGGTAGGAAATGCTAAACAGAAAGTCCCCGACCCTTCCAAAATGCAAGTTTCTTACCTAGCAGTGGGTACTGCGAGGAGATAAAGTATAAAAACTGTGTATTTTTTGTTTGGGTCACATCGGTGTGCGTTGTGAGACAATTTATAACTCGACATGAAAATAATGCTGAATAGTAAGTTTGCCAGTCTATAGCTGACATTCTGCAGGTTTATGATTGTTTATGCACACCAACATTAGAAAACGTATATTCTGTAACAACTAACAACCATCATTAGAAAATACTTCGAATACCACAACGATGTATATTGAGTTAAAACGAAACGAGTTGTTTATTTACAAAACAAAGCACAGAGTTCATCGCCAATTAAACCCGCCTACACGCTCTAGGACTGAATCTCGGATTCACGTCCACAAAGCATAACTTATAATCATTCAAAATTGATCCGCACTTAAACGTTATCGGTGTTTTCGTGGCCAGACGTGATCCGTGATCCATCGAACTTAATATTTTCTTATACAGGACGCAGGGCGCCTTTGTTTGAGTGTTATGTGTCATTTCCGTCTGTATATACGTGCTGGTTGGTTGCAAATCGGGCTATGATTAATACAGCTTGCAATAGTTAAGCTATAAGATGATAGCAAGTAATTTCCATTGCTAAGAATGGACGACGAAAGACAACATATTTCTAGTTTACTTGTCGTTCATGATGGAAGATTTAATCTGAAAGAGCTATTTTGTAGTAGAGCAATGTCAGTATCTGCGCGTACTGGCTGGCTCATTTCAACATTGAAAATCACGGCTGAAGTACGGGTTTGAGAATATAGATAAAGCCTGTGAAGCAAATAAGTAACCATAAAATTACTTCACGACCTGATGTATTTAAATTCAAGAGTCGATATTTCTAGAAAGTTTAGTTTAAATTTTCGTTTTCATGTGCGTTCATCCCATTGACGTATTTCAAATAATATTTTGCATGTCCAAATATTCTTCAAATGATGTCAAAATACCTTCTCGGTTACAGCATTAAAGGTATTGCGTTCGTTTTCGTGACGTTCACTTTTTTGCCAGTGTGTAATGCCAAAGCGCCGAACGCCAATTGAAAATCTATACCATTAGTCGATACACTAGTAACGGAAAGTGGGAGGCTTATGATAGACTATGGCAAGTGGTTACCTATTGAAGATTTGTGAACATTCGCTATTTATAAACTTCTATGATAATCAAATTTGCTTGCTTTAACTTGAGGAAAACGGTGATTAGGCTCTATTGTGAGACCAATTTATGTGTGAGTGTATATTAATACAAGCACGATAAATATTGGTCTAAAACTATTTTCAAAATGTTCAGCTTTGAACCTATATAAGGAGTAAAACGCTACAATAGCGAAGGCGAAATAATTCAATATTTATAAGCTAAGCGTATAATATTTCTAACGTATACAAGACAGATAGATGATCTTGTTGTCTGTAAGAATGGACAATATTATGTACAAGAATTCTGTGCGGCAATATGGCAGATTTGGGCGGATTTAGCATAGCAGGTTGACGTGAGTTTCCGAAAGACATTTAAAGGATTATAATTGAATTATAATTACAATTAGTTATATATAAACCAAATTGTTAATTTTACGAGTAATTCAGAATATTCTAATATGAAAATGTACAAATCTGCGATTTCATACATAACAATCAGACTAAAACAGGCAGCTTATATTTTTGTGTATTATAAAACTAATCTAAACCAAAGTCTGTATGTTTAAATCTGTACATTACATTTCATTGTTAAACAGAAATGATATTTGTCTATATTCGAAATTAAATTCTGCGAAAAATCTTTCGATTTTGGTATAATAAGTTGGAATGAATTTCGAAAAAATTGGAATTGGAAAAATTGGCGAGGGGGTTATGAAACACATGTTTATGTCATGTCACGTGACGTGACGATGACAAATTCAAACGGTGATCACCTTGAATACAGTTCACCATTAATTTACAAATAAATTTTATGTTATGGGTCACCTTAATGATTCATTGATCATTGCGAGGCAAGCATGTATGTCATATGCATTTCCTGGGCAGCCGCGCAAACATATGGGCGGAAAGTAATTAATTAATGGCATCATTTGGATAACGATAATTTCAAATGATACCGTCACAGGTTTGAAATAGTTTTTTTGGTGCTCCCGAAGTATGCGAACCAAGATGGCGGACATCGGAACGTAACATGGGTAACAGGTTAGGGTGAGGCGATAATTTTTTTCCAATTTTCCTTATTTTAGTCCTATTATCAGTTCGAAGACTAGCCAAGAGCCTCCCGTAGTATTTATACCTAAAATTATGGCCTAACCCTAACCTAGTACACATATTACATTCCGATGTCCGCCATCTTGGTTCGCATACTTCGGGAGCCCCGTTTTTTTTTATTTGTTTTGTTGCTATCGCCATTACTAATAGGGAACTTTTTGCCTTTCTAAAACGTGGTATATTGGTTCCACTTTGGAACGTATTTAGTGAGAAATCAGAAATAATACGAATGCATGTTATACCTATCCCACAATACCGTGTGTACCAACCAAAATTTACTCCACATTAGGTTTAAATTATCGCATAGCTATACGTCTATATTAGATCACCATCGATGAAAAAAAACAGAAAAATTACCGAAATATATGAGTATTAATATCAAAAATATTGACGAAAATATAGCAATTTCTCATTTTGTGTTTTTTTACTGGAACGTTCGACGCTCACTTACAAAAAATAATGAAGTAGATAGTCGAGCGGTCAGTAATAATTAACAGGGTAGTATGTATTTAAAAAAAAAACGCTCATGACCGGTTTAGCATAATACTAACACATTCTATTATCCTGAGTATAGCAAAGTAGCTAGAATACGACAAACGGAGCTTGACCCTAGCGTCCACAAAATTTGATTTTGTGTTGAAAAGGTAGATTGCTCAGTCATTATTAGGTGACTATGGGTGAAACACTCTTAGTAAATTTCCATTATTTCGTCACAAATACAGAACTGCGACAATAGTGGCCGATTTTAACTTATCGTTTTATTACCGAAATATATAAATTATAATAAATGGGAACGAAGAACGGTAGCGACATTAGTAATACCATGAAAACGATGCGGATACGCGCAAAGAGATTCAAACTGAGTCTATTCTCACAAACTCTGAAGGTTTTTTCAACACTTTTAAAAATATTCAGCAAAACGAGTTGATTTCAAAAGTATTCATCAAATCAGATCATTGCGTACAAAAACAAATATTCTTCAAGCAGTCGCGATCATATGCGCTCAAGTAATCATTAAACAAAATAGAGATTTGATAAATTGAATTACCTCAAAATACAAGTATATTTTGTAATTTTTTACAAAAGCGCAAAACTGGATCGCGGAAATGCGCCATGACGTAACCATGATTGCGCGGCGTATGCATCCGGTAGGCTGGATGATCTCACACAAGCCTATGCAAGCGAGAGAGGCGGTGGTTCAGGCATTCGGCTTTTAGAACGCGATGCATTAAACGCAGTTCTCTGAGATAACTAGAGACAATACTATGTCAGGGCGTGTACATGAATTAAATCAAAATGTAGTGTTAAGCTAGTGTGGAGTTGTTTTGAGGTGGATAAGATACACAACTGCAATGGTAATAGTTGGATATATTATTTTAAGCGAATCAATAAACGGGCAAGGCTATCATTGTAGAAACAGCAGTTGTTATCATGTAGTTCATTGTCCCAAAATCTCAAAGTTTCGAAACGTACATCGACGAAATGGTCATTTTGTTTCGTTCTAAAACTTGAACAATGCAGGCACGTGCAATTTATTTATAAGTCGGTATGTTATTCATAGCCAGATTCTTCATGAATGACTATATTTCCTACTTGGGCGTTCCTACATACAAGATTTAACATAATCTTGAGACATTATTTGAGTTTTTTGGCTATATGAATTCAATGTATATTGGCAGTGCTTTTAACCCATGGTACAGTGAAATTTCCCAACTGGCGTTTGAAAACGAAATATGGCAAAAGGTTAAGTTTGAGCGTTTGTTAAAATCATTTGAACTCAAGTACACTCGCGCATAGGTAATAAGTCGTGAAATCCAAAATGACAAAATCGTTCAGTTTCGAAGGCGGCCAAATTTATTCAGAAAGCATTCTTTTATTTATACAATTCCATGTGCGATACATGCATGAAACGTACTCACAAGACGCGGTCCATTCATGGGCCATAATCGATATAAAACTTCCTGGCGCCCTTCAAAAATGACTTTTTTAAAATGACACAAGAAGCCGGATGACGTTATCAAAGTAGATCATGTTAAATTCCAATAGGTGACAATATTATGAGATTAAATGCCAACAATTTCTTCAAACTGCTTAAAATTCAAGTCGACTTAACTTTATTAAAGAATATAAACCAATACACTATAACCAAAATTTACGGAATTCACATGTTTATTATTACCTTATCGTAAGGTTCAGCATTCTGCGACCCTGACATGAACAGCAAATGGGTGTGGCGCGTAATAATTTTCCGGGATCTCGGTAGAGTACCTGGCAAGGAGCGACACTGTACGATGCGATTTTCACGTTATTTCGGGAAACCAATTATTCAGAAATTAGTTGACGAATGTAATGCAAAACAATTTATAAAGAATATGGCAGTAGGACTGGAATTACATATTTATTCCAAGGAAGAGGAAAGACGGCTTAATAAGAGATAAGACGGCTTAATCATAGGGCGAACCACAGCCTCTGTTCCCATAACTAGTTCATATCGGGTATGGGATTGGTAAGTCAGTTATTGCTTTCTGATGCATGGACTCGATAGCAGAGGCAGCCCACAAGTCCAGCAAACCTTACCCACATAATTATCTCACACGTGATTCGAACCTGCGAACACACGCACAGTAATCATAGGTGCGATGGCAAGCGTATTTTTAAGGCTTAGCACGATGTGCCACAACGCCGAGTTTCGAATTGATAGCTTCATCTCACTCATTATATAATATTGATTGAGTAATAACTCTTCTTCTTATCATTTATAGAAATAGCCTACAGTCAGTAAATTGCCTGAAACTTCACGCAAAAATGTCGTTTGTTCGCACCAGTAAATTTCGTCATGTTTTCGGAACACCATATAAGCCAGAAGTATGCTTCACCGATTTGAAAGCTGATGGAACGGGAGACACAAATTGTGCTGTCAGTACTAAATTTTTGGCTGTGATAAAGGGCAACAAAATTATTGTGCTTCCGATTGATGAGCCAGGAAGACAAGACGAAAACTCCAGCAGCTTTATTGATGCTAAGCAGAAACCCATGGACTTGGCTTGGTCTCCTCACAATGACTACCTGCTCGTCAGCGGCCATGAATCAGGGGATGTTAACGGATGGGTAATTCCCAGGGAAGGTTTAAAAAGCATGATGACCCAGCCGTTCTGGGAAATGCACGGGGCTCATACAAGAAAGGTAACAACCGTAGCTTGGCATCCAGTTGCTGAAAACATCATAGCTACCGGAGGATTTGACCCTTTTATCGTAATCTGGCATTGCGAAAACCAGACACCAGCGTTCCAAATTGATGTAAGTGAACAACCAACTAACTTCGCTTGGAACTTCGATGGAAGTCGCCTTGCTATTACAAGCAAAGAAAAGACCAAAACAATGAGTCTAAGCGTCGTTGATCCACGTACTGGCGAAGTCCTTACTAAAAACACGGAATGCAGCAAGGGAACAAAGGCAACCAAAGTAGCTGTATTAAAAAATGGCAACATCTTAACTGTCGGAGCTGGCAAAATGGCCGACAGAACCATTTCCTTATGGGATGGTAACGACGTAACAAATCGTCTTTGTGAGTTAGATGCTGGCTGTTCTAGTGCAGTGTTGAATTTTTATTATGATCCTGATCTCGAAATATTTTACACATTCGGAAGGGGAGAGTCTGTGATCAAATACTACGAGATTGAGGGTAACAATACAATACATTTTCTGAGTCATTACACCTCTAAAGAAAGCCAAAAAGGTGGAAATTTCCTTCCAAAACGGGGCGTTGATTACAAAAGTTGTGAAATCGCAAGATTTTTCAAGTTGACTACAAATAAATGTGAGCCCACATCCTTCACTGTGCCTCGTAAATCAGAATTATTTCAAGACGACATATTCCCTGATCCGGCTTCGGGCGAAAAAGGACTAACCGCGGATGAGTGGATTGGTTTACAAAACTGTGACCCACCAACGAAGCCTTTTCAAGAGCTAGAAAGCACTAGCACCGGAAGGGAACCACCTACAGTGAGAAAAAATGCCAGAAAAACCGTCCCAAAATCTGTACCAGATCATCCAGACAACGGAAAGAGCAATGGGACGGCAGGTGTGGGTATCGCAGAGTTAATGGAAGACATCAGAATGCTCAAATCGACCGTGAAAAAACTCAGTAAGCGGGTTACAAAATTGGAAGAACAGAGTTCACTAGAAAATGGAGGAGAGGAAGAAGAAGAGGAAGAATAAATATTTTTATTGATTCATAATGATGGCAATAAATAACATCATTGTAACAACACTTCAAGTTTCTGTATGATTTGATCAAACTGATTTCAAAGTGAGAAAGAATCTGCTATCTGATTGATCATATTGAGAAAGTAGAATAATATCTCAAGTCATAAGAAAACGTACTCAGGTCAACCTTTTTTCCAATCCGTTTGATGAAGAGCTTACTTATATTGAGTATGTCGAGTTGAGTTACTTATATATGCTTAAATATTTATGCATTTCTTTTTACAATACTCGGAAGAATTTTTATGTTAATATTTTTCTTATTTGTGATATTTGTTGAAAACCACTGATTGTAATGTCATAATATAAATATATTAAACCAAATCATGACATACAAATTAATCAAAGCATAATGTTATCCAACTCATTGCACCGAGGCGATAACAGGGATACTTTTGCCATGTAATTTTATGGGAGTCTTCATTTTAACAATTACCATAACCTCAATTCAAAAGTTTGAGCACTCTTTCAAACTAAATTTTCACAATAAGAATATGGCCTACTTAATAGGAAACTTTATCAAAAGGTGTTTTAATCTTTGGTAACTTGTAATATATTTTCATACTTCTACAATGATCCAAATGCAATTTGGTTTTCTGAAAATATTTTTATTATCATCACAATTTTGTTGGAGTGATCGATATGCTTTTACGAAAAATAATTGGTTCAACAAGTCAGCATGATAACTACGCATTCAATGCAAAATTTGTAACAGCATTGATAACCTCATTTTCCAAAAATGCCAGTTTGTACTCACTCAACACGACCTTTGATGATTAATTACAAATTTTCTCTATTTTCAAGGAGAAAAAGTTACCTTGAATCAAAACCAATGCAAAATTTTCAGTTTTTTCAAACTGACATAAATCAGAATGACATTACGTTTTTTGTTGTAAATTTTGTAAGCTTATCCAAGTCCAACAAAGGATAACTATATAAATAAATTACATAACTTTATAAATAAATTACATTTTTTCCAAGTACTTCTGTTTATATTTACAATTTTAAAAACAGCTTAGCTTTACTAACCATTAAATATACTTCATTGTCTCGAGTATTACAATGCAAGAATCAAACTTGATTATCACCTCAAAAAAACCTGCTTAGTTGGTATTTTCGTTTGGGACAGGAGGAGTTTGTAACTTCAATTTCAAAGACCTTTTTTGTTTTTTATTATAATCTTTTCACAGCATGAATGATCGATTTATAAAATTGACACCAATCATGGTGATTTAAAAAAGGGAAGGTATAATAATAATTTGATTTTTTGATTTGTATATGGCTGTGTATTTTTTAGAGCAATCTATGTAATCAGATGTTTTTTGCTGTCGATTGTGTCTGTAATATTTGAAACAGGTCATTGAAACTTTTCATTATTCAGGAATAAAGAGTAAACATGAATATTCTGGCTTTTCTTCATTATTTACCGGTATGTGATCTTCAAATTGTATTGAACACATATTTCTATACATGGGTTGTTTAAAGGTGATTCTCAAGTACAGATGTTAATGATATTTTTTATGGGTCTTTGAGTCTGTAGTTTGTCATACAACAATGAGGACATGATAATTTATTATCACTTATTGAGCGATGTGATCATCACAGTTTGTGAAGAAGATGTGAGGCAAATAATAATGTTTTCCCCCCTCCGGGTCAGTACTAGTGTATGAATCGATTCAAATCTTTGGCATAGTGGTTACCATGTGGATCAAGTCATACTGGGGCTGCACAACGAATTCCACAGCCTTGCAGAGTCTTATTCACTGCAGTTTAGTTTAAACAAAACCATTATTTATTTATGAAAGCTGCAGTTCATATTTATTAGCTCTTGGCAGAGATGGTTACTATTGAAACATACTGTGATTGGCTGAAAATTTTGAACATATCAAAACAAATACTACTACAGAGTGCCAAGTATTTCTAAATGAGCGATTAACGTTCCAAAACAGCGTATACATTAGTTTCAAGTCCAGATTAATTTTCACATCTTTGATCTTGAATTATATTCGCTTGGCATTGCATTGCTATTTCATAATAATGGTGAAAAAGGAAACCTTTCGAAATCTTTTTCATATTATTTTTATAGATATTTGCAAAGAATTCCAACAAAATTTTCATTTGAGTACTACCCTTGTTGCAATTATTATAGATTTGATTCAGCATCTTGGCACAAAGACTTGAGCTAATCATGACATAGAAAAATCAGAAAAACTTAACTTAATAATGAAGTAAGCTCATCCATATTATGTCATTCTCAAAGAATACAAATTGAATATTTAGGAGATGTATTGGTTGATTAGTGAAATCATCCTCAAATTTACAGAAATATGGAATCAATAACGAAGCTCTTTGCCATTGTCTCAGTAAAGTACATACAATTCTGTTTTTCACATTGATATCAACCATAATTATGTGTCACTGGAAATCTGTATACTTAATTTAATATTTGCCTTATCTGTTTTGAAATAATGTTGAATAGATCACAGATAAATGCATTCTACACGTTCAGTGTCACTCAAGTACGTTGTTCAAAAAAACATACAATGAACCCACAGTGTGTTTCACAATTCAGAACTGCAATGACCTGCATTATAACTTGTGACTCAAATCATTTGATGCGACTCATCAGACAAAACTCAATTTACTTTTATATTGAATATTCAGATAGTTTCAGACTAAACGATAATGATATCTATAAACAACATTGGGTTATGAAAGGCAAGTCTACATTTCGAAAACTATGTAAATTTAACCACTTTCCAGCATATAGTGTGGGAGGTCTTAGAATCTATAACTATCTAGAACTAATTTTTTCATATATGAAATATACTACCAAGATTGTACTTTTCCAGTCTGGTACTTATTAATTTTTCTGATGGCACAGCCTCAATTGATGAATATTGCAAAATATTTGGTTAATTTATTGACTCCTCGCTTGTATTTTGAACTCAAATAAAATTCGCTGACCTGGGAGTAAGTGAATCCATGACCCATGACATAACTGTAGGAAATGGTAGTTTGATGAAGGAGTGAAAACTTAAAACTAGTCAAAGTCAGAATCTAAATATCAGCTGAAACTATAAAACCGATGCAAATAATGAAGTTTCCCTTGTTACAATTTTAAAATCAAAGAGTTCCAAACAGCAAGATGAATTATTGTGTAACTTTTGGAATATTATATCGGGAGATTGAGTTGGTTGAGTGTTACTTAAAACTAAGTTTGATTCTACAACTTTGAAAGTTGGCGATCATGAAATTGATTACAAAAGAAATTGCACAAGTTCTTCCTCACCTGAAAGTTCATCAACAGCATTTATTGCAACTTTGAGTGAATGGAGCAGAGCAAGATCCTCAAACCTACTCCCTTCCTTGAGAGAGTATCCCCGTCGCTCTTTCTTTCTTCTACTTTTTGAGGACCGCCTAGTTGAAAAAATAGATAATCATAGTGTTGCCGAGACCGACAGCTAAATACACTATATATTTCTGTTTTATTTAACAGTCCAAAGAGGTCAAAAAAATTTGGAAATGACGAAGAAAATTGTATTTCATAAGATGTTTCTTTGACCAGTTTTATCAGTTTCTAATCATCTCATACCCGGTACTTCTGCTTGTTGTGCTAGAGGGACGACTGGTGACTGATCCTGCCATTGTGCTGCTCGTGTCAGAATATAAGTCAGAGTCCATTCCTATACCTTCGACCCCTAAAAGAACACAACGATATTGTTGAATAAGTTTCACATATTGAAAAACATTACAATTTGAGTAAGTGAATAGAGTGCATTAATTCACACTGGTAATGGTCGGAGGACAGTGCAAATAGCAACACAATGGGTGAGAAACTGTAGAATCAATTAGCAAAAACTGTAGCGAATTAATTAGAATCACCAAACAAAATTAAAGGTTAGCAGGTTCAAAACCTGTGGAGGATAATTATGTTCGAGAGGATTGCTGGACTACTTGCCCTCATAGGCGTGGTCACATGCTGGTCAGTTACAGCTTCCTAAACCATGAGGTCCGTGCCTTTAAAACATAACCGAAAGAGCTACCATGCTTTGGCATATGATTTTGTTTTTTCTCGCTCTCCTCTCCCCATTATAAATAGGAAAATTCTTATTTAAACCTGCTTGCTTATACACTATTTTTCATCACCAATTTACATTGTTTACTGGAAATTTTAATTTTGCAGAAGCAATACCCACAACAGCAATAACATACCATCCAATAAAGCCTGCATTCTTTGCTTTTCTTTCAGTTGTCGAACGGTTTGCAAACGTGCAGTCTGTTGTTCAATCAATTTTTCGTGAGATTCCAAGATTTGAAATGTGTTCTCATGCGCTGGAAAATAAGTTATATTTATTTCTCTCGGGGGAGAGGAAAGTGATGAGACAGCTTAAAAATATAGCAAAGCACAGCTTCTTGTCCGGTTACAAGTGTATGTTGGGTATGGGGTTTGTAAGTCAGTTATTTGTTTCAAATGCAGATGCCGAGTATGAGTTTGATGTTTGTTAGAAATATGGTCATTCAAATATAGCTGAATACTGAATCGAGCAATACAATAGGGATGAAACAAATGAGATTGCTGAACCCCATGTTGCAAAATTGATTGGCTATTCCTTACCAACCATAATTGACTATCTCATGAAGTATTTATGAAATCCCATCCCAAATTGAATATGCTCTAAAATAAATGATGCCATGTCCGAAGTGATGTTCCAAAAACACCTCCAAAAAATTCCATTTCAACAGGAAATTATTTTGAATTTTAGTCAAATACTGCCTCATACAGACAATAACCTACACACTTTTTGCTAACAAGCAAATTTAATTGTTTCAATACCTTCTTTTATTGATGGCAAAACATGTGTTTCATTTAAGTCCGTTCTACTGTGTTGTTGAGTCATTCGTAAAGCAATCTGCCACAATTGTGCATGAAGTGCAGTTTCAACAGCTTGCTCAATATCATGAGCATGATGCTCCAAAATTTCCACAGCTTCTAAATGACGACTCGTTGTCTTGGCTTTCTCTGAAAAAAAAAATATAATTTAACAGTCATGGTATTCATGAGTACCACATTATCAATCAATCAATCAATCGTTTATTTTGTCATCACAAAAAACACGTTCAAACATAAATGACACAATGAATAAATTACAGTACTAATCATGTTTTTGCGTGACCGGAGTCGCGAGGGACCTAAGAAGGTCTTCAAGCAGCGACACCTACAGCGCTACAGGTTAGAATAAACATAATTAAATGAGGAATAAAATGAATAAATCCTACGCATAAGTCACAACTGTTACAAATACAGCGACATTCGAAATGTATGAGATTATGACACAGTAAAACAGAAAATGTAACTTTCACAGAATAATTACTAACAACTAATAAAAACGCGAGGAAATCAAGATAAAAGCACAGAAATAATATAGGAAAGGCAAGTTTGGCGGAATATGCAACTAAAAGCAATATAAGGCAAGCAGTAAATCGAAAGTATTTACAGCAAATGCAATTTTGGAGACTCTTACGAGAAATTGATAGAGTCTAATGAGGAATACAAACAAACTATTACCGGTACATCTGTATAATGTACATAATAAAGAAGAAAAGATAAAACGGCCTGGTCATTGAAAATAATAGCGAACGTAGATTAAGGGCAATAAGCTATCCCTCTCCACTCTGAACGATTTTGAACATTAGAATTAATAAATAACACAGAAAAGCACAAACAAAATTAAATCACCTGCTAGTTTATAAGCAAGCTCAACAATTTCATTTCTGTCAAGCTTTAGTTTAAACGCTGTCATCAATGCAAGAGAATAATTATTCGAATTTGAAAATGATTCAAGAGCTTTCCGTGAATCCTGGCAATGAGTGAAAATAATCCCAGCCTGAAAAATAGAATCAAGGAAGAGGTAGACCAACGCTTTTCTAAGGACAACCCCAAAGACAACTTTATGTGTCATACGCAACCACAGGTGGATAAAATTTTCTATTAACAAAACTTCAGAGATTGTTTTCCCCTGAACTTTAGGAGTTTGGTCATGTGGTGGTATTTAGTAAAATAAGCAAAAACATTTTAAATTTTTATTTAAACCCGGAACCTTGAAAAGCCTAATCTGCTCTTTCACTGCTATCCCAAATTTAAATGAATAAATAAGGTTTATCGAAATATCAGTTCCAAACTCGTCAGTCTACGGATAACAAACTATATTTACTGCAAACAGAGTGAAAACGAAAAATCTAAAATTTGCAAATCAATAAGAAGAGATCTCATTGTGATCCATCAAACAGTGATGCCACAATACATTTACAATAGCATAAAGATAGGGCATAGAACATAGACCTGTTTTACAGTAAGCAATGCTACAAATAAAAAAATTTAACATGGTTTGTCAAATTTTAGATTGTATACAATACCTCAGCAACCCCACCGACCCCATGCAACTCCATTTAATTATCGCTCAGACCCCTTTTGGGTTCACAACTACTGGTTGGGAAACCTCTCACTCACACAAAACAAACGAAAAAACACATACTCAAACTGTTTTCAGATTGTATTTTTAACTTTTGCATAAGTTTTTTGCTCAGAACAGAATTTTATAAAAGCAGATGATATACATGTACATGCTGCTATTGTGTCAAGATAGAAAAAAAAATACCCTAGGAAAGCCTAGGCAAAAATTAGATTATGTCCATTACTGGCAAATCAGTTTAAATTTGACCAATCAAAAATGTCTAGAGCTGAGCAGATAGCAATTAAGCGTTGAAAAAATTATATTGAATCAAATTTACCTCTTCATATTTACGTTTTCCTGATAAACATTCTCCGTACATTTCACAAATTGTGTTGTAACTTCCTGTGCCTCTATCATACAAATTCAAAGCTTCTTTATACATTTCATGAGACTGAATCAAGTCTAAACATTCATCAAAATGGCCGCTACCTGTAACACAAAGAAAAAGGTTTGATTTTTACATTAATACAAACCAATCCCGTAAAAATCTATGCAGCAGTGATGCCCAAAACGATTTGAATACATTAAATTAAGGAATTTATTAATATATTTTCATTTGTAAAGTAGTGATTATGAGCCACTGGACAAGCAGATCAGAACGAACAATATCTCAACCGGTAACGAACAACGCAGAGAAAGCAACGATCTTTATGTTTGTGTCATTTTAGTTGTGATCAACATTCAATATTCTATATTCCGAAATATTTTCACACGATACTTATCACGCCTTTCGATTCTATTCAAGTTGTTTTAAACAATGCAACATTTATGGACATAATGTAACATTGTTCAAGAATGAGGAATTGTGAATCACAACTACAAAAAAAAGAAAGCAGAATCAACACTTACATTTTGAAATGTGTTCGAGAGCAGTTGAATACCTTCTTAGTTTCAAATCAATTTTAAATTTTCTGTAATTTTCTTCCAAACTTTGAAGTTCGTGCAACATAGGTAGAAATTCCTGAACAAAAAATATCAATAATGTATGGATATAAAAAGTCATAAGATTTAAGGTATGTGACTATGAATTTAATAAAAAATGTGTGTGTTTGTGAGTAGATAAAATCACCTTTTTATAGAGAAATTTGCTCAAGGCAAAGTCACTCATACTAACTCAGAAATATAAGAGATTGATCTCGAAGTTACAGGCAATGACAAATTCATTCCATATTAATGATTAATGACTTGGAAAAAAAATTTCAGACATAAAATTTTTTTGGGGGAACAAGTTCCGAAAGTAGGAACACCGAATACTAACCTCTACCCTTGAGCATTAATAAAACAAATTGCAATAACATACCTAAGAGAAAATTTTGAGTATATTTCTAATTAAGATAATTGCAAAAACTGTTGTAAAAACTTACCTTAGGATCAAGTTGAGATTTTTCGGCCACCATGAGTACTAGTTTAAAATCGTATGTTCCAAGAGCTTCATTGAACAGTGTATTACTATCAACTAATACTGTCATGTATTTTAGAACACTACTGATGAGTTTTTCCTCATGACCAATATCGTCTTGAAAAATGAAGAATAAAACAATAGAGTTATGCTTGAATATATGGAAAAAAAGTTGCGCATCGAAATAAGTATGGCCTTGAAACAGAGTTTGCTTAAAAGATTGACATACAACCAATCGAGCTATGTAGAAAAAATTGAAAAATTCTTCAATTGAACAAATTATTTTTATTGAAATGTTGGGCCCAATCAGACTCGAAGGCGAAAAAAAAAAGTGTCAGCCTTCTTTCATCTTTAAAGATTAAAAATTTGAAATAGAATTAGCTGTGAATGAAAACGATTTTCAACAACAACAACAAAATAATAATACCAAATTAGGAAAACGTTCCACTTTGTGTCAACAACTAGTCTATAATATAATAAAAACAAACAAAATGAACACCGATATATCTATTAGTATAGTAAATGAATGGTATTCAGCATAATACATTATTCTTATTACAATGCAAAAATATGCAGGTACGAATCATCTGTGGCACAAGTGTAGAAAAGTAGATTCCAGAGTCGTTATTATTTTTTATATTTACCGGCAAGAATTTTTATTCTTTTAAGAGCTTTTCCAACTTCCGAAGGCTTCTTCTTCACATCAGCTGTTACAAGTGAAGAAATAAACCTAAAAAAAAATAAAAAAATAAATTATTTAAATAGAAGAAAAGAACATATGATAAGTTCAGGGTCTCAGGAGGCAAACCAATCCAATGTGATGAAATCGATTCTATTTCATTTTAAAAATGCAGCTCATTATGACACAATTGCTGCCTGCTTGTCTGAAGTCTAATTCAAAGAAAATTCGATATACCTTTTCTCCGATTTTTCCAATACCAAGACGAGGATATCACAAACATTATTGATTTTCACATTTACAGATGAATTTGAAGATTTCGCACTGCAAATTAACAAAGCAAATTTAAAAAAACATTCAATACATGAGATCAAGGCATGTGGTGCAACGCATCACACCAAGTATACGCTCGTCACTGCACCTCTCATTACCCTGCTTGAGTTCGCATGTTTGAATCATGTGGGAAATAATTATGTGCTACTGCAGGGGTTCTCAACCTTTTCTTTGTTAAATAACCCTCGAGTCACGAAACAATCAACGCGAACCCCCAGAGTCACGAAACAATCAACGCGAACCCCCCGAGTCACGAAACAATCAACGCGAACCCCCAGAGTCACGAAACAATCAACGCGAACCCCCCGAGTCACGAAACAATCAACGCAAACCCCCAGAGTCACGAAACAATCAACGCGAACCCCCCGAGTCACAAACAATCAACGCAAACCCCCAGAGTCACGAAACAATCAACGCGAACCCCCCGAGTCACGAAACAATCAACGCGAACCCCCCGAGTCACGAAACAATCAACGCGAACCCCCCGAGTCACGAAACAATCAACGCGAACCCCCCGAGTCACGAAACAATCAACGCGAACCCCCAGAGTCACGAAACAATCAACGCGAACCCCCCGAGTCACGAAACAATCAACGCGAACCCCCAGAGTCACGAAACAATCAACGCGAACCCCCCGAGTCACGAAACAATCAACGCGAACCCCCAGAGTCACGAAACAATCAACGCGAACCCCCCGAGTCACGAAACAATCAACGCGAACCCCCAGAGTCACGAAACAATCAACGTGAACCCTAAGTAATCATACACCAAACTAAATTGTGATATATTGATTAACAATTTGCTGTAACGACTGCCAAGCTTTGCATTTCACATTGTTGCGTCACAATCTCAACAACGCAAGATCAGGGAAAATGTACGCTGAGTTTCAATTGGCACTTATTTTCCTCTTGTAGTTACTTTCTTTGTTAAAGGATATTAAAAAAAAGATATTAAAAAAAATCAACACAAAAAAACTCGACTGTCATCCAAGTACCCCTGGAAATCTTCTCGTAAACGCATGGGGGTTCGCGTACCCCAGGTTGAGAACCCCTGTGCTACAGGATTTTTGGACTCCTTGCAGCCGTAGAGTGGTTCTTGTAATCGCTGGATTTGAAATGTATAAGTGGCTAATGCCATACCTGACCTGAATGAGAGGCTGTGGTTCGCCATATGATTAAGCCAACGTATATGTAAATCTCATGATCATGCAAACGTGTATGATATTGAAAAATATAGAAATATCACTGTTGAAAAAGAACAGTATATTTGACTTACTAATTATTGTCCTTTGAAGTTTTTGTTAAAAAATACTGTTTGTACATTGTTTGTGTTAAATCTTCATTTTGTAAATCACTGATGAATATATTTAAGTTTGTTGTTGAATCTAATGCTTTCACAAATGTTTCAATATTTTCTTCAAACATCTAAAAACAAAATGATCCAAAAAAATAAAAAATAAAAAAAAATCGCAGAAAGTTTGTTTTCTTGAAATCAAGTACCTATGAAGTATGGATTTTTATAGGTAATAATTAACTGGCAATAATAATTTTCTTTTTTTTTATCTATATTTCATTTATCTACATATTCCAGAAAAATTTTAATATTCTCGTAATTTTAATATTTGGCTTGGTTAACGAGGAAATGGCGAAATTTTATAAAAAAATGGGAAATATTTACAAAGATCGTCGTGGTTTTCGCTGCTGCCATGGAAATGGAACATCAATCCGGATCAAACAACACACATAACTAGGGTGACAAGATAACCCATGTGTGAAATTAAAAACAGATCAGTCCAACCAATAAGACGCCTCAGCTTCGACACACACACAGACACCCATATACACAGACAGACAGAATGACTGGGAGTAAAGGTCTCCTAAAGCGGGGAATCCAATAATGCAATGATTCTGTACCGGGATAAACACCTGATTATTCTATATGATTCAAGAGTCTTGTTGTTGCACACTAACAAAATGATATTACAGTAGTGCTTCGTCGGTCTGAAATACATTTGATGCAGTAATACTCTTTAATCACATAGTAAGATTGAATAATTTAAACACACCATAAAAATATGCATCACCTTTTTATCAATATCATAAAGCAGGTTCATATTGATTCTATGTTTTTTCATGACTGTAAATGCTTCTCCATATTTTAACGATGTTATTAAACTGAAATATAGAAAATTTTAGTACAAAAGCCAGAACACTTTGGAATAAGCGAACATGCAAACAAACCCACGAAGGGTAATCAGATGTGCAATAGCAACCAAGCACTTAGCATGCTTGGCCATACATATTTTTCAATTATAAATTGTTATTCATGGTGGATCTGGTAAACAAAAATCAAATGAATATAAATTGCAACAAGCATGTCTGTAGAATCAGAGACTTGTTCCTAAAAGTGATGTATTGCGAAACATGATTTAAAAATGCTTGCAAAAAGCCAAGGTAGTTGTAAATTGCAACACCCATCAATTCGAAAACATGTCTTTGGTTTTAAGATAGCATTCTAAAGTATTTACCAACTATTTACAAATACAAAGTTGATGTATATCTCTCCATGAAATATAATTTGAAAAAAAAAATAGCATAACAACAATCCTAAATATGATACCTTTTAACCAATGACAGCACTAAATTTCTGGGATGAATGAGTTCCAAATTTCCTCTGGGCATTTGCAGAATAAGTCGACTGTCTGACGGAGTTACAGTTATAATTTTTGATCCGCGTTCTACTGCTCTTTCCGTCTCTATTCCTTCACAGTTGGGAATTAACGATCGACCTTCTCTGAATAAAAAAAGAATGTGTTGAATAGTTGAGTCGGTGGTCGGCAAACTAGGGGCCGAGGCCCAGTTGTGGGACGCTGAGCATTTTCTAGTGGGCCTCCAATAAATTTCAATTATGGCGGAATTATAGCACAAGAAAGTTGTATAAATCCAACATTACATATCAATTTCTTGCCAATTGGTTTTCGTTCATATGTCAAACGATCATACAGTATGTTCATTTCAACTATAGTACCAGCAGTGCAACTATTCTGGTATGTTCATTCTTGCGTATCAGGTTTTTATATTGCGTCATGAAAGCTGTACAAGCTACGGATATGTACCACTACTAAGCATTGGCGTATGTAAGCATTTCATAATAGATCATTAGGAATGCTTAAAAAATTTACTGGTAATAATTTTTGAGATTTTGTAAAACACTTTTAATTCGTTTTCAACCATTGAAAATCTGAAATTCCGGCTCCAGATCCAGATTCCGTGAAATTCTGAATTTTTCCTCCACCTCCAGTGAAAACGAACTGAAATTCTATTCCAAGATATGAATATCATTAGAATTTGAATGGAAACTAAAAAAAAGTGCTCCAGAGATGTATGTACCAATATGGAGGTACCGGTAACTAATTTTGTTCGGCTACTTTACATCAAGTTATGTAAAGAGACGGAAGCCTGCTCACTTGGCTAACACAGACAGTTCCTGAACTCGTAAGAGAATTAAAATAAGGGAAATCGGAATAAAATCATGGCCTAACACTAACCCGGTAAAGAAACTACGAGAGTACCTGAAATAGCTATATGAAAAAGAACTCTATATTTGCATAAATAGAATTACTTTTAACTTACAGCTGAGTGGTGTAATATTTTAAAACATTTTCGAGTGAAATCTTTCTACTGATGCAACGTAGCTTATGTGAATGTGTTGTCATGAATAAAAAATCGTTGTGAAGAGAAAATGAAGAACAATCAGATGCAATCTAAAAAGCAACAAATATATCTATTTTTCTACCCTTCAATTTTTATACTTTCTTCTCGTGAAGATAATTATCTTAAGTGATTCAAGAGTCTTGCTGCATACTAACACAAATATATTTCTGTAACGTTCCATCTGATCATGGTCAGACTTCCTCAGACAAACATTTATCAAAGTATAACAAGAAGAGAATTCATCTTCATTGAAGCAAGATAAAATATGTCATTTACTTCAGTATCATTGATATACATTCTAAAATGCTCTGAAAGTCCAACAATACAAGGATCTCCATCGAAAGAACAACTTGTAACTTGTGGACACGGCCGAGGGAATTTTAACAGTTGTCCTGATGGTGAAGTGTAGTCAGATACTTCAAGTGAAGGGATATCACATCTGTATAAAAGAGATAAGGAATATTATAGTTTTAGACAATGGTGAAAATGGGTAACGTGCACCGCAGTTGACGAATAGTGTTATATTTGGCGTTTTAAATGTTATGTATTAGAATTATGTAGAGCATGTCATGTTGATTACGTAGTGACAGACATTATAAATGAGATGTAAAGTCATAGAGCTATAAGTTCGGCATGGATTCCAGAAGTGAGAGAAATTTTTGCGAGTGAGTTCAATACCAAAAAGTACCTGTTCTTAAAATTCTGAATCACTCACCATGTTATACAAAAGATCAATTGAACAACACTATCTCAGATAATTCCTTACACGAGTATATTATTTTTGACAGAGATAGCAACTTAAATCATAATACATACTTCAATATTGTTCCATCTTGCAACTGGATGAGAACACAGGAAGAATTGAATAAAATGGCAGAAAGAACTAGACCATGAACCTCTGTACTTTTTCTAAATAAAAACACATGATTCAAATAATTATTTAAAATCAGGCGAGCATTTTCTTTTCTCAAATCATTACAAACAGTAAAGTCTGAAATATCTTCAGTCTTTTGATAAAATCATTTTTCAAAGACTTCAAGTGTCTTATAAGTTATGAAAATTGTATAATAAGACACTGACAGACAATTCAGAGAGAATCGAATATAAAACAAGTCATGGAATAAATGGTTATTTCCAAAATAAAATTGCATGAAATGCTCTTTATAAACAACATTATTTTAGTGAATTAACAATACAAAAGGATAAAATGTAAAGAATTACATTGCTTTCAGTGAATTGGACTCAAAATCAATCTGAAACAAAACCGCAAGATCTATACCAGGTAGTATACCAGGTGACACAGCAAACATCTTTGATTCATTCAACCATATCCAATGGTGCAGAGCTGAAATGAAACAAAACGTCATAAGGTTCCCTAAAGTCACGAAATATGTGAGTAGAGTTATCAGTACATGTAATAATATAAATTGAATGGCTAGGATTAAATAAACATAGAGGTTAATAATTGGTTGGTGGTATGTTTAAAAAATTTGATTTGGTAAAAAGAAATTCATGAAAAATAGTGCAAAGAAATTAAATTAGATACAATTAAAATAACTTAATATTACGACTGTACATATTATGCATGCAAATCAAATTTGTTTCATTTAATGTGAAATGTACCAGATGTATCGATAGCGTCATCAATTTCAGTTTCGATTTTCAACAAGGATTTAGGCACATGAGTTTTGATACAATGAATAAATCCATTTCCTCCAGCAGCATCCAACTTCACGGATAACCTGTCTTGGAGACTTTCTGCATCACTAAATGGAAAAAACAAGTTATTGAGTAGGGAAGTTGAATGTTGAATTGCTGATTAGGATAGCATTTGCATACTTTTCCTGGGGATAGGAAAGTTGAAAAGACGGCTCACCAGGGCCTCTTATAAGGTTGCCAGTCCATGTCGGGTATGGGATTAGTTACCCAGTTATTTGTTTCAGATGCATGGACGATTGTTGATAAAAGATCTTGATAACTAAGATTTATACTTTATACGGCTATGCTAAGGTTCAACTAATGACAAATTTCAACAAGTAATTTACCTTCCAATGTTCTCCATTGTAAACATTGCTACTTCACCATTTTTCATGAAAACTGAAATATCGCTAGAGTTATCTTTCAACGGACTGAAAGCGACGGAATTTGCTGAATCTGGTAACATCAATTTATATGCAGACATAGGCGGAGGAACACACATATGCTGAAACGGTGTCATCAAAATGGATTCTGGAATTAAAGTATAATAATTGTTGTTTATCTGTAATGTAATTAAGGCAAAAACATAACCAAGACATTGCCCCAAACAAAGTCCAAGCAGATCTAGTCAAGTATGGGAATAGATGATTAGTTAAAGAAGTGGCCCCCAAACCATGCCCTGTAAAATAACTTCTATTTCTTAAGTTGCGGAAAATCAACCCATTTCCTTAAAAATTACTTCTTATTTTTCTGCATTTATAGCTTGACATAAAATACCCAAATCTGTTGTTATTTCCTTTAAGAGAGAAGTACAGGTAACACAGGCTATATTGGACATTTAGACATGTTATGTGCACATGTTCATTTGACTAAATGTGCCTAATTAGACTACAACACTTTTCCTTGTCGTAACTTAATGTTAAAAGAGTCAAATTTTCTTTCCAATGTCTCATGAGTGTAAAAATTTTTAAAAGTTTTTGAGCTGAAGTTTGAAATGCATGAACATGGTTAAGAATCAAGAATCGCAGTTTTTTATATTTGTCCCTGGAAGAAGAAAATACGACAGACTCACATGGCGAACCATAGCCACTCGTCCGATTAATCAATTATCAGTCAATGTCTGGTATGTGAGTAATTAACCATTTATTTGTTTCAGATGGATGGACATGATGGTAGAGGAAGCCGTCACTGCTGGGTGAACCACTCTAAGATTCTAGTCCAGCAATCATCTCGAATATAATCCAATCTGCGCAGGGCAATCGGAGGTGCAATAGCAAGCGTTTTCCCAGCGCTCAGTATGATGCACCAACTGCAGAGCCTATGGATCTATAGCTGACCATTGGCTACAAGAAATGCACTTCAAAATCTAGAAGAATAGCAATCTAGTTCCACACAGTCACCATGAACTGACCGACTGGTCATTAACAATAATCTAACTTACTTCCATCAACAACAGCTACAAATGTCTCTTCATTTTTCACTCCTTTGTCATGGTGTCCATTAACGACGACTTCTTTTTCGTCACAGAGGACTGGTATATTTGAATCATTAACAGTTTTTCCAAATACGTATTGCCAATATTTTCCATTTTTACACACTATGTGTAATCTATGTGATTGCTCAGCATCCCATTGTACACACGATGGCGTCTCATGGTTTTTTAATTCCACACTTTGTTTGAGATACCAATGGTAGTTGGACATGGTCCAAAACTGCACTGTAATTAGGACATAATAGCAAAGCTCAAGTAACTACATAAGTAAAAGAACATAAAACAACTAATTTAACCACGTCAATGTCAGCCAAAATTCCAGGCTAAAAATAAAAAAGTGTACTGATTGTCATATGGCGGTGTTCTCATGAAGTATAAAAAACACTTATACTTACAACAGTCGGAGGTATCTTCTGTCTTTGACTTATCAACATCTTTTTTAGTGTAATTCAGATTTCTCAACCAGATCATTAAAATTGAAGAATCACTGTTCCACTCCAAATACTTCACCTAATATAATCATCCACATAACAAAACTAATATCATCAAAAAAAAAGTATCTGATGGAAATTTCCTATGACTAATCAGCAGCACTCTTGTGCTGGAATCCAAGGGGGATTCACAAGACAGAAAAAGCTGTTTATAATATGTGCGATTATCACAGGGCTGATTTTGTAACAATTGTCATATAAAACCTATTTCCAATCTTGACAATTTTTACTCTTCTGCAGGGCAAAGTACACTTCGATAATGATAGATAAGTTGGTATTTCCTGTCAAGCAATTGAGTGCTTTATCACAACAAGCAACCAAATAGTTTTATTTCAATTTCAATCATACCTCCATTTCATCTTTACCAAAGGGCAGGGTGAATTCACCATGTTGCAAACCATTTTTTTCAAAAAATACAATATCATGTCGATGCGGTTTCCTTTGACTTGAAACTAGCAGATTTCCACTTGGCCTGTAGACAATTATCACACAACTCAGTCAAGATTGAGCCATAGTAACATTGATTAAAAATTAGAAATAAATATAGCAAAAAATTTTGGGTTTAAACCATAAACTTAAAATTGATTTTACAAGGACCCTGTATCTGACTCAAGTTTTTTAGACACAGATTTATGCTAAACTGAGAACGTAATAGTCACTCCAAATTCTGTTTCATATATCAGAGAGGCTACTTGCTAAGAACCCCTGGACATATTTTTAGGAGTTGTTTAAAAAAATGCAGATTGATCCACGTATGCTTCAAATTGGGTTCTGGACTGGCATCTGGTATGTAAGAAGTTGCTGCATTTTTGAAAGAAACATTTATGCACATGATAGCAAAAACATAGTAACGCAATGTACTAATATTGCACCTCCAAGCCAATGCTGATTCTAAACCACCGATATATTCGCTCGTATATTGCAAAACACATTCTCGATTCCAAACTCGAAATTTTCTGTTTCCATTAACGGGATCAATCATTCCAACCTTTATATAAGATAAACAAACAAATTATAGAAAACTATGATGCTGAAAATTGGAAAAAAATTATAAATTTGTTAGTAAAATTTTGTCAAATTTTTGACAAGTACCTATACAATACACTTATACATAGTCAGTCAGTAATTCAGTTTTTCACCATGCAGCAATAATGTAACATAGATATACATTACAAATACAAAACTATTACTGGTTATCGAGCAGCAACATCCATAGATTGCTGGTATTTACAGCATAATATTATGGTTCATAACATGGCACTGAATCATTAAGGTCTGTACATGTAAAAACAGAAATGCCAAATTTCATGTATTTTATTCAAGTGGCCTGATGGCAGACAGTTTCCATATCATGAAATTTCAATATTGAATTGAATTTCTCCAGTATAAATACAATTTTAACTATTTACATGTATTCATTTTTAATGTTGAATATTCAGGATTGGTTAATTAAACAATATGGTCAGGATCATAGTTTCACAGAAAGATTACTTAGAAAAGTTTTTATATAAATCTTCCTCTCCGGAAAACAGTTCTGTACACCAACATCCACTGCTGGTTCGGAAGAATTGAACTTTTCAAATTCAGCTTTACCCATTACCTATCATTTTAATAATAACTAATACACTCCTGGTGACATGGGATTTGAACCCAATATATATATATTGAACCCAATAAGTTTCGATTTTTTATCTACAAAGATAAGCAAATAAAACTTACAGCAAAATATTGTCCATCCCCTCTCCATACAATTCTGATTTTCCTGTCATCCCACAGCAATGCAGGTTCAATTGACTCATTTTTCTTAACAGCCGCCCCTTTTCCTTCACTTCCATGAAATTGAGTTTCTTTCTTTCCCCAGCCAACAGTAATAAATTGACCTGATCAAATCAAAAGTATTCAAAAGTCATGTATGGAGTGCAGGAAAATTTAGTTATACAGAATTCCTAATTTAGTCTTGATTCTAAATCAAGGGTAAAAACATATTTGCCACTGCGGGCCGCTTTGTCAATATCGGCTGAATGAGTGGGCCACACTAGTATTTACCGTATATATAATATATTGAAACCCTTCCTATTAAAATGGCTTAATCGGTTATAGGAATTCGTGATGTGAATAGGAAAAAACGTAAAAAAAATTTGCATATCAATTTAAAGATAGATTTTGATTGAAACAAAGTAAACTGAAAGCAAAGATTCAAGTCAGCAAAAGACTCAAAACTGTAAACTCCTCTCAGTGGTGGAAGAGTATGCATGGTAGTGAAACGCTCAAGCCCACAGATATAAGCTTTGAATTATGTGACAATAGCGTGTTCATCACATATGATCCAAATGAATGCAGTCAAAATGAGAACAAATTGATCTAACTATACAGGCCCAAAAAAATTACCGATACTTTTTACACTTTCGTTTTAATGAAGGCTAACTTTGTCAGCTACTTAAAATCATCTGCCTTTGCTTAATGAAGAAGAATTAACAAACCTTCACCAAATTCACTCGCATTGATGTCAAGTTCAGCAACAGGATCAAATTCGCGAGTCATAACAATAATTGAGTTATGCCCTGTGCCTAACAACAGCAATTCTTGGTCTGGACTCCATTTCATTTGCAACAAACCGCTGTCTACTGTTCCCACTGATTCGACCTAAACATGAGAAAATTTGAAAACTTTCGAAATTTAAAAGAAAAGGCACATTCAGAAATACCAAATGAAATCCAAAGAATTGATTTAAAAAAAAATATAATAGTTCATCTGATTTTGAAAAATCACTAGGGACTCGTGACACTATTAATTAACAAATCATTGAAAATGCACAACAAGTGATATACTTGATTCTACTGACGACAAGTTCTCACAAGGAGTGGAAAGTCGAAAAGATGGCTAATTAATAATGGTCTCCCTTTGCTAATTATAAACAGACCACACAGGTATGTGAATTGTTAATCGATTGATGATGGAATGATCGTACCATGTCTGATTCTAGCAATCCACCTGCACATATAGGCTACATAAACGAAATAGCTCAATATGATCAATCGACTAGCATTTTCACAGTTGAAAACCCCTGTTCCCCCCCCCCCCCATAAAAAAATTTAAATATCTTCATCACAGCCTATAACTTATTCACCAAATTACTACCATTCTTTTCGATTAATATGCAATCACTAATACAAATTCCTAGTTGAGGAATACAAGACTATGGAAAATTACAGATTCCTATTTCACAAAATTGAAAAATCTCAAATTATGGACTTTTTGGTGCAAAAACTATTGTGTATTTAAGAGCTTACCAATTTTGTCAACACATTGACAACTACTAAATCTCCATGATCAGTAGAAACACAAATACTGTCTTCCCCTTGGAGATACTGAAGACCAGTAACGTTAACACATGCATCACCAAGTTCTTCCAGACCTATCGCAAATGTTTCCTAAACAAATGACAAAGAAAATAACTAGGTTGTGTGACCCATGACAAGAGTGTAGAAATGTGTTGTGTGTAATAAATTGGGCCGAACCAGAATGATATGGGCTCTTCTAAAAACGAAGTAACTTCTTACCTATAGGTGTATAGAGCCTTGCTCAGAGTGAGAGGCGCATAAATATGTTGGACAAAAAATAATTGCTTTTTATTCAAATTTGCTGGACAATACTTTTGAGGCTTTTGAATACAATTTAACAACCACTTACAAGGTAATAAGTGAGATTTCATTAGGTGGCAAGGGTGCAGGCGACTTCGTTGAATGTATAGTGGTAAAAAAGCAGTATTATATGCCCATTGAAATTCAACTACAGATCATGCTTATTTAGAATTAATATTAATTTTATATGTTGCGCAATATTCAATATTTCAAATTTATTCAAATATACCTTTAACGTGCATTCAAGAAAGTTTCATTGTTAAAATGATCTTTCTATTGAATAATTAAAAGTGTACGATACTACAGGTAATGAATGTTGGTTTTAAATGTTTCAGATTCATGACTTTTTTTAGAAGCTTTTATATCTGTATCAGTAATTTTTGGATAACTACTGGAACACCAATCTCTAACGAATCGACAAAGTGTGACTGGCCAGAATAATGTTATCAAAAATAGGAAATGTCAATGCTGCAACTATTTTTGAGGCAGATAAGGTCAAATTTGTACTAAATGAGACCAGATTGCAATCCTTCTAATCCAACTGCAAACTATCAATTAAAGAATTCGCACTCGTAGAGTTTTCACATTGTTTTTTTGTTTTGTTTTATGACTGACACTAACAAACCAGACAATGAATAAAATCAATTTTTTATTATCCAATCAACATTTAATTCGAAATCAGCACAAAATAAACCAAAAAATTAAAACAGATATTGTGAATAAAGATGAAAGCATATGAAAAGAACACAAATACCTCATCAATAGTGGGATCCACGCCAATAATATCGGTCGTTGTATTGATATAAACCCTTCCTGTATCACTATCTATTGCAATGTATACATCAGCTTCATGAAGTTTTGGAATCGTAGCATTTATACAAGTAAGCAATACCAGGTTTTTCATTTCAATTCGCTGATATTTTTTAACAAAACAATAAAGCTATTGACAAGTATCAAAAACAAGTAGTATGAGACAGTGAAAAGAAATACTCCACTTCTGTACTCTGGTACATATCATACAATATGGAGAATGTATCATGGCTCTCTATTGCCACCAATTGTTAAATTTTAAACCATTCAAAACACGAAAATTTTTGCAAGATTAATAGAAAAATATGGCTGAATTATGTAATATACATTCAGGAGAAATGCAAGTAACGAAATATACATAGATTCAGTTTTGTGCTTGAAAGATTGAAAATGAATGGAAAATCAAAACAGGCATTTTGCCCCCAGCCTTGTTAGAAATGGTTTCGCCTAATGGCTTGATAATCTGAATATCTTCCTGGAATGAACTCATAGTCAAATATATGATGAAACACAACTTATGCCTAAAAATTTATTTAAAAAATCTTCCCATTATTAAATAATTTCTCAAAGCAATGACATTCAGAAGAGACTGATCTCTAGGCGAAAACATGGACAACCAATGAAGTGCCATCATGTTTTGAATTCTATTAATACAACTATATTTTGAAAATTTGAAATTCGTTTTTAATATATTCATGCAGTATTTTAACGATAACTGAAAGGAATCTATATCAATCATCCACACAAAGAGTTTCTTTCAATGGCAAATACATACCTACTCCATTGTATTTTCAACAACTTTGTATTGAAATTCTCTGGGGTGTGAAGGGACAATTTCAATCTTGTGCAAAAATGAAAAACATCAAACAAAAAAGCTTTCAATTTTTTTCTTGAAATGTATACCACTGGACGAAACTACAAAACACAGCTGTGGTATTTACATCCCAACGGTATGGGTCATTATTTAAACTTTCTAAAAATGACCCCAATCTCGCATGATCCAGAATATTTAGATCTCGTCAAATAAAAAAAATGAAATAAAACGACGCCATTCAAACACAAATTTTAATCGTTATTTTTTATGACTTCGTCTTCCAAAGCGTAAATTTTTATCCAAAATAAATGAAATATCTTCTCCTAAATAATAAGATACAAATTTTCGAACAATCCCCATAAACACCTAAACCACAAATTCTTGAAACACAACCAACTTCACCACAAGGATCGGTATAGGAATTGATGGGGAAATTACACTTGGCCAAAGAAAAGGCACATATAAAAATGTGTGTCTTATCAATGACCACGCATGGTAATACATCAAAAACAATTAGGCACAATAAACAAATTCAAATTTTTCATTCCAAAAATATTTTCATTTAGATTAGGGAACAAGGTACTTCAAAAAAAGGTCTTTCAAATTAACATTCATATTAATGTTAATTGAAAGTACATGGTCACACAACCCTACCCAAAAAGCCAAAATTCTCTTAAATTTGATGCTTTTTCTTCAAAAACTGAATTAGAAAAACAACAAATTGATTTAGTATTTAATAGAATAGTTATTTTGTTACAAGATAAAATACAGAGATTTATGAATGGTACTGTGGCATGAAAGGTGGGGAATAAACAAAATCCGAAAACTTTGTTCATATTGCTAGAACGCCATTATTATAATACAACATATCATATTTGTGCACCAACTTGGTCCTATCACGAAGTACAACATCCATAGCTTGATATCAAAATCAACTACCATTTCTTAATCTTTATCAAAGACAGGTATATGTAATAACAGCTTGTGCTATATACCAGAAGGTAGTTCCAACATCAATTCAGTAGAAATAGAATGTTAATTAATGAAATTGTTGTCTCAAATTTTTTTTATACTTTTTGAGTAACTTATCTAATTATCTAGTAAGGCCTACCACGTCCACGCATACCTGGATTCATATGTGGTGGCATGTTATGGTGATGACGTGGAGGTTGAAAATCGCCACCATGTTTTGGTGGATAGTCACCAACACCACCACGATGTATATCATGACTACCTTGACGTGGTAGAGGTTCGTCTGAACCAGGTCCATAACGATTTTTGTATTTTGGAAATCTTGCACGTCTTTCTTCTAATGAAATATCATCATCTGGATGGATTAGCCTACTTCCAGACGATATGGTAGATTTTGAAGATGATTGAGTTGTTTCATTGCTACCCTCAGTGGAATTTTTCAAATTTTGCTGAATTTGGGATGCTGCGGGAAATAGTGGTTTTGGTAAAGGGGCTGATTGGTCATTAGACTCAGTTTTTGAATCTGATGAGCCTCCTTCAGCCCCATTTTTCGGCATTGGTCCAGGGACATTTCCCGGTGGCATGCCAGGATTCATTGACATGGGACCACCAGGAGGACCCATCATTCCAGGCCTCATGCCTGGCATCATCATATTAGGCATCATGCCAGGCATTGGCCATCTTCCCCCTGGACCCATCATGTTGGACCCGGGCGGCATCATAGGGCCACCCATCATACCCATAGGAGGCATATTCATGTTCATATTCATCATTCCAGGTGGCATGCCTGGCATGGGCATCATGCCAGGCATACCCATTGGAGGTACCATGCCAGGAAATGGCATTTGTGGCACATTATTATCATCATCGTCTGAATCATCAGAGTCCTCGACCTTTTTACGCTTCGCACTTGGGCCACCTTGATTCTGTTTTATTCTTGCGTGTTCTCTTATATCTTCTTCTGGTATGCCTTCCATTCCGTAAATTTCAATTTCAATGTCTGTGCGACCATGTACTGCATTAGGGACTTCAGAAATATTTTCTTTATGCACCTGCATGCAGTGTATCGCAAGACCGGGCCCAGTGAACAACTTCTTATGACAAACATGGCATTTAAAATGTTTCGCTTTTTGATGTTGCATTAAAATTTTTTCATCTTCAAAATCACGATTACAATACCAGCACCATGGTTTGATAACCTTTTTCTTCTTTCTTCCCATATTAATTCTCTAATAGTTCACAAATTACAAATTTTTATATTATATGGAGGATTATACTAATTGACAATGGAAAATACTGAGAAGTAAAGCAAGAAAAATTGTTTTAGACAATGACAAAATTGAATAAGACAATGTGCAATGCATGTATTTTCATGATGATTATAGGCCCTAACCTCAAGGAGCCAAAATTGAAAGTGAAAAATTGTGACGAGGTCACGTTGTAGAAACAAAAAACACAAGAACACATTCAGACATCAGTGGTTTTTAAATATAAAACATGAAATTTTCAAAAAATTGTAGATAACTTTTTATGAATCTTAAATGCTGCCATTTCTGCATTTGAAGATTATTAACTTTGTTTTTTGAGATGAGTTGAAAACTGACGACAATACCAACATAGGGTTGCTTACCCACGGCCACGACCTATTTGCGGCCATCAACTTCATCGATCTCATTAATGCCAAAAAAATTAATGAAATGCACTGATATTTCTCACGCATAATCGTCCACTTGTCCCTCATAGCTCTGCGAAATTACACTAAAATGCGGCTACAAACAAAAAAGTTACGACCGAAAACCCGACCGAAAAAAAACGGACCATTTTTTCATGTCGCCAACTACCCATTAACACATTATAAAAACTTGAAAATACAAACAAATATAAGAGATAAAAAAAAATTGGCAAGAGGGTAGAGTTGTGTTTCTTTTAACCATCTTTAAATTTTCGCATTTCTACATTTAAAGGAGTGGGAATAGGGGGGTGCGCATTTCCAATACGTCGATAATATCTTTGTCGACCAATTTGCGACCACCGTGTTTTTGTCTGTTTGATTGCTGTGATGCGGTGCTTTGTATATAATTCAGTAATTTGACGAGTTTTGTTCGAAATGACTGTGTTCTTAAAATATGTGACGGTCAGAAATGCAATTAGAAGCCCAATTTTTTCACGCAGTCTCGACGCAGCAGAAACGATGTTCAAGGCTTGAAACCTGTGGTCGCACACTGGTCGTTCGGTCGCAAATACGTCTTCCGAGTGTCGTACTTTGGTGGTTTGTATAGCTTTAACCCCTGGTTGTAGAAAGTTAATTCGAGGTTTAGCCTGTAGAATAAATGCCAATGCACCTACGGTGAAAAAATTAACGGGTTAGAAATATTGGTTTTTGTTTTATAGCAATTTGAATGAAATCGTCCGCAGACTAGCTACACCACCCTATATTGCTATTTCCAGAATTCAATAAGTCAGATAAGTCTGTAAGTGGATAATACACAGCACCAACAACTGAACAACTTCACACTGCAGCACTGTGACACCTACACAGTATGACAGTGTAATATTATTAGATTACAAATTGACTTGGCGTTACATTCGGACAACAGAACACTTTATCTTGCTGTCCTGTCATCTGCCACTTGCAGACTTGTACAATTTACACAAACACCAGATCACTGAAACATACAAAACGCCCCACCAAATGCAACATAGAAACAAATATGGCAATCCAAAACAAACTACAAAATCAGAATACAGGCACATGAAAACATAAAGATTTGGAAGATCAGAACATAGACGTCTGATGCCTGGCACATCCAATATCTTAATACTGGAATATCAGAATTTCGAAATACTGAAATATAAAAATAGACACTAACACTATTTAACACTAGACACTATTTAACGTTAAAACATATTATATTTGTACCGTGGTGAACTTTAAAATTACCGAATAATCTAGCTACAGAGCTAGCAAAACCGGAATACAAACCTATTTTCCGTGTACGAACAATCTACAATAAAATAAAACAGCACGCAGGTCGCGGGACAGCAAACCAAATAGCGCCACTGCGTAGCTAGTTGCACCGTGACCTTTGTGTACGGCCAAGCGAAAAGTTCAAAATTATTGACAAGAATATTGCATAGATAATTTTCTACCGCGTTTCTCGAAAATAAGATTATTTCAATTTTCTTCCAATATATAACACTAAGGATAATTTTCGGGAGATGTCTCATATTTTCATTTATCGGAAACAAAATTACAAAGTGGAGAATTACGAGTTTTTCAAATATACAAAACCGATATCCGTTACTTATAAATAACACGTTTCCATTTAAAAAATGTAAACATAGATTATTAATCATTTAAAACGTGTAGGAGAGATTTCTTGCTATCGACTAGGTCTTATTTTAAGGGGATGGCTTATAATAAAATCATTTTTAAAATTCAGGCTAGGTCTTATTTTCGGGGGAACACGGTAAATCATAATCATGACTGATTGTGTTTTATGGACACTTTAGTGGACATAACGATCGTTTCAATATCATGTTTTTGATATTGTTCTTCTTCGTCACCATCATTATAAAATCGTTTTCCTCTTCGAATACTGGACCAACTGCTTTGAAATTTTCAGTGGTTGAAATTTGATTTTTTTTCAGAAGGCTATTAGCCTACTTTAATTTATTTCTAAATTTTCTATGAATCCTATAAGATCTGATATTTATTGAAAATTTCGCTGTTTCAAAATTTCCTCATGGGAACACTGTTTTGATACTTATTTCAAGCGGTTGCGTGATCAAGCCTGCAGGTACGGTACTGCTCAGTTACAGTACCACAGTATAAGTATAAGTTTATTTCGACTCCATAATCAGCAATAGACGATAAAAAAATAGATAAAAACAAAAGTAACTGATTATAGAATCGGGAAAGCGAACAAAACCTCGAGTAAGGTTTGAATCGTACAGATTTTAGATGGAAAGGTATTGATAAAAGAAGTAGTACGTGTTTGCTCACCCAAAAGTAAAAAAAAACTCACACACACACACACAATCATCGAGACATGATACTGTCGGAAGCGAAAAAAGCGAGAATTAAAAGTAAAAAGGAACGAAAATATACAAACAAATAAAAAATAAAAAAATGAATAAATTCTTTTGCCACACCAAATTAATAATTTTATGAGGATTGCCAAATTGGATACCGAATTAGTCAACAAGAGTAATGTATTGTGGATAGAAAAGTATTCCTCAAAAGATATCGTCAAGCTGATTATAATTGGAGTCACCTAATGCCAAATTGCCCAATCAGAATTGCCAAGTTGGATGTATGAAGAGGTGGGCTAGGCCTGCTTCACTCATCAAATAGAAGCCACAACAAGCCAAATAACGTCCAAATTATTTTAAATACTATTAATCAATAACAGTACCGGTAATCATAATTAAAATTAATTAGGGCGGTATGATACAGAGGTAGGAAAATTGGTTAAGGGAATATATATGGTGTTTAAGGTTCAAGTAAAGTTTCTAGGGTCATGGATTATAGGCAAGTAACTTTAATTGAGGTTGTTGATCACTGCGGTCAGTTCAAATTCATCACGGATGATTCATCAGTCTGCAAGTTTTGTTGATGTATACACCTTTCATGTTGACATAGTAGCATTTAAATTGATCATCATGACGTCCTGAAAAACGAAAAATATATCTGCGAGTACAATATTCAATGATTGCAAATAAGGAATCAATAGAAAACTACCCTACACCTTTGAATGGAAGTTGTTGAATTGTGTAAATATTGATTAATATTAATTAAATATCATTAGACTGCTAGTTGAAAGACCTGAGAAAGAAGAGATTGTGGTTGGGACACAAGAGAAATTGTTCACAAACCATGCAAAAACCTTTCGATGTCGGTCAAACCACACACATGTATGCCATTATCTTCATTAGTCATTAACATCACACTAACCCTTACACATTTGCATGCTATACACAGCATGAATTCGACAAAGGATGTACACACGCAGGACACAGCATATAGTACTACAGCAAGTTAAAATGTAGGGGAGAATCCAAATATACCTCGACTGGTCACCTAATTACAATATTAAGTACAGGAGTTAAATTATACCGTCTACAACCCTCACAATAAATCACACCACCCAAACAGAAAACAAAGTTCACGCATGTGGAATATTAGAAACCCAACATTGAAAAAAAAGGAAACATGCGCATGCAGATATCAGAATGTGAACAGCCATATTAAGGAAAATCTTATGCTATAGAACAAAATAAATGGCCAACTAGAATGCAAACAGATGGAGAGAGCTCAACTGCTTGTTCAAAATTAATTAGTGAAATTGACTTATTCCTTTCGCGATCTTACTATTGCAGTAATGTCAAATTTAGGTTTTCTAGCAAATCTAGCCTACCGTGTTTGTTAATTTTGATATGAGCAAATTGAATTGAGGTTTGATATGCCAGAGAAGAACCGTTCCACGATCGAATAGCAGGCCTACAGTACAGCAAGAGGTACTGGTAAGGTACCGCACGGCATAGATTCTCAAAGTGCTCCGTACGGAGCCCCAGGGCTCCGCGAGAGAAACCCAGGGGCTCCGCGAGCTATTCGATTACTTTTCAAAATACTGACTAATTTTGTAACTGTTCAAAGAAGCAATAACAGCTTTGATAAAATCTGACAATAATATAGCCTCGGAATATGGCAAAGAGGCAGAATTTAAAAATGACATTATTTATAAGCAGGAGCGCAGCCAGAATTCTTAAGAGGGAAGTGGTTCAAAATTAGAATCTGAAATTTCCGCGCAACATTCGCGATTAAAAAACGGATAACGGGATTTCTGTTGCGTAAAATATTCAATCCATGACCGATGCCAGCATTTAAAGTGTCTCGTCGTTATAATGTAATTGTGTTCATCTTTACTCACCTTTGATTCGAAATTACTATTAGGATTACTAAAATGAAAGAATACTATTCTAAAATAACATAAAATATGTGATAAACTGCCAACTATAAATAAATTGGAGTCGTATTTTTGCGATCTTGGGGTTTGTCAAACTTGATTTGTTCTTTCGCACTTGAGATTATATTTAAGCAAGATATCGCCGTTTAAAAAATCACAACGTCTGGGCAAAATACGAACAATTGAAATTTATTTTATTGCATTCGGCTCCGTCGGTAGTTTTAGAATGAAAAAGGTACATCGCGGATCGCGCGCACAATTGATTGCGTGAGGCTCCGTCGGCAGTTTCAAAATGGGAAAAAAATACATCGCACGCACAATTGACTGTGTTTCGATT